ACACACCCCACACCCCCCGCCCCACCCCATCCCCTTTCTTCGTTCATATCATATATAGGGACTCTATTCTTTTCGAGGCGGTCATGGACAGCTATCTAGTCTTTCGGATGGGACGAAAAACCGAGGTCCCGTGTATACATTGGCGTGGACGTAAAAGATCCCTTGACAGATGGAATACGATATAAGAGTATGCCGTAGTGCCGCTGTCCGGGCAAAATTTCCCTCATCCCACAGTGTATGGCGTGTGCCCGTCTTCATTAGCCCAGTTCCAAGCAGAACAGTAGGACGTTAAAACCCCATTTCATTTCTTTTCATTTCTTGAAACTAGTTGGGAAGCCCCCAGGTCCCTACCCCATACCCCCGGCTCCTTCAGCTATAGCTACGAGCATGATTTGCTACTAATTATCTTAGCCCGCTGCCACCGCTGCTTAATATTGAGCGACTTGTTTATTCGACTGAATTATTCGACTGGATTATTCGACTGAAGTATTCGACTGAACTTCTCGACTGAATTATTCGACTGGATTATTCGACTGAACTAACTGGCTGATTTTATCGACTGGACGTGGCCACATGAAAATGTCAAATACCTCACACACCCCCCCCCCCCCGCCCCACCCCCATCCCCTTTCTTCGTTCATATCATATATAGGGATTCTATTCTTTTCGAGGCGGACAAGGACAGCTGTCTAGTCTTTCGGATGGGACGAAAAACCAAGGTCCCGTGTATACATTGGCGTGGACGTAAAAGATCCCTTGACAGATGGAATTCGATATAAGAGTATGCCGTAGTGCCGCTGTCCGGGCAAAATTTCCCTCATCCCACAGTGTATGGCGTATGCCCGTCTTCATTAGCCCAGTTCCAAGCAGAACAGTAGGACGTTAAAACCCCATTTCATTTCGTTTCATTTCTTGAAACTAGTTGGGAAGCCCCCAGGTCCCTACCCCATGCCCCCGGCTCCTTTAGCTATGGCTACGAGCATGATTTTCTACTAATTATCTTAGCCCGCTGCCACCGCTGCTTAATATTGAGCGACTTGTTTATTCGACTGAATTATTCGACTGAAGTATTCGACTGAACTTTTCGACTGAATTATTCGACTGGTTTATTCGACTGGATTATTCGACTGGATTATTCGACTGAACTAACTGGCTGATTTTATCGACTGGACGAGGCCACATGAAAATGTCAAATACCTCACACACACCCCACACCCCCGCCCCACCCCATCCCCTTTCTTCGTTCATATCATATATAGGGACTCTATTCTTTTCGAGGCGGTCAAGGACAGCTGTCTAGTCTTTCGGATGGGACGAAAAACCGAGGTCCCGTGTATACATTGGCGTGGACGTAAAAGATCCCTTGACAGATGGAATTCGATATAAGAGTATGCCGTAGTGCCGCTGTCCGGGCAAAATTTCCCTCATCCCACAGTGTATGGCGTGTGCCCGTCTTCATTAGCCCAGTTCCAAGCAGAACAGTAGGACGTTAAAACCCCATTTCATTTCTTTTCATTTCTTGAAACTAGTTGGGAAGCCCCCAGGTCCCTACCCCATACCCCCGGCTCCTTCAGCTATAGCTACGAGCATGATTTGCTACTAATTATCTTAGCCCGCTGCCACCGCTGCTTAATATTGAGCGACTTGTTTATTCGACTGAATTATTCGACTGAAGTATTCGACTGAACTTCTCGACTGAATTATTCGACTGGTTTATTCGACTGGATTATTCGACTGAACTAACTGGCTGATTTTATCGACTGGACGTGGCCACATGAAAATGTCAAATACCTCACCCCCCCCCCCCCCCCGCCGCACCCCATCCCCTTTCTTCGTTCATATCATATATAGGGATTCTATTCTTTTCGAGGCGGACAAGGACAGCTGTCTAGTCTTTCGGATGGGACGAAAAACCAAGGTCCCGTGTATACATTGGCGTGGACGTAAAAGATCCCTTGACAGATGGAATTCGATATAAGAGTATGCCGTAGTGCCGCTGTCCGGGCAAAATTTCACTCATCCCACAGTGTATGGCGTATGCCCGTCTTCATTAGCACAGTTCCAAGCAGAACAGTAGGACGTTAAAACCCCATTTCATTTCGTTTTATTTCTTGAAACTAGTCGGGAAGCCTCCAGGTCCCTACCCCATGCCCCCGGCTCCTTCAGCTATGGCTACGAGCATGATTTGCTACTAATTATCTTAGCCCGCTGCCACCGCTACTTAATATTGAGCGACTTGTTTATTCGACTGAACTATTCGACTGAAGTATTCGACTGAACTTTTCGACTGAATTATTCGACTGGTTTATTCGACTGGATTATTCGACTGAACTAACTGACTGATTTTATCGACTGGACGAGGCCACATGAAAATGTCAAATACCTCATCCCGACACGCCCCCCCCCCCCCGCCCCATCGCATCCCCTTTCCATGTTCATATCATATATATTGACTCTATTCTTTTCGAGGCGGACAAGGACAGCTGTCTAGTCGTTCGGATGGGACGAGCATGAACTAACTTACTGATGTTATCGACTGAAACTGACTGATTTTATTGACTGGACGAGGCCACATGATAATGTCAAATACCTTATCCCCATATGCCCCCCTAACCCAACATATCATATATAGGGACTCTATATTCTTTTGGAGGTGGACAAGGACAGATGTCTAGTCGTTCGGATGGGACGAAAAACCGAGGTCCCGTGTACACATTGGCGTGCACTTAAAAGATGGGGGCATATGGGGATGAGGGAAAAAGTAAAGCATGACTTTATTAAGCCGCGGTGGCAATAACACCTTAAAGTTTTAATTTGAACAATCAAATTTGAACATGAGGGGACGTAAAAAATAAACAAAAACAATGATAAAAGATATTGGAATTAGTGCGTTTTTTCTTTAACTTATACTGATTACAAACGATTCCAAAATTTTAATAAGCCATCGACCGGTTTATTCGACTGACTATTTGATTTGGACTTACGGTCGACTCGGTTTTTTTGGTATGTTTCAGAAATTACGAAGTTCTAGACGAAATTGAAAATTCTGAAAAAATCTGAATTTATTCTAGATCTTTCGTAGATCAATAGTTGAGATTTTATCAAAATCTTATTGTTTGTGACTGCGGAATTAATTTGCTGCAGGATGAATATTGCGGGAAAATGGCTTCCCTCAAACATGTCAAAAAGTAAAAGAAAGTAAATAGAACAAAATGCACTTACATTGACTTAGAAAAACATAATTTAGTTTGCGCTTCTTACAGTAATACATCTTTCATTATATGGTATGCAAAAATTACACTTTATCATTTAATTTCTTTCAAATATGCCTATATGGTCATGACGTTTCTGAAATTTGACTCAAGAAATTGTGGAAAGTAAATAAGTGAAACCATGCCCATAGTTTTACCCGTAGTTTTCATTGCAGCCATGCCTGCTATTTTCGACTGCAGCCCTGTTCGAACAGAGATTGTGAATGTATGACAGGTCGTCAGAGCCTCTGGCACTGGCAGAGGGGGTAGTAGTACTCGGTTGGAGTCATAATTCTGTGGCCATTCATTAAGTTTCAGAAATCAGCTTTTATAATCAAGTTGTCTTGAAATCAAACCAAAAGTTTAGTTGATATTTATTGTGGTCAGGTTATAATAGCATGCTAGTATGATATTTATTGTCGTCATGAGTATGATCTATTGTATTCTTCAGTGTACTATTAGGCTCACTTTTTTACCAGATATTTTATATTTATATTTATAGAACGGATGCACCTACATGTAATGCATAGTGTTAACCTGTTAAGTGCGTAGGTCATTATATAACGTCCTGGACAACTGCCACTCACTGTGTGTAGGGCGTAATATAACGCCTTGGAGGTATTTTCCCAACCTATTCTTAGAACATAGTTCGTCACTTGGGGGAATTCCCCCACATCACAGCATGTGTAGATGTTATATTACATCCTGGACAACTGCCACTCACTGTGTGTAGGGCGTAATATAACGCTTGGAGGTATTTTCCCAAACCTTTTCTTAGTACATAGTTCTTCGTCACTTCGTCAAATTAATTTCACAATAGGGGGTAGTTAACGTTTTAAAAACGTCGTGCTTAACAGGTTAAGCAAACCTGTGTCGACATTGAAGTCTGAAGTTGATGTTGTCGACATTTTCTTACATTAAAGAAAGATGGCAGCCATTTCTGGTACCATTATACCGTATACAACTGTTAACATGTCCATAATCTTGTTGGGTTTTTTTTTGTTTTTATTTCTTATCGTCCCTTTGTAAAGTGTCCCTGAACATGTTATATAAAAGGGCGCACTATAAATATGCTATAATAGTAATCATGATAATACTGTTAGTCATGAATGACAGTGCTAACACCATCGGCTGATAGCTGTTCAGTCTACATACTAATATTTCTGACTGTCATTTGTCTGTTGAGGGTTGTACATGACACTTGTCCAACCTCGTGGGTTTTCTCCGGGTCCTCCGGTTTCCTCCCACTGCTAAAGACCCTTACACGCAAGCAAATTATTGAAATAAAATTGAACCATATGTTAGTCCCAAAATGACCTAGTTTGTGTCGAGTGGATGTTTAACTTTCTGTTATACTTTGTTTTTTATCACAATGTAATTTGAAATACTGTTATATTTGATTTATTGTTTTGTAGGTTCATCAATGTCGGTCATCCTGTAACCACTTGTGTACCACCAATCAATCATCCTGTATCAATGTATGCCTAGTATCCAGCTGTACAAGCTTCCATTCTTTTTTAAATAGAGTCCATAGGAACTTCCTACACTCATCAGTTCCTGTATAGACCCTAACTATATATATAGAACCCAAAGTTACATGTACTTTGTATAATAAGCCCATTGTTTAAAATCGAGCAGCATCATCACAAATACAAAACATCTTATATTGTTAGGTCAGCAATATCGAAACCCTGTATATTATAGTTCCTGGATCATCGGTACAAATCATCCTGTGTTATAGGACCATCAGTACAAGTCATCCTGTATTATAGGACCATCAGTATAAAAGATCCTGTACTTTAAAACCAACAGTATCAGTCATCCTGTGTTATAGGACCATTGGTACAAGTCATCCTGTGTTGTAGAACTATTAATAGAACAGATCCTGTGTTTTAGGACCACAAGTACAAAAGATCCTGTACGTTAAGACCAACAGTACCAGTCATCCTGTGTTATAGGTCCATCAGTACCAGTCATCCTGGATCCAGATGACATGATAGCAGCGTGTGAAACCCAGGATTTCGTGCCATTTGGCCGAGAATACATACATCATCATCCTGGTCATTTTCAGCTGCAAGTTCAAAATACTAAACATGCTGATCATGGTCTTCGACTTCTCAAATCATTTCGAGACTCACCTCATGAAGTTGGCAAGGTATGGCTACAAACATGTTTTAATTATAAGTTCTCTAGTCATTTTTTTTTTTCATTTTAACAACTGCCACCTATTTAAACATTACACCATTCAAAAACAGTAGTTTTAGTCCAAAGTAATAATTAAATTTGTTTCCATAGAAACACAAAAATTATTTCTGATTAGCAAAATATAATAGATTGTTCGCTGCCACAGTGGATTAGAGATTAAGGCACTGGCTAATTAACCTCTAGGTCCGAAGTTCAATGCCCTTATTGGCCAAGAAGGTTCCCTGGGTTTTGCCAGTAATGTTTTTTCCCCTTGTCAGTTGTTCTGGTCAGGGGACCTAGCGAGGAACAACATCGAGTCGTTCGGATGGGTAGAAAAACAGAGGTCCTGTGTACACATTGGTGTGCTAGTTAATTCACCCTTGACAGTTGGAATTGCTGTCCAGGAAATATTTTCTGTATAGTATGCTTTTCTTCATCAGACTGGTTCATGTAGTTATGGCTGTTCTATTTCAGAAAATGCAGTGGATATTCTACAGTATAGCTTTTTTCTATTGAAGAAGAAAGCAGATGTGGGTGGGCGGTCTACCTTGTGCACTTTAGATTATAAGGTCTGTCATTGAGACAAGTGGCTTAGGTAGAAGGGGGGGGGGCCAAATGGTTAGTGTGTGCGCGCCTTGTATCATAAGGCCTGTCATTGCATCAACTGACGACGTCTCGATTCCCCAGTTGTTCGTGACAAGGAGTGGGGTCACCTGTCCAACCTTGTTGGTTTTCTCTGGGTCCTCTGATTTCCTCAAGCGAATTATTGAAATATAATTGAACCATATGTTAGTCCCAAAATGACCTAGTTTGTGTCGAGTCGACGTTAAAGAACATTTCTCCCTGTCTCCCTTAATACAATCCATGCTTAATCATGGCAAGCGACTTATTGAAATAACATTGTCCCATATGTTAGTCTCGAAATGACCTAATGTATGCTTAACCCCATTTCTCTCTGTGTTTCAGAAAGAACAGTGGATATTTCGATCCCGTGAAGATGGAGAAGGAAATAAATGTGACGAGGAACTGTATGTCAGTGGTAGAACAGTTGTCTGGAGTCAAGGTGGTCAAAACGGAGTCCGTAACATCATTAAAACATTTACTGTTGATTCACCTGTTGTACAGGTAAACACCCTAGTTTTACCTAACCCCGAGTTCACAAAACAATTTCAGACTTAAGTTAAGAATTTACTCAACTTTTAATCACTGTTTATGAGAAATATCTTTGATTCAGAAACACAGAAATTTACACATAGTTTCTTATTGATGTATTTGATACATTAAAACAGCATAAGTTTTATAAAGTTCTATAAGATGAACAATTTTGAGTAAATTCTTAACTTAAACATGCATTATGCCAGAGCTATATCTGCCTATTGCAGGTCTTTCTTTAGGCCTGAATTGTTTTCTAAATTGTTAATTAGACATTAATTAACTGATCCAGGCCTTAATCAACTCTCGATGGCATCAGATTTCTCCGATATTAAATAGATTAGAATGGTTCAGCGATACTTTGATTTAATCAAATATGGAGGACCGAGACTTAGCTTTGATGAACCAGTACGGTGGTTGAAATTATTGCACACGTCTGCCAAACCTTCAAAGGCTAATATCTTCGCTTGCAATAGAGTAATTTGAATGAAATTTTCAAATTATTCATTTTACATCATCTACTTTCTAACTGTTATAGCAAGAATGGCTAGTTCTTTATCTAAATCTTACATAATGCATCTTTAAGTCTGAGAATGTTTTGTGAACTTGGGCCCTGGTTGTACTTAGTAATAAAACGATTAAAGATGCATTAGAACATGTTCGGAATATACACGCAAGCCATGTCCCAAATATACAGGCGAAACAGCACCCTGGTACACGATAGTGACTGCAACACTGAGTAATTTATCATGGCAATATCGTAGCGTTATCATGGCAATTTTCAACCAAAAAAGATACAATAAGCGTGTCCAGTCAAACCATCGCAATGACCGTACTGTACCTACCATTAGTCAAATACCTTCAAGATACATTATGTAACATATAGAGAAAAAAATGCACACTGATCAGCAGTGAATTTTCGCTAGGCCGCTACAATCATTAGAAAAATAAATAAAGACGTTTGAATTGTTTGTAGGTAAAAATCATTTCCTATTTAGTGTAAATGGGTATTAAAATAAGTAAAATTCACCATTTAGCCTGAATCAGTAACGTCTTATGTAAACAATGCACACGCTATTGAGCCAATGATTGACGCCACGTGATGTGACGTCATGTGTCGAAACAGTCATCTGTTACAGAGATATTAGAAGATCTCTGTGAAAAAGATTGAAAAAAAGGGTTGTTCAAAATATTTCAAAAATAGATAATGGGAAATGAATATGTTGCAATTGTATTTAAATCTGTTGAAAATCAAAACCATCCGAAGTTGATTATGGGCCTGGCATGTAAATAAATCTCTAATTAATGATTTATATAACATTTAAGGCCAAACAAAAGATCTGCATTAGGCAGATTTAGCTCTTAGATAATGCATCTTTAAATAGCGATTCATCTCCACGACAATATTCTGAATTATGTTTTGGCCAAACACTTTGTCTAATATTTGTTTTATTTTAGGCTTTATGGGGTACGTTTGTACTAAGTGGAACAGAGAAAAGAAACACGACCTCATCAAGTCTTGAACAAACAGGTCTGTCAAAATAATGTTAATCGTGTCGATCGAAATCTACAATTATACAAAATGAAATTCACCAAGAGATTTTAAGCAGAGTTTTAAATTTTGAATGTGTTATTGGTGTGGCTATCATAGATCTGATTCTTTGTGACTTGACTAGAACCTTTACCTGAATTCAGGATACAAAATACAAAAATTTGATCAGAGCAGAATTTGTGAAGCCGATATTCTAGGCGTAGCTGGCTCTTACGATAGGTGAGCCACAGTGGCTAAGTGGGTAAGACGCTGGTGGTCCCGTGTTCAATCCGTGCATTGGCTGAGAAAGTTCATCTGGATTTTCCGACGTAGTTTCCCCCCTTGTCAGTGATGCAGGACAGCTTTTTAGTCGGCAGTTAGAATTCGATATAAGAGTAGGCCATAGTGCCGCTACACGGGCAAAATTTCCCTCATACATGTAGCACACTGTGTGGCATATTTCGATCTTCATTAGCCCAGTCAGAGCAGAACTGTACGACGTTTTATATACATCATTACATGTGCAATATGCCCCATTTAAGTTTATGGCTACGCTGCGAAGATCACTGAAAATGGAGGTTTGGAAAATATACTTGTTTTACCGTGTGTAAATTGACTGATAGATCCCAAGGCATTCGGGTCAGTTTATAAAACAAACGGTTGTGATACAAGTTCAACCATAAATTATTAGGGGTTTTTATTATTATTTTAGGCACAGTTCAGAAAGGTATTTGTGTTATAGAATCCAGTACATTGAGTTTTTTCCAAGAAAAAGGTGGTGATTATTTGACGGCATTACCTTTCCAGGTATGTTTCAATTTTATATTGGATTTTTGATTCTTTATTTTAAGGGGGGCGGCTACCTGAAAATTCTTGGTCTGAAATATTAAAGCTATTGAATTGAAAATGGTACATGTAGTTAGCAAAGACAAAGCAGAAGTTGTATTTCCAAATACCCACTTGAAACATCGACGCTGATTGGTTAATCAAATATCTGATGTCATAGGGTCAAAAGCAGCTCCATGACGCCTGACGCGACCTCAGGCTACAACCAGTCAGATCTTCATGTAGTGTAGGCCATCAAAAATATAAAAAAAACAAAAAAAACGAAATATAGATCTGTGTTTTAATCGAATTGAGGATTAAATCTATTATATACTTCTATTGTTGGTAAGGGGGGGGGGGTTGGATGGCCAAGGGAATGATTGAAATAAAATTTAACCATATGTTAGTCCCGAAAAGATCTGGTTTGTGTTGAGTGGACGTCAAACCCCATTTCTCTTTCTCTCTATTATAGGTATCTCAAGCATGGACAATGAAGAATGGTTTACTATTTGAACGATGTCTAGCACAAGCAGAATATTCTGCTCCTAAAAAGTTGGTGTACTCAATTTGAAATTATTTTTTTTTAAAATATCTAATTTTAATTTTTGGTTGCCATGTAGACTTTGATATGCTGATGTATAATGTGGATGTATATTCTGTCGGTTCGTCGGTTACCAAGAGCTGCAGTGGCTCAATGGCTGGTTTACTAACTACTGGTTCCAAACAATGTCCAAATATATAATTTAATGGAAAATTTGACAAAATCAAATAATTAGGTCAGCAGAATATTTCATGCATAAAGTCAGGGTTTATCACAAAGCACAGTTTTATTTTGAATAGTTTTTTTTTTTGTTTTTACAACTTTGGTCTTGGACACTTTTTTTTACTGCAAAGCCTATGATCTGATTAAATTATGTGAATACACATTTCTTTTTATGTTTGTACAACTTTGGTCTTGTTTTTGCAGATTTATTGTTTACTGCAAAGCCTAAATTATATGACTAATTATGAAGTCTTTAAAAACAGTCAAGCAAACATTTAAATATAAAATAAAAAGTCAAAAAATATCGATATGGCAAAAATATATCAATACAGCAAAAATGTATCGATACAGTGTATCGCACACGATCTTATAGTAATATTTTTGACAGCCGGATCAGGAGGTGAGAAAGGAATTCCAGCGGGCAAGACCTGTCCTTGACACGTCGTACCATGTACATGTATGAAGTCGTCGTTTGATATTCAATTTGATACTGAAATCAACTTTAAAAGTGATGCTATACTTGATATATTTCAGAAATGCTCCTAATCAGACTATAGTATTCAGTATGTTACATCCTTTAGATGAAGTAGCACCAGTTATAACCGTTACAACAGGTATTTAGTTTTATATATATATATAGTATTCACTGTCAGGTAATGAAAAAGAGCTTTTACTCACCCTCTCCTTGGCTTGCATGAAATCACCCCAGTTGTACGTGACAAGGAGTAGTGTCGCCTATCCAACTTCGTGGGTTTTCTCCAGGTCCTCCGGTTTCCTCCCACTGCTAAAGACCCCTACGTGCAAGCGAATTATTGAAATAAAATTGAACCATGTGTTAGTCCCAAAATAACCTTGTTTATGTCGAGTGGACGTTAAACACCATTTCTCTCTGCATGAACTCATATTTGGTGGCGATTTTTATTAAGCGCCTTACCATATCTAATATCTCTTTTTACAGGGATCTCACTAACTTTTTATGTAACAGGAAATATTTCTAAAGTAAGGGGCACGTAAAGGATCCCTTGGCAGCTGAATTCGATGTAAGAGTAGGCTGTAGCGTGGTCTGGGTCACCCAGAACCACCCCAGGTGTTCAATGTCCGTTGTTAGAATTTGACAAAAAGTTCCATTGCCCATGCGTAACTGGTAGGTTTTTTTTTATGTGGTTGATTATCCAGTGTCTTTGACCAAGTCAAGTAAGAGTTCCAGCAATAAATCCCATTATTCTTGCATTATCATAAACAAACATGAATCGTGACCACGAATTAGGATTAATTTTTAAAAAAAACATAGATATGGTCCACGAAGAGAGAAATTTTACAATAAAAAAATTAAGAGTATTGGATATTGAACTGGCAATGCAATGAAATGGGTTTTCTGAAATGGCATTCTTAAATTAATTTCATGGGCGTCAACATCTTGTTTTAGGACTAGTTACCTCCCTTAGACTTTGTTCATGATAATGTAAAAGACCGGATAATCTAGCCAATGACCTATTATTCTCAAATGTTTACAACTCGTCCAGACTAATATTCATAGAATATTTTTCTGGATGATAGAGACTAGGTGAGAGAGAGACAGAGAGAGAGAAATGAGGTTTAACTTCCACTCAATAAAACATGTCATTTTGGGATTAACATATGGTAAAATTTTATTTCAATAATGCCAGCCATTAAGTTTCATTGTCAGTCATTCAAGACTGCCAAATATTACTAAAACCTGGGGGCTGTTTCACAAAATTTTAACTAAGATAAAATCCAAATTTTAGTAATTTGATTGGATAATATTAGATTGATTTTAGTGCTTAGCCAATGAAAATTGAAGTATCTACTAAAATTTGGATTTTATCTTTAGTTAAGATTTCGAGAAACAGGGCCCTGAGCCCTCATTTTAACTACTATATTCCAGGAGCTGGAGGATGTCCTAAGATAAGCTATTTTACAGACAACACGCAGCATATTATATTTACAAATCTGGAACCATCACTAGCATTTACGTATGATACTATGTTAGGTTTACATTCAGCTTGGAAGATACGCAGAGCTAGACAAGAGGTATAACTTTTATATTTTAATTGTCTATTTTAATTGTCTATTTCAATTGTCTATTTTAATTGTCTATTTCAGTTGTCTATTTTAATAGTCTATTTAGGGAATTTATCTCTTTATTTTAATTGTCTATTTTAGTTGTCTCTCTATTTTATTTGTCTATCTCTCTATTTTATTTGTCTATCTCTCTATTTTATTTGTCTATCTCTCTATTTTATTTGTCTATCTCTCTATTTTATTTGTCTATCTCTTTATTTTATTTGTCTATCTCTTTATTTTATTTGTCTATTTCTTTATTTTAGTTGTCTATCTCTTTATTTTATTTGTCTATCTCTTTATTTTATTTGTCTATTTCTTTATTTTAGTTGTCTATCTCTTTATTTTAGTTGTCTATCTCTTTATTTTATTTGTCTATCTCTCTATTTTATTTGTCTATCTCTTTTCTTTTAGTTGTCTATCTCTTTATTTTATTTGTCTATCTCTCTATTTTATTTGTCTATCTCTCTATTTTAGTTGTCTATCTCTTTATTTTAGTTGTCTATCTCTTTTCTTTTATTTGTCTATTTCTTTATTTTAATTGTCTATTTTAGTTGTCTCTCTATTTTATTTGTCTATCTCTCTATTTTATTTGTCTATCTCTCTATTTTAGTTGTCTATCTCTCTATTTTATTTGTCTATCTCTTTATTTTAGTTGTCTGTCTCTTTATTTTAGTTGTCTATCTCTTTATTTTATTTGTCTATCTCTCTATTTTATTTGTCTATCTCTTTATTTTATTTGTCTATCTCTTTATTTTATTTGTCTATCTCTTTTCTTTTATTTGTCTATCTCTTTATTTTAGTTGTCTATCTCTTTATTTTATTTGTCTATCTCTCTATTTTATTTGTCTATCTCTCTATTTTATTTGTCTATCTCTCTATTTTATTTGTCTATCTCTTTATTTTATTTGTCTATCTCTTTTCTTTTATTTGTCTATCTCTTTATTTTATTTGTCTATCTCTCTATTTTATTTGTCTATCTCTCTATTTTATTTGTCTATCTCTCTATTTTAGTTGTCTATCTCTTTATTTTATTTGTCTATCTCTTTATTTTATTTGTCTATCTCTCTATTTTATTTGTCTATCTCTTTATTTTATTTGTCTATCTCTCTATTTTATTTGTCTATCTCTTTATTTTAATTGTCTATCTCTTTATTTTATTTGTCTATCTCTTTATTTTAGTTGTCTATTTCTTTATTTTAATTGTCTATTTCTTTATTTTAGTTGTCTATCTCTTTATTTTAGTTGTCTATTTCTTTATTTTAATTGTCTATCTCTTTATTTTAGTTGTCTATCTCTTTATTTTAGTTGTCTATCTCTTTATTTTAGTTGTCTATCTCTTTATTTTAATTGTCTATCTCTTTATTTTAATTGTCTATTTCTTTATTTTAGTTGTCTATCTCTTTATTTTAGTTGTCTATTTCTTTATTTTAATTGTCTATCTCTTTATTTTAATTGTCTATCTCTTTATTTTAGTTGTCTATTTCTTTATTTTATTTGTCTATCTCTTTATTTTAGTTGTCTATCTCTTTATTTTAATTGTCTATCTCTTTATTTTAATTGTCTATTTTAGTTGTCTCTTTATTTTAGTTGTCTATTTCTTTATTTTAGTTGTCTATCTCTTTATTTTAGTTGTCTATTTCTTTATTTTAATTGTCTATCTCTTTATTTTAGTTGTCTATCTCTTTATTTTAATTGTCTATCTCTTTATTTTATTTGTCTATCTCTTTATTTTAGTTGTCTATCTCTTTATTTTAATTGTCTATCTCTTTATTTTAATTGTCTATCTCTTTTTTTTTTAATTGTTTATATTTGTATAATCTGTAAAATTTTGGGAGTTTTGTACATTTAATCTCCTTACGATTTTTTACAGGAATGTGGGACGTTGTCAGCATTGGTAGAAAATGTTAGTTTTTGTCATTTAATGGCAGCTACTCCAGTGACTGGTTTGAATCAATCTAGTAATAGTACAACACACTCACATTCACATTCACGATTCCGAGCCAGTCCCTTCACTAATTCACCAAATGTTTCTCCACTACGTACAAAATCTGGTAAACTGACCTCATCTTCAGCATCAAGATCACCAAGTCTTCGTGCTATGGCAGCAGTCAGGTGAGTGGTTTATAGATTTACAAATTTTATTTAATCATAATTTCCTGGTCGTGAAAAATGGATATTTACGAATTTTATATAATCAGCATAAATTCCTGGACGTGACTAATCGATGTTTACAAATTTTATTTAATCATAATAATTTCCTGAACGTGACTAATCGATGTTTACGAATTTTATTTAATCAGAATAAATTCCTGGACGTGAATAATGGATATTTACGAATTTTATTTAATTATAATAATTTCCTGTGTGTGAATAATGGATATTTATGAATTTTATATAATTTCCTAGGTATGAATAATGGATATTTACATTATGAATTATAGAAGATTTAGAAAAAAAAGTCGGATGTTCTTACTATAATAGTTCAAAAATAGATAATAAAAAATGAATATATCGAAAATAGCACTTAAATTACTTTATTCTGAGCGAAGTTATATATTTTTATAAGTTAAATAAAATTCATATGGTTACAATTTCACTGATTACCAAATGCCTCTCATTATTTATTTGGGGGATCACAGTGGCTAAGTGGGTAAGACGCTATCTTGCTAGCCTGGAGGTCGGTTGGTCAATCCCTGCATAGACTGAAAAAGTTCATCCAGATTTTCCGCATGGTTCACCCTTGTCAATGATGCATGGAGAAGGGCCTGACAAGGACAGCTGTCCAGTCGTTAAGATGAGACAAAAAAAACAAGGTCTGGTGTACACATTGGCGTGCACATAAAAGATCCCTTGACAGTTGGAATTTGATATAAGAATAGGCCGTAGTGCCGCTGTCTGGGCAAAATTTCCCTCATAGCACACTGTATGGCGAATGTTTGGAGCATAACAGTAGGACGTTAAACCCCATTTCATTTCATTTCTTTTCTGTCATTATTTAGTCGAAGTCAGTCACCAGGAATGGGTTCAAGTTCTGTTCGTAGATTTTTATCACCGAATCCTGCTAATAAATCATCAAGTCTTTCCATGCGGACACCCAGCAAACGTCAGGTACCTCTGATAGGTGTTAATAGTTTCTCAGAATGGTCGGAACCGTTACAACCTGAGGTGTGTTTTGAACATTTGTGGACTGAGCCAACTCCCACTATCAGGTAGGTTAACGATAAAACCAACTCCCACTTTCAGGTAGGTTAATGATAAAACCAACTCCCACTATCAGGTAGGTTTACCATAAAAGTATAGGTAAGATTCACTAAGCAACAAACACGACACAATCTGATTAAAACACAGATCCTATTTCGTTTTGGGGGGTTGGATGGCCGAATGTGCTGTATCATAAGGTCTGTCATTGAGGCAACTGGCGAGGTTTCGATTCTCTGGTTGTACGTGACAAGGAGTAGGGTCACCTGTCCAACCTCATAGGTTTTCTCCGGGTCCTCCAGTTTCCTGCCACTGCTAAAGACCCCTATGTGCAAGTGAATTATTGAAATAAAATTGAACCATGTGTTAGTCCCGAAATGACCTAGTTTGTGTCAAGTGAACGTTAAACCCCATTTCTCTCTCTCTCTCCTATTTCGTTTCGTTTTTTATAGTTCAAAATTGAAATAAAATTAAACCATGTGTTAGTCCCAAAATGTCTTAGTTTGTGTCGAGTGGACATTAAGCCCCATTTCTCTCTTCCTCCAATTAGCATATGCTTAATGTTGGTTTGTAAAAATCAATGTTTTAATGTAACATTTGCTAATATTCAATTTATCGTCCATTGTACGATGCCACTGTTAGCTAAGGTGCAGGACAGAGTATGGAAGAGAAAAGTATCTAGCCATTCGGATGGTATGAAAAAAACAAGGTCCCATATACACCATAGCAACTTGTTAAAGAATACAATTTAATGTATTAGAGGAGGCCATGGTGTATGACCGTCTTCATTAGCCCAGTCAGTGTAGAAAAGTAAGACATCCTCATTTCTTTTCATTATATATTTTGATTCAGGGATGGAAGTTTAGGTAAAGCCACAAAAGTTTTTTTAACCAAAGATATGTGTGGACAACAATTTCTCTGTTATCTTATTCCATTTAAACAACATTTAAGGTAAGTAAACAATTTCTCTATTATCTTATTCCGTTTAAAGGAGCCAGACTATTAAACATACATTATGCAAGAGCTAAATCTGTCTATTGCAGGTCTTTATTTAGGCCTGAAATGTTATCTAAATTATTAATTAGACATTTATTAACCTATCCAGACCATAATCAACTCTAGATGGTTATGCTAGCCTGCGATCTTTAGTGGATTATGAGCCGATTTACTGCATAACTTTATTCACGATTTAACGATTAAATGGATAATCGAGACTATGCTGTTTATCGTTCTGACTTTAGTAATAATGATCGGGGCTAGGCAGAAATTTCAATCGCTTAGTTCTCGGTTCATAATGGATCAATTTGGATGAAATTTTCAGCAAATTGCCTTTACATTATCTAGTTTTTAACTATTATAGTGAGAACTGCCAACTCGTTATCGAATCTCCCATAATGTATCTTTAATATTTGGGCCTAGAATTTTACGTAAATGGGTCGCAACACATTTAATAATGTAATATGAATGTATATAAACTGATTTACTGTTTTTACTCTGAAAATCAGCTGTGTTCGGCAAAATACTAAACTGATCATAGTATTTATTGTGCATGCTCTCAAGAAAAGAATATGGCGTCACCATTTGACATGACTTTTTGAATATGTCTAGCCTCATTCTTCGAGTCCTTTGTTTCAAATGGTGCTGATTCGTGTACCAATGGTAAAATGTTTATTTTGTCTTAAATATTGGATATCAGAAGTCCATCCCAGTAAGATCACAACATCAATGTTGATTTTTAAATTGACAAATTTTCAATGTCAAAGACTTTGGATGATTTTAAACACCTGTCTTCATTAGCCCACGGTCGGAGCAAAACAGTAGGATGTTAAACCCCATTTCATTTCACTTTAAACAGCGTTTAACTTTTAAAGTAAGATAACCTAAGGATATTTTTCACGTCTTCCATCTCCTACTATATTTTTTGTAATTTTAGATTATTAAAATTTGAAGAGAGTAATGATTTAAAACAGCTGATATTTGGTAGTTTGACAATGTTACCTGCTAAAGATGCTACTCCAATACAGGTAACCACAATTTCTATCATTAATATTTTATATAACCTGCTAAAGATGCTACTCCAATACAGGTAAACATCATTTTGGAACTAAAATATGGTACAATTGTATTTCTTTATCAGTATGAGGAAACGGGTCCTTCAGGCCCAAATTCACAAAGCATTCTCAGACTTAAGAATATACTCAAAATTGTTCACCTTATTTTAACTAAAATATAGCCCTTTATAAAACCTTTGTTGTTTTAATGTATCAGATACATCAATAAGAAACTATGTGCAAAGTTTTGTGTTTCTTCATCAAAGATATTTCTCATAAACACTGATTGAAAATTGAGTAAAGTCTGAGAATGCTTTGTGAACTCGGGGCCTGGTTAGTGAACTATTGCCTTACTCTCTGAGCAACCATGGCTCCAAGCTCTTGTCAATACGTTGCCAGAAAGAAACAAATAAGTAACGTGTATTAAATATATTTGGGATGCCAGTGCAATAAGGTCGACAGGTGCCACTTCACAAAATCTTCGAAAAATAGTATTTTTGCATATTTTTAGAACAAGGGCCTTTTTCCCGAAATTTTAACTAAGATAAAATCCAAATTTTAGTAATTTGATTGGATAATATTAGGTTCATTTTAGTGCTTAGCCAATCAAAATTGAAGTATCTACTAAAATTTGGATTTTATCTTTAGTTAAGATTTCGAGAAACAGGGCCCAGAACACTAAAATTGACATATACTTATTTTAAAATAATGCTAATGATAGATTTATTTTTAAAAAAATCTTATTCTTATTGAAAAACAACGACACTTGTCCACCCTATTGCCATAGCATCCTCAAATGTGTCATATTTTATTTATTAAATTGAATGGTATATTATGTACATATTTTATTTTTCTATAGAGTTTAGATTTATTGGTGGTATTGGAGTCTGGTGGTTTTTTATTTATATACAGTGGCACCACTAAGGTTTGATTATAATTTAGTATATTTAATCATATAAAATAATTAATGTATATTTAATATCTTTTTATTTCAATATCGGGGGGGGGGGGGGCTTGGGATACTGTATGGAGCGTTTCGGAATTGATTTCCCTCAATCAATCAATCTGGCAAACGGAATTTCGGGTGACAAGACATGTGCCAACTAATAAGAATACTATCCCAACAGATCATGGAGCCACTTTGGCTAAGTGGGTAAGACGCTGGCTTGCTAGCCTGGAGGTCGGGTGTTCAGTCCCTGTATTGGCCGAGAAAGTTCATTGGTTTCCCCACAGAGGGGTTTAATATAGGCTATGCCTGTTCCAGTGATGGAATTTTGCCCGTATATTCCAGACTTGTCCGAATCTTTTTTCCAAACGCCCAAAATTGTCCGACCGGGAATATGCCCAATCGGACATCAAGACATGGTGAATAATATTCAAAATTCCGAAATTAATATAGTTTACTGAGTGTATAACTACCACTCAACCCGATTATTGTCGATAATACGCTGGGTTTATTAGGTAATTAAGTGATCAACGTATTTATCGTGTTATACCGTCTATAGTATAAACCTACCTTGATTTAACTACTTAATCTGCCTTGATTGACTGACTTAATCCTTTGTCGGACAATTCATCAATCTAATCTTAAACAGAAGTCATTGCTTTCCTTTTGTCGAACTATTCATCAATTCAATAAGAATGATTATAAACCTTGTGGTTTCTCATTTGTCGGGCATCTTAATCGCATTGATGTGAGCCGACATCATCTATAATAAACTAATCATAGATGTCACATATCGTAAGAGTAAATAACACCCTAAATCAATGGACAGTCATTTTGTCTACGATATCTTTTACGTCTTTTAAGAATCCATATAGAAATTCTCATCCACAGTGGCACTTTCCCTTGATCTCGAGCGCGGCACGAATATTGCTTAAAATATTATTAGGCAGTGCTTACTATGAAGCTGATTTTAGCTATGCCTGTTTACAAGTGATTTAACTATTTCGGAAGTTCTGCATTCATTTGCTGCCGTATAAACGAAGACACGTAATTCTAAAGGAATATTATGGTTGTGCCGTACGGGAATTAAGTGTGAAAAATAGCGAGGTCACCAATTTTTATTACGTACGGGATTTGAATATTTTGTTGACATGTGGTTTTTAATTGTGGTATGAATTGAATACTGTACGGGAATTAAATATGAAAAATAGCGAGGTTCACCTATTTTTAATACGTACGGGATTTGAATATTTTGACATGTGACTTTTAATTGTGGTACGAATTCGTCTGCTTAAATAACGATAAGAGTTATGCCCCTTTATTTTCGGTAAAATGTCCGACAAGTAAAATTTTGAAATCCCATCACTGGCCTGTTCCCCAATCCCTATTCAGATACAAATCTGAATAAAAATATTGCTTAAAAAAAAAAAAAGGACAGCTGTGTAGTCGTTCAAATGGTACGAAAAACCGAGGTCCCGTGTATACATTGGCGTGCACATAAAAGATCCCTTGGCAGTTGGAATTCGATATAAGAGTAGGCAATAGTGCCGCTGTCCGGGCCTAGCATACTGTATGGTGAATGCCCGTCTTCATTAGCCCAGTTTAGGAGCAGAACAGTAGGATGTTAAACCCCATTTCAATTCATTTCCATTTCATTTCGACAGATCACCATAGTTAAAATGTCTGATTACCTCACGGTTTTAGCAAAATTTGCCTCATTTCAGTTGATTATTTACCTCGTGATTCTTCTCACACCACATCTGTTTCCAAGACTGGCCGAACTGTGACTGCACTCTATTACATGTCACTTGATATCAAATCAGTCAATTCTAGACGGACAATCAAGTGGTATTAAAGATAATGTTCGCGTGTGACCTTTCACATCATGCGTGCAGAAATTCCTAATCGTCAGCCTGTCGATTAGGGGAACCCTTTCATTTTTCTCCTGTACACGCTCCATGAGTGTTTTTCATGGAATCCAGTATTTTTCTAGTAAGATTGGCTATCTCTACTTTCCATATATACCAAAATTACCATACTTTTATTAGAAATAACCACGCGGTAAATACTTTTCTGGGAACCCATCTTTAAGGTCTGTAATAATTACTTTAATTTCAGATTAGTCAAATACACATCCCTTTTCTACCTCTTGGTTCTGGATCTCTAAGTTTACTGCGACCTATGACCCCTCAAGGAAGTCCAATTCGTGGCATCTTTACGTCCAGTCGACCCGCCAGCGCCATGGATGCCAGATTTGATGAAGAGGTTAGTTGATATAATTCAATAATTGTGTTTTATTCCACTCCAAATAAACCTGAGGGAGGAATATTCAAATAGGCACCATCTTTCCGTTCTGTTTTTGTTGCCATGGCAATTTTCATAAACCATTCAAGATATCTTTTTTGAAACTTGGTATTGGGTATTAGTAGGGGGCAGGATTTTATGGTAGATAATATTGTGGAACCAATGAAAATGAGATTAAACAAATTAAATTTGGTGAACTACAGGTAAAATGTTTATGAAAACCTGACTTGAAATGACACAATCTTCATATTATATGATGTTTATTATCACTATATTTTTAATTGTATCAGAGGTAAATTATCAAATTTGCCTACCATGGTTTGACTGCCCTTTTGCCTCCCTGGTCTATTAATATTTATGATTATATTTTGTTTTAGCTGTAAAATACTTAAACCCCACCCCTCTCTGTCTCTCTCTCTCTCACACACACACACAATCACCAGTTAGTACAGTACAAGATTTGCATACCATGGTTTGACTGCCCATGTTGCCTTATATATAAACTCATATTTATTATTTTAGCCCCCCTCCCCCCTTCTATAATTTATTATTATTATTATATTTTATTTTAGATCAGTCATATATCGCCAGTACAGTGTAATGCTGAAGATATTAGTCAGATGGAGAGTGATGTCATACCACCACAATGTAATACATTTATACAGAATATGAGAGATAACATAGATAATAGATTTACTATAGTAAGTAAATTACATCTATCTTCTTTGATTGGCATTTAGTAATTGGGGGGGTTGGATGGCCGAATGGTTAGCATGTGCGCGCGCTGTATCACAAAGCCTGTCATTGAGTCAACTGACATGGTTTCTAATCTCTGGTTGTATGTGACAAGGAGTAGGGTTGCCTGTCCAACCTCATGGGTTTTCTCCAGGTCCTCCGGTTTCCTCCCACTTCTAAAGACCCCTACGCGCAAGTGAATTATTGAAATAAAATTAAACCATATGTTAGTCCCAAAATGATCTAGTTTGTGTCGAGTGGATGTAGGTGTTTTTTTAAAAAGTGTTTGTCATTATAATTACAGGAATTATTAAATGGTAATTTATGTAGAACAACTTTACCGCCATTAACTAATTCTCCTGGTGGTAAGTTTTTATTTTCCTTTATATATCTTACATGGGGTGTTTCTAAACTGATACACTCTGAAAAATGTCAATAAATCCCAAATTATTTGAAGTATCAAGCTGAAATTTGTTAACCTATATGCTGATTCCAAATCAAAGCGCGGAAATATCATGTTTTGAAGCTATTTTTTAAAATAAACAAAAATCAATGTGGAACTGAATGAATTCGGCTGATATTTTTATTACTGGTTAATGAGTAGGTGTACTATAACATATCGAAAATTCAGGAGGGTGTTTTTTCTCGTTTTGGAAGTAATTTGGAAATTATTGTCATTTTTTCATTTTTCTGCATCAGTTTAGAAACACCCCACTTCGGAAAAATGTCTAAAAAATCGTCCAAATTTTTGGAAAATATTTTGGATCAAGAGGTTTCATAGGGCAACACTTATATGAAAAAATTATGAGTGAAATCGATGACGTGGGGGTTCACCCGCTGGTCGAATTGATGTGGAATGACCCTAGTGTGGATTAAACTGTCGAAAATTCGATATTTTCTGAACTTTAATGATTAGATATTTTATGCTATGAATTTTTTATTTTTTTGCGTTCATCTAGTTGACCTGTGTCTGAAGGCAATAAAACATCTGTTACCTAAAGATATTGCGCTACAAGTGTTGGGTAAATGGTACACATCACGTAATTTACCAGGTGGACTTGGCAATATGTCTGAATGGTCGCTGTTTTATAAATGTTTACTAAGCATGATGGGATATGATATAGGTCGCCTGGCTTTGACTAGTAAGGTAAGAACATATTATCTAAACTATTCAGGTTTTAAATAGCATCTTCTCCATGTTGTCACATGCTGAAAACGCTTTAGTAATGGCTCTACTCATAAAACTCTTGAAACAAGTAAGTCTTTAATACATGTCTTGACAGGAATTATGCCACAATATTCCTGTTTTTACTGGCTCCCCGGGACCAACTGAACTCGCACCAGGAGAGGTCCATATTTCTTCCCATGATTCCTTCACCTGCGTCTTTCATCAGGATTTTCCGATATGGTTTCTCCTGGTCAATGATACTGGAAGGAAGGCCTGACAAGGACAGCTGGTCAAGTCGTTCCATTGGGACGTAAAACCGAGGTCGCGTGTATACATTGGTGTGTACGTAAAAGATCCCTTGGCAGTTGGAATTCGGTATAACAGTAGGCCATAGTGCCGCTACCCAGGCAAAATTTCCCTTATAGCACACTGTATGGCGTATGCCCGTCTTCATTAGCCCAGTCGAAGCAGAACAGTGGGATTTTAAACTGCATTTCATTTCATTTCTTCATCTGCGTCATATATTTGTAATTTCACTTGTTTTGTTTAAATTATGCAAGACTCAGACGGAGGGTATAGTCATTCAGATGGTACGATAAACTGAGGTCCACCCGCGTACTCATTAGTGTGCACATTAAAAAAGCCAGAACAGTTGGAATTGTAGGTGGAAATGCAATCTGATTAAAACACAGATGCTATTTCGTTTTGTTTTTTATAGTTCAAAATTTCAATTTTACCTGTCTTTACTACACTAGGATCTGGAAGAGTTGTTATATAATACGCATTCTGGATAATGTGAGGGATTACCCAATGAAACGGTCTGTTACAGCAAGTTTTTGGTGTGACGACAACGCTGATTGGTTAATCAAATGTCTAACGTCATAGGATCAAAAGCTACTTGTATAACCCCTGATGCGACCTATCCCTACAACTGGTCAGCTCTTCATGTAGTGTAGGCCATTGAAAGTATAAAAAATGAAACGAAATATAGATCTGTATTTTAATCAGATTGGTGGAAATGCTGATGCAAAATTTCACCCCATGAAAGTGCATCTTTAATAATAATCAGGTATTAATAATGTAGATTATTATTTCAGCACGATATGGATAGTTCTATGTCACCTGTCATGTCTGCTAAACGACCTCGACACACAGATCAGGGATCAGAAGAGGTATGTTTATTTTATATATTCCGAGGGGTTGGGTGGCCGAATGGTAAGCGCGTACGCGCTGTTTTATAAGGTCTAACATTTCACCGATGTGGTTACTTGGAGTCACGGTGGCTGGGTGGTTAAGCACTGGTTCGCTAGCCTGGAGGTCGGCTGTTCGATCCCTGCATTGGCCGAGAAAGTTCATCCAAATTTTCCGATGTGGTTTCCCCTTGTCAGTGGTGCAGAACGGAGGGCCTGACAAGGACAGCTGTCTAGTCCTTCGGATGATATGAAAAACCGAGGTCCCGTGTATACATTGGAATGCACATAAAAGATCCCTTGGCAGTTGGAATTCGATATAAGAGTAGGCGATAGTGCCGCTGCCCGGGCAAAATTTCCCTCATAGCACACTGTGTGGTGTATGCCCGTCTTCATTAGCCCAGTTTAGGAGCAGAACAGTAGGATGTTAAACCCCATTTCATTTCATTTCATTGGTTACTTGTATAGTTGAATTTTACTACATATGCTTACATTCGTATTTCGTGTAGCATATAGCAGATCATGACTCATGCTGGCATTACACAATGGGTTCTTTGGGTTGTATTCCTAATTGTTTTCAAATTTGAGTGAAGTCTGTGTCACTACAGACCCAGGACTGTACAGCGCAGTGGACGCTTACGGCTAGCCCCCGGATCCATTCACTTTTTTTTAATTGTCTGTATGTTTGTGTTTTCCTGAGTATGATGTCCTGTCCGTATATTTGTTTTTTGTGTAAATTTTGTGTGGTGCAGTCCCCCTGCACTTACTATTGAGTCAGCTGGCGTGGTTTTGATTCCCCGGTTGTACGTGACAAGGAGTAGGGTAGCTTGTCCATCCTCTTGGGTTTTCTCCTGGTCCTCCGGTTTCCTCCTACTGCTTAAGACCCCTACGCACAAGCGAATTATGTAAATAAAATTGAATCATGTGTTAGTCCCAAAATGACCTAGTTTGTGTCGAGTGGACGTTAAACCCCATTTCTCTCTCTCTCTCTCTCTCTCTCTCTCTCTCTCTCTCTCTCAAATGCCGATCCGAGTTGTTTGGATATTTTAGTCAGATTTTCCATGAACATTTCTTTTGCTTCATAATTTGAATTTTCTATATGTTGTTCTTAAGAATTGGGGGAACGAGCCAAGGTGACTTGGTGAGGGGAGGGGAGAAGGATAATGTGGGATTATAACCAGAAGATCTCAGCTTGAATCCTAGATAAAATCCCTGGCTGGAAAAATCATCTAGTCGCTCTGTTTGGGCAGAGATTGTCCAGGCAAAATACCCCTTGTAGGACAGTAAGACATTTAACCCTTTTTCATTTGATTTCTTTTTCTTCAAATATTGAAAAATTTATATTTCTGCTTTTAAAAATATCAAATACCATTGTATAATATGATTTGATTGAAGGATTGGGACTACTTGGTGAATTCTAACCATCATAGATTAAGTGGAGAGAGATGTGAAGACTGTATGAACTTGACTACATGCTTGGTTATACCAGACGGATCAGTATACTCTAAACCATGTAATATAAATACTAATGCAGTTCTGTTTCTACATTTTCCGGCTATCATGTTAGCCTTACATTTAGTCTATGAGGTAAGTCGCTTTCACATATTTGGGGATTGGGTGACCGAATGGTCTAACAGGTACCCTTTAGAATATTAGGTTTGTTGTTCAGTCAAGTGGCATTGTTTCGATTCCCCTCTTCTAGGTGACAAGGAGTAGGGTCAATTGTCCAACCTCATGGGTTTTTTAAACTGCTAAAGATCCCTGTGTGCAAGCAAAAATCATCGAAATAAAATTGTACCATATGTTAGTCCCGAAATGACCTAATTTGTTTTGAGGGAACGTTAAACCCCATTCCTTTGTCCCTCTTTCTTTCACAAACTGACAGGTCTGGAAATATTCATTTTAGTAGAACCGATAAGGTTGCAACGATATCAAATGATTTTATCACAATTAATCGTGATAACAGCTGCCTGAATTATCATGATAAATTACAGGATCGTGATCATAATTTCATAATTATAATTCTCTTTTATTACGATAATTTAATTTATCATGAGATATATCATGATAGTTAACTGTACATATCTTGACAGTAGAAAACATGACATATCTTTTCAATATTTGACTCCATACAAATGACAACGCTGCGGATAGCAAAGAATTGACTTCCCCCGAGTGCTTTTGTCTGTGACTTTACAGTATAGGACAATGTGGTTGTCGGTCTTTCCAACAAGCCTAAATATGCAAAGATATGAAAATAAGTAATTAAAAATACTAAAAAACACCTGAAAGGATAATAAAAAGTCAGATGTCTGTACCAGAGTAGCGATTTATTATGTGAAAAAACAAGACTCTGGAGGACTTGAATCGAAAGGGTAGAAATGTGACCTGGGTTTCAATTGTTTATTACTGTTTAGTTGGTTTATACTCGGAGGCTAATGAATTATATAATTGTTGTTAATGACATTCAAACTGTCTTTAATTGGAAGTTTATTGGGTATTTTCTAGGAAATAAAGCAGAATGTTTTGTTAGCAGAAGAATTAAAGGAGTTAGTGCAATTACTGTTTCAGATATCCAGGTAAAAATTAGTTCTATTACTCTTTCAAATCATGTGATAGATATTGGTGTCCTGTCAGGGCTGTGGGTGACTCTCGACCAGAGTGGCTCGCTAGCCTGGAGGTTACGGCGGATTCGCTCCGGGTGTGACAGTGGTACAGTACGGAGGGCCTGACAAGGACAGCTGTCTAGTTGTTCGGATGTGACAAAAAACAAGGTCCCGTGTACACATTGGCGTGCACGTAAAAGATCCCTTGACAGTTGGAATTGGATATAAGAGTAGGCCGTAGTATATTGTGTGTGTTGTCCGCTGGTTTGTCTCCTGTATTTTGTTTACATGTAGTGCGGTCCACCTGCACTTACTATTAGACTATCGTCCTTTTTAATGTTTAATCAAAGGAGTCTGACCTTCTATCCGTAAATATGCATACACCATACCCAACTAGACAATATATAATAAACAAAATGTGAGGGATTTTCCAATGAAACAGACCTGTTTCAGCAAGGAACTTTGGGGAACCCACTAGAAACATCAACGCTGATTGGTTAATCAAATGTCTTACCTCATACGGTCAAAAGCCCCTCATATGACCTCTGACGCGACCAGGGCTGCCGACAACCAGTATCGCAGCGCAATTTGCGATACATATTTTGTCTGTTGCTAATCAAAAATTAAAATCTAACGTTTTTGATTCGCAGTAACTGCGAATCATTAATATGCCTGTCATTTTGGATATTGACACAAAGATTTATCCACATTTCTCAACACTTTCAACGTGTATAAAATATCAAATAAATTTTATAAACAAAACGGAATTCTCCGTGTGACATTTTCTTCTCAAACTACCCAGACTCAATTCATGATACTATATAATACAGGGACATAACTCTATGAATCGAGACTATTAAACCGGAAATAGGGAATCAAGTAGTACCACTCACGTTGCGAGACATGTCAATTTCGAGTAATTATATCAGTATTCAATTTGAAAAAAAATAAATTCAGTGTATCCTCCACGTATTGTAAATAAAATATAAAAAATAAATACGTGTAAATGTATTGTAAAGTGAGAAATCAAAGTAAGAATTCCCGTAAACTATTATTGTTTATATCGCGTGCGTCTAGTTAATCGAGATTATTCGTAAAATACCGCGTGCTTCCGATTGAACAAAAATAATAACACACGATAAAAAGCAGACGAAATTGTTTTCTAACGAAGAAATAAGAAGCCACTGCCAAGAATTGGCTTCAGACATAAGGCCTAACAAAAGTCTACATTCATTCAGAAATGTTCACAGCTAGCTGTAGAAGTGCTAAAATTCTAAAAAAATCTTAAGAATGAAATCTAATCATTTGCTATCAATTAAAATTAAAATAATCTTGTTATTTAGGTGTTTTATGTTGATTTGAAACTGAAAAACTGCTAATCAATTTTTAAATTTGCTAATCAACTTTGGCAAAATTGGACTTTTTGATTAGCAGTGCTGCTAATCATCTGTGAAAAATTACCGACAGCCCTGGACGCGACCTATCGCTACAACCGGTCAGATCTTCATGTAGTAGAGGCCATCGGAAGTATAAAAAAAAATGAAACGAAATATAGATCTGTATTGTAATCAGATTGTATATAATATAAAAACTATCCATTGCCTAGTTGGGTATGATGTATGCATATATACAGATAGAAGGTCAGATTCCTTTGGTTTAATCAATACTAAATGTAAGAATATTTATAATTTCAGTGATTTAGAATGTATTGAAATGTATGAATATTTATAATTTCAGTGATTTAAAAAGTATGAATATTGAATATTTAATATTTCAGTGATTTAAAATGTTATTCGTACACAGATTATTATTGTCGAGATTTTCCTCACTTATTTCACAGTGTTGATGATATCAGTCAACTTACAGAAGGTAACAGACTTATTTTATACATTTAAAATACTTCACTGTAACCCAGGTATCATTTAATCTTGTGTATTTAGCACTAATTTCTTTTCACATTCATTCAATATCAAATCTTTGTTTAAAAATTCATAAAAATCATTTAAATTCATCGAAAATCAACTGGTTACAAGTACTAATTAATTGATTTTGGGTGATTTTAAATGATTTTTACTAATTTTCAAACAAGGAATTGGTATTAAAGATACATTATGGGAGATTTGATAATGTGTTGTCAGTTTCACTATAATAGTTAAAAACTAGATAATGTAAAGGCAATTTGCTGAAAATTTCATTCAAATTGATCCACTATGAACCGAGAACTAGGGCCGTGTTGAATTGATTCCTTGTTTCTCCTCGCCCGCGCGCTTAGGTCGAGGACCCCTAAAATCGTGCGCTTAGGTTTTTAACACAAAAAAAAATATTCAAAAAATTACGTTAATAACATCTAAAAAAAATTCTACCAAACATCAGAAGTCAATTCTCGTTGTTTATTCCTTGTTACGAACTAAATAAGTAAGTGCAGGGGGGGGTCGCACTACACGCAAAACAAAAATCTACAAGATAAACCTGCGGACAAGACAGAAAATAGGCATTGCACCGAATAAACAAACATCAAATCAAGTGAATGGATCCGGTTGATAATACACATGTAGGGGCCCGCATACTATGGAATAAGTTACACTGTATATGATTGGATGAATTCCGCAAAATGGCGCGTATAGCTGTCATTTCGGCTAATGAGAAAGCATATTATAAATTGTAAGACAGTCGCTAATATTCAACCGGGAACCTGAATAATCAATTTTTTCATTGGCTAAAATTATGACACGTCATTATTATTCAAGTATTACCCAATCATATCTTGTGTAATAAATAACACACGCCTTACAAAATGGTGAGCTATGCCGGGACATAAGTAAATTCGCGTACCGGTCGGCCTAATTTATTGATGTTCAAGGAAATAATAGTGGTCCCGTTCGTTCGTTTCTGGAGTAGAACAAACGAACGAACGGGACCATGGACCTTATAATTATAAGGTCCATGTATTATAAAATAAGGTCCATGACGGGACCACTATTATTTCCTTGAACATCAATAAATTAAGCCGACCGGTACGCAAATTTACTTATCTCGACTCGACTTTGGTGTGTATTCCCAGCACTTTCACGTTCGATGATATTGTCGAAACCATCTGTAACTCAACAAGCGAATCAAATTTCGTCTAACTGGAATGTTTCCATTGTATTGTAACACAAGAATACGGAAAATTTATATCAAAATATGGTTATTTCATTTTTTAAAAAGTTAAACAAAGAAGCCACTTGTTACCAAATTTTAGTTTGTTATTAAATTTATTTAATTAAATAAATATTATCTGTGTTTTTATTCTAACCAATAATATAACTAGATTATTTATAATATTATTAAAAATAGTACACAACCCTCAGACTATATAGGTATTATGCCAGACCACTTTGTGTTTTGAAACCCACTTTGTGTTGTGTTTACCGCACTACCGCACATGATTGCCAGAGTGGTGGCAGGAGAAACAAGGAATCAATTCAACACGGCCTAAGCAGTTAAAATTTCCAGGTAGCCTTGATCATCATTATGGTCTGAATAGGTTAATTAATGTCTAATTAATAGTTTAGATAATATTTCAGGCTTAAAGAAACACCTTCAATAGACAGATATACCTCTTGCATAATGTATGTTTCCATGAATGGGAAAGAAATTAGTGCTAGATACACAAGATTAAATGATGATACCAGCGTTACAGTCAAATTAGTGCTAAATGGTTATTCATAATAACAATCAGAGTCTTTAATAAAAAGAGGCTGTCTTCATAAGGGGGGGGGGGGGGGTGGCCGAATGGTTAGCGCATACACACTATATCATAAGGTCTGTCATTGAGTCAACTAGTGTGGTTTCAATTCCATGGTTGTACATGACAAGGATTAGGATCGCCTGTCAAACCGCGTTGGTTTTCTCCGGATCCTCTGATTTCCTCCCACTGCTAAAGATGAATTATTGATATAAAATTAAGCCATATTTTAGTTTGTGTTTAGTTTTGCAGGTAATCTTATTTTATTTTTCCCCCCATATATTTCAGCTCATCTAGGTAAGATGCAGTATCCGCAGATATTTCCCGCTACAGCCCCTAGTATAGAACAATGGATATATCATCAACTACGAGGACAACCAGAAGATCCTATACCTTATATACCCCTTGTTACTAATAACATCAAAAACATCATCTCAGTAAGTATGGGATATCTTTCTTGTTAATAATAATATCAATAACATCACCCCTTCGTCAGTGATGCAGGATGGAGGGCCTGATAAGGACAGCTGTCTAGTCCTTCGGATGAGACGAAAAACCGAGGTCCCGTGTATACATTGGAATGCACTTAAAGATCCCTTGGCAGTTGGAATTCGATATAAGAGTAGGCGATAGTGCCGCTGCCGGGGCAAAATTTCCCTCATAGCACACTGTATGGCGTATGCCTGTCTTCATTAGCCCAGTATAGGAGCAGAATAATAGGACGTTAAACCCCATTTCATTTCATGTGTACGCCAATCAATGGGTACGTGGCTTTCTTGTCCCATCCAAACGACTATACATTGTCCCTTGCCGGTAAGTAAGTCTATAGCGCATCAAGCAAAAAATACTGGGAGATGCGGTGAAAAAATGCTCACCTACGATACCTCCTCATCTGGGATATTTAAAAGATAGAGTCCGAAGTGTGGGATATTTCTTCCGTAGCAACATGGAGGCGGTGGCGGGTGGGGGGTACTAACCTGTGCATGGTCCATCATTTTGATTCCCTAAAAAAAAAAATCTACGTGCAAGCAAATCATTGAAATAAGATTGGACTAAATGTTAGTCCCGAAATGACCTAATTTTTGTCAAGTGGACGTTATATTGTCATTGTAATCAGTACCAACGAAACCATGATTTATATTGACAGTGTAATCAGTTGAAGTTTGATAAGTTTGTATCTCCATTTATTGAGATTTCATTTCATGAGGTTTCTCGATGAGAAATTATACTTTTGACATGTCAATGTCCTGTAATTATAATATTATGTTTTTATTTTAGTTGTACGCCATTTTACTAAATAAGGACATATCTACAGATCAGGCTATAGATAAATGTTTGAGAAAAATAGCACCAGCAGGTTTGTTTATAATCTTTTCTGTGATATTCCGAGGAGGGAGGGCTGGTAGTCAAGGGATATGGTGCACCAATGTTCAGCTGTGTACACAGTTGTGAAGAAATTCTACCCAGTATTCACAGTTAGGTTTAAATTCTACCCAGGGCACATAGTTGGGATGAAATTCTACCAAGTGTACACAGTTGGGAGGACATTCTACCCAGTGTACGTAGTTGGGAGGACATTCTACCCAGTGTACGTAGTTGGGATGAAATTCTACCCAGTGTACACAGTTGGGAGGAAATTCTACCCAATATTCTGTTGAAGAGATGTTAGTAAACCTCATTCCATTCCGTGTTGCATTTATCTATGATAATCTTAAAAATAAAAAGTTACTATTTGTGCCGAATGTTAATGTCTTGAGCATGAAGAAAAAAAAAAGTTGTCACCCTTTACTCATGAAAAGCTTAAAAATAAAAAGCGTTACTTTTCGTACTGGATGTTAATGTCTTCAGCATCAAGAAAATAAAAGAGTTGTCACCCTTTACTCACGTATCTTGTCTGATGATAAGAATTATTTTTGCAGGTCACAGAGCACCAACAGCAGAAGTATCTTTATCACAAAGTTTTCAATTTAGTCCAGTCACAGTTCTAGCAGAAAGACTTGTACTTTCCATGACAGAATTAGGTAGGAGAAAAAAATCTAACTATTAAAATTAATGTGGTTTACTGTAATTCGACAGGGGGTTGGATGGCCGAATGGTTAGCGCGTGAGCGTTGTATCATAAGGTATGTCATTGAGTCAACTGACGTGGTTTTGATTCCCCGGTTGTACGTGACAAGGTGTAGGGTCACCTGTTCAACCCCGTGGGTTTACCCCAGGTCCTCCGTTTTCATCTCACTGCTAAAGACCTACATGCAAGCAAATTTTTGAAATAAAATTCAACCATGTGTTAGTCCCGAAATGACCTAGATTGTGTTAAGCTCTCTCTCTCTCTGTAATCCAACAAGGAGCAAAGATGGCTGACCAGGAGGTCTTGGGTTCTTTCTTGTTAGTGGCCACGACAAATTCTTAGGATATTCCAGCATGGTTTACTGTTGTCAGTGGTGCAGAATGAAATGCCTGGTAAGGAACAGTTTCGTGTCATCCGAATGGTACCAAAAATCAAGATCCTGTATTGGCATGCATGTAATAGTACCACTGATAGATGAAATTCCAAGTAGAGTAGGCCATAGCCCTGCTATTCGGACAAAATTTCTCTCATAATGCAGTGTGTATGTCTATCTTCATTTCCATGAAGTTTTTAATTTCCATACCTGAATTTGTATCATTAGAAATGTGCCAGTTATTGGCTGATTCTTATCACTGAATTATAATTAGAGGTATAATATTTTAGGTATGACAGCGAGAGATCTGGATTGTTTACCAGTGGGTGTGGCTCTACCATTTAGAGAAGCCATCATGAACTGTAGATGTAATCCACCGTTTGATTGGCCAGAGAAAGCCTATGTTTTAATTGGTAAGATGATTATAATTGTCGGATCTGATTCAGAGAAAACAGTTTATATCTTCTTTAATGCAAGAAATTTTGATATCCAACCTTTTATTTTGATATCCAACCTCATGGGTTTTCTCCGCCGAGGTCTCCGGTTTCCTCCCACAGCTAAAGACCTCCTCCGTGCAATAAATGATTACCTCTTGAATTTTGAAGGTGGGGTTGAGTGGCCGAATGGTTAACATGGGCGTGGTATCATCTGGCGTAGTTTCGATTCCCCAGTTGCATTTGACAAAGAGTAGGGTCGCCTGTCCAACCTTGAGAGTTATCTCTGGGTCCCCCTAATTCCTCCTACGCGCAAGTGAATTATTGAAATAAAATTGAACCATGTGTTTGTCCAAAATTACTTAGTTTGTGTCGAGTGGACGTTAAATTCCATTTCTCCAGTTTCCTCCCACTGCTAAAGACCCTTACGGGAAAGTGAATTATTGAAATAAAATTGAACCATGTGTTAGTCCTGAAATGGCGATGATGTTCAAATCCATTTACATATCAGCCATCTGATGATCTAGAGAGTTGCTCTAGGGTTGTCATGTGAATAAATGTCTAATTAATAATTTATATAACATTTGTAGCCAGAAAAAAGACCTGTAATAGGCAGATTTATTAATTAAAATTTGTTTAAAGATTCATTATGTAAGATTTAGATAAAGAGCTGACTGTTCTTGCTATAATAGTCCAAAAATAAATAATGCAAAATGAATATATTTTCAAATTTCATTCAAATTACTTTATTCTGAGCCAAGATGCCTGTTGACAAAGCATTCTCAGACTTTACTGAACTTTCAATCACTGTGTTGATCCAGAAACACAAAACTTTGCACATAGTTTCTTATTGATGTATTTGATACATTAAAACAAGTTTTATAAAGGGTTATCTTTTAGTTAAAATAAGGTGAACAATTTTGAGTATATTCTTAACAGAAGTCTGAGAATGCTCTGTGAACTCAGGGTGAGGTTTTTAAATTCTTGTGAATTTTAGGACTGGATCTTGTGGCCAACTTGTCCGGGCAAAATTTCCCTCATAGCACACTGTATGGCGTATGCCCGTCTTCATTAGCCCAGGTTAGGAGCAGAACAGTAGGACGTTAAACTCCATTTCATTTCATTTCATTTTGTGGCCAACTGTTTTAAAATGTTGTAAGTAGATATTGATTATTGTTTTTATTTTGAAGGCCGTGAAGATTTAACGAATAGTTTAATTGTACAGAAGAAACATGTGAGCAGTACACCAACTTGTAGAGATGACATTAAACTAAATAAAGATGATATAGATGGTATGGAATCCCTGGATATGGAGGTAGTCTTCTTCTTCTTCCTCTTCTTCTTTATCTTCTTCTTCGTCCTCTTCTGGGGGGTTGGATGGCTGAATGGTTAGCACGTGCGCGCTGTATCATAAATTCTGTCATTGAGTCGACTGGCGTGGTTTCGAATCCCCGGTTGTACGTGACAAGGAGTAGGGTCGCCTGTCCAACCTCGTGGGTTTTCTCCGGGTCCTCCGGTTTCCTCCCACTGATAAAGACCCCTACGCGCAAGTGAATTATGGAAATAAAATTGAACCATATGTTAATCCCGAAATGACCTAGTTTGTGTTGAGTGGACGTTAAACCCTCTCTCTCTCTCTCTCTCTCTCTCTCTCTCTTCCTCTTCTCCTTCTCCTTTGTCTCCGGGGGGACCACGTGGTTAAGTGGGTAAGACGCTGGCTCGCTAGCCTGGAGGTCGGGTGTTCGATCCCCGCATTGGCCAAGAAAGTTCATCCAGATTTTCCGGCGTGGTTTCCCTTTGTCAGTGATGCAGGACAGAGGGCCTGACAAGGACAGTCGTTCTGTCTTCTACTTCGTCTTCTTCTTCCTCGGGTAGGACATGTATAGATACATATAGTATACCAAATAGTAGGGTCGCCTGTCCAACCTCCTTTTTTTTCTCCAGTTTCCTCCCACTGCTAAAGACCCCCCAGACGCAAGCAAATTATTGAAATGAAATTGAATCATATGTTAGTCCCTAAATTACCTAGTTTGTGTTGAGTGGCCGTTAAACTGCATCTCTGCCTCTCTCCCCCTTACAAACTAAGCCACTGTGGCTCCCATGCTAGTATATACAACAAGGACTTGACAATATGTTTAAAATCTATTTTTATATTTGAACAGTTGTTAAAGTTACGATTTAGTGAAGATCTTCGAATACAGGAAGTGAGACGATTGTTACAGACGTCACAACCAGTCAAAGTTTCACTTGTACAAAAACCAGAAGTCAGGTATGATTACGTTTAGAAATGAAATGAAATGACATTTAACATCCTAGTTTCGTGCACCCGTCTAATGAAGATGGGCACACGCCATGCAATTTGCTATATGAGGGTAATTTTTCTTGAATTCCAAATGTCAAGGGTTTTTTATGTGCATCTCTCAACTTTTTCGGACCATCACAAGTCCAACCTCATGGGTTTTCTCTGGGTCCTCCGGTTTCCTCCCATTGCTAAAGACCTCTACATGCAAGTAAATTATTGAAATAAGATTGGACTATATGTTAGTCCGGGAATGACCTAGTTTTTGTCAAGTGGACGTTAAACACCACCTCTCTCAAAATTTTCTTGATATTGTCATCGTAATCAGTACCAATGAAAACATGATTTATATTTTTCAATATCCCTCAAATTGACTTTAAGATTGCTAATCACTACTTTATGCCATTTCAGTGATCATGAATTTATTGAAGAGAAAGAGAAACATCTTTATTGTATATGTACGAGGACGATGGCTCTACCTGTTGGCAGGTAAGACATATGGTTTCTTATAATTACAAGAGGGGGATTGAATGGCCGAATGGTTAGCATGTGCGTGCTGTATCATAAGGTCTGTCATTGAGTCAAATGGTGTGGTTTTGAATCCCCGGTTGTACGTGACAAGGAGTAGGGTCACCTGTCTAACCTCGTAGGTTTTCTCTAGGTCCTTCGGTTTCCTTCCACTGCTAAAGACCCATATGCTCAAGCGAATTATTGAAATAAAATTAAACTATGTTAGTCCTGAAATGACCTAGTCTGTGTCAAGTGGACGTTACTCCTCTCTCTATAATTCCAAGAATAATCTAGACCTTGGAATAATAATAGTTTCTCGGATGCATGCACTATTGAAATTTTACCTGATGGAAAAACAGAATATTTTTAATCCACATAAGAATAAAAATTTGACAGCGTTTATGGACTGCTCACACAACTTAGCTACTGTGAGTGTTTGTTCAAGGTGAAGGATCACCTGCCGAATATCTGGTTTCCTGACCCGCTAAAGACCTCTACGTGCAAGCGAATTATTGAAGTAATATTGAACCATATGTCAGTCCCGAAATTACCTAGTTTATGTTGAGTGGATGTTAAACCCTCTTCTCTCTCTATCTTCCCCCGGGGGTTGGATGGCCGAATGGTTAGCATGTGCGCACTGTATCATAAGGCCTGTCATTGAGTCAACTGGCATGGTTTCGAATGCCCGGTTGTACGTGACAAGGAGTAGGGTCGCCTGTCCAACCTCGTGGGTTTTCTCCAGTTTCCTCCCACTGCTAAAGACCCCTACACGCAAGCAAATTATGTAAATAAAATTAAACCATATGTTAGCCCCGAAATGACCTAGTTTGTGTCGAGTGGATGTTAAACCCCCTTCTCTCTCTCTTCCCCCTTACACACTGAACCACCGCGGCTCACATCTCTCTCTTCAAATTATATCCAGTTTTAATGTTTGTAATATTATATTTTCAGGGGTATGTTTACACTGTGTACGTATCATCCATTACCTACCGAAGCATTACCTATACCTAAACTAAATCTGACTGGTCGAGCTCCTCCAAGGTAAATATCACATATCAACACTCTTATTTCATTGGCACTTTTAATGAAGAGGTTGTGTTTTGTTTAGTAGAAATGAATATAAATGGGTTTTAATGGTCTTCAATTCTGCATAAACTGGGTTAATTAAGGGTTAGGGTTTACAGTGTGCTATGAGGGATATGTTTAATTACAACGACACTGTGGCCTAGTATGACTAAATCTATTTGTTAAGGCCAACTCAATTTTCGTCAAGGTCGTTGAGATGTAAATAAGGTTACTTTACATGATTGTTGCCGAGATTGTATGTTAAAGTTAAGGAAAGCATTAGGGCTAGGTCCATGGTTATGTTTAAGAATTTGGGTGAGAGGTTAAGTCTCCACATAAGCACTGACCTAGGATGATGAAAAATTAGTTTTCAATATTTCCTAGCTTTATTAAAAATACATACAATACATTAGATTTATATACAAAGACGATTTCACTGTTTTTTGGTGTTGGTGGCGCTGATGGTCTTCCTTGGATGGTGCTTCTGGTATTCTGGTATTTTTGTTTCTGAAGAAAAAAGAATAAATTTAGGCTCTCGGGGTTGACCTAACTGCCTAATTTGGGGTGTTATTTGCAAAAACTTAAACTAAAATATCTTAAGAATACAGCTTTTTCATTGGGCAAGAGCTCAAATATGTACAAGGATTTCAGCTCGCTCTCAACCAATGAAATGACTACATCCTTTAAATATTTTAATTCAAATTTTTGTGAATAAGTCCTCTGTCTTCTATTGATCGTGTTATTTGTGAGTTTTGTATTTGGTTGTATTTAATGTATTAATCTATTTACAGGAACACGACAGTGGAACTAACTCATATAGATACACCAGCAAAGATGGCAGTATGGCCACATTTTCACAATGGAGTAGCAGCCGGATTGAGAATTGCTAATTCAACACAAGTAAGAGTTACCTCCCTTCATCCATTTTGATCCAGGCCCTGTTTCTCGAAATTTTAACTAAAGATAAAATCCAAATTTTAGTAGATACTTCAATTTTGATTGGCTTAGCACTAAAATCAATCTAATATTATCCAATCAAATTACTAAAATTTGGATTTTATCTTGGTCAAAATTTCGTGAAACAGGCCCCTGCTCACTAAAGCCTGTACTACTATTAAATTGTTTCAACCTGAAGTAGATGATAAAAAGATACAAAATGAATTAAACCAAATATCATTTAAACATTCATTATGCAAGAGCAAAATCTGCTTATTACAAGTCTTTCTTTAGGCCTGAAATGTTATCTAAATTATCAGTTAGACATTAATTAACTTATCCAGACCATAATAAACTCTCGATGTCAAGGCTAGCCTTCGATGTTGACTGGATTAGATTCCGATATGCGACTAACGGCCGTTGATAATTAAATCAATAAAAGTGGATAATCGAGACTAAGCTGTTTATAATAATGATGTTAGTAATGATGACCGAGACTATGCCAAAATTTCACCCGCTTCTTTCTCGGCTCATAGTGGATCAATTTGAGTGAAATTTTCAGCAAATTACCTTTACACTATCTAGTTTTTAACTATTATAGCAAGAACTGCCATCTCGTTATCTTATCTCCCATAATGTATCTTTAAATATCAGCCTCACTGTTGGCTTGTTAATTTGTTATCTTTTATTAAAATAGTTTTAGCCATCCGAAATACAAATCACTTTTTCTTCTTTTTAACTAATTTTTCCGCTGTGACATGATTAGGTCTCTCTTGTTTTATGTAGATTTAAATGTTTGTGTTTTATTTTTAGATTGATTCAGCCTGGATAACATATAACAGTCCTGTTGGGAACGATATGGTCAATGATTACGCTGGGTTTTTAATGGCTCTTGGCCTTAATGGACATTTGATCAATCTAGAGACATTGAACATTCACGAATATTTATCAATGGTAAGATTCTTTACTATCAAGTGAACCACGGTGGCTCAGTGAGTAAGACGGCTTGCTAAACTGGAGGTCCCATGTTAGATCCTTCCGGCGTGTTTCCCTCTTGTTAGTGGGGCAGGACACAGGGCCTGGCAAGGGCCAACGTATAGTTTATCTGATGAGACGTAAAACTGACGTGACGTCCTGTGTATACATTGACGTTCACGTAAAATAGCCCTTTGGAATTTGATATAATAGTATAATGTCACTCATTGGACACTGTAAGGCATATGAACATCTTCGTTATCCGTGTTTGAGCAGAGCAGTAGGACGTTGAATCCAATTTCATTTCTTCACCATCAAGCAGATTCTCAGTCTCCTTAACCCTTTCAATGCTAGACGTAAATCCACTGCCTGTGCTAGACCCTTTTTTGAGGAAAAAAGGGAGGTTGGAACTGAACGCCAAGCAGTACTTATGGAAGCTTTTATGAAAAATCTTTTTGTCTGTTGGGGTGGGCATGAGGTTGGGCTAAGAGGAAAAAATAGAATTTTGGAAATTTGCATAATAATGTAGTCACGTGACGTCATGGCGGCCATTTTGGATTTCTCATTTCTCACTAAAGCTAACACGAAAACAAATTTTTAATGTAGTCACGTGACGTCATGGCGGCCATTTTGGATTTCTCATTTCTCACTAAAGCTAACACGAAAACGAATTTTTCTCCATGAAATACTTAAAAGATATTGTTTTTTTCACTGGATTTTGATAAAGATATATAAAATGAACAAAAATATCAATAGCAGCCATGAGCAATGCCGTCACGAACACGCGCATCACGTCACCTGCTGCCATGACCACGTGCGGATTGCAATAGCTTGTTTTTACTTTCGCTTTCACTTTCATCCCCAAGTCCCATATCATTTTCAAGATAGTCAGTCAATAGATCGACACGTTCGGGACTCAGGAATTGCCTACGTCTTTTACGATCCAGCAGGCCAGCATTATTATCAACATCAGAATTATTGTCAGAATCTACTGCAGACACAGGGCTATCGTGTTCACATTGGGCTTGTTCATCATGCACGAGAGACATAGCTAGCCATGGGCGGAACGTCGCGCAATAAATCACACACTTCATAATACCAATCACTGTCCTGACTACTATCATTATCAAGTAACTGGAAACGAATTATGTGTATCGCCCGCCTCGAAATTGTCCACATATTGGTCAGCAAGACGTCATTCACGACTTCGTCGAGAGTGCATCGTCTACGTTGTCACAATGCACTCCGCCATTTTACGGTTTGCTGCTTTGAAACACATGGAAATATGTTCTAGTGTATAGAAAATACAATAGATGGCACTTGCAGTTACGGTACTAATTTTAGCGAGGGCTTTACTGAGTACACGGTAATACCGGGTACGGGCATTTTACCGACATTTTATAATACCCGGTACTACCGGGTATACGCAGTGAAAGGGTTAAGGGGGTTTGGGTGGCCAAATGGTTAACATGTGCGCATTGGATCAGGAGGTCTGTTATTGAGTCAAGTGGCGTGGTTTCGATTCCCCGCTTGTACATGACAAGGAGTAGGGTCGCCAGTCCAACCTTGTGGGTTTTCTCCGGGTCCTCCAGTTTCCTCCCACTGCTAAAGACCCCTATGCACTAGTGAATAAAATTAAACCATATGTTAGTCCCGAAATGACCTAGTTTGTGTCGAGTAGATGTTAACTCTCTCTCTCTCTCTCTCTCTCTCTCTCTCTCTCTCCTTAAACAGTATTATTAGTCCCATACTGATGAAACCAGAGGAAGCTAAACCTCATTTTGCACTTCCCTGTCATTTCATTTCTGTGACTCGGGTATCGTGTAATTGAGCTGTTTTAGCAGACATTTAATACAGAAACCCCTACTAAAACAGCTCAACTACACAATACCCAAGTTGTAATGAGACCGGGGGATCACGTGGCTAAGTGGGTAAGACGCTGGCTCGCTAGCCTGGAGGTTGGGTGTTCGATCCCTGCATTGGCCGAGAAAGCTCATCCAGATTTTCCGGCGTGGTTTCCCCTTGTCAGTGATGCAGGATGGAGGGCCTGACAAGGACAACTGTCTAGTCGTTCGGATGGGACAAAAAACCGAGGTCCCGTTTACACATTGGCGTGCACGTAAAAGATCCCTTGGCAGTTGGAATTCGATATAAAAGTAGGCGATAGTGCCGCTGCCTGGGCAAAATTTCCCTCATAGCACACTGTATGGCGTATGTCCGTCTTCATTAGCCCAGTATAGGAGCAGAACAGTAGGACGTTAAACACCATTTCATTTCATTTCACTTGATGACCTTCTCCATAAACACCATTTCATTTCATTGTAATGAGACCCATTTCATTTCATTTTATTTTGCAATCTGGTTAAGACACAGATCCTATTTCGTTTGGGTTTTTTTATAGTTCAAAATTTTGTTTTACTTGTCTACACTACACTAGGATCTGGAAGACTTGTTATATTACCGACGTTCTGGTTGAAGTGAGGGATTAGTCTGTTACTGTGAGTTCTTGGCGTGGGATGCACAGAACTGTGGGTGAACCCCTAGAAACGTCAACGCTGATTGATTAATCAATGTCTGACGTCATAGTTTTAAAAGCCACTCATATGACCCCTGATGCAACCTTCCAGTACAACTTGTCAGATCTTCATGTAGTGTAGACCATCGAAAGTATAAAAAAACGAAATGAAATATAGATCTATATGTTAAACATGCATTATGCAAGAGGTAAATCTGCCTATTGCAGGTCTTTCTTTAGGCCTGAAATGTTATATAAATTATTAATTAGACATTAATTAACCTATCCAGACCATAATCAACTCTAGATGGCATCGCTAGCCTGCGATCTTTAGTGGATTATGAGCCGATTTACTGCATAACTTTCCTTCACAATTTAACGATTAAATGGATAATCAAGACTATGCTGTTTATCGTACTGACTTTAGTAATGATGATCGAGGCTAGGCGGAAATTTCAATCGCTTAGTGGATCAATTTGAATGAAATTTTCAGCAAATTGTCTTTACATTATCTAGTTTTTAACTATTATAGTGAGAACTGTCAACTCGTTATCGAATCTCCCATAATGTATCGTTAATCAGATTGTTTATTTTGTTAATGTGAATTTTATCGTGTATATCACCATGTATTATTTATTACAGGGTCAGTACATGACAACAATTGGGGTGTTGCTGGGTTTATCAGCGGCAAAGTGAGTATATATCATGAAATATACTAAAGATGTGTCCAACAAATTTTATTTTTAATTCTTTGGGGTGTGGATATTAAAATAGCGACTGAAGTCTTGTAAATGATGTTTTGTGTAATGTTAAATGATTTTGAGAATAGTAACTGAATATATTTTTCCTGCACATAGCACGTACATATAACCACTTAAATGAAAAATACAGGTTGATCAAAGTATTCTGTTGACAAGGCGTTAAGCCCATTCCATTTCATTTTTATACGCCCACATGGACCCCTCACGTCAGGGGTCAAAAGACCGACTTATGACCCTTTTGACGTCAGACATTTGATTAACCAATCAGCATTGATGTTACTAGTGGATTACCCACAGTTCCGTGAAAAACACGCCTAAAGCTCGCCGTAAGAGACCGTTTCATTGGCTTATCCCTGACACCATTCAGAACACGAGTTAAATAACAACTCTTCCAGATCCAAGTGTAGTAAAGACAAGTAAAAGGAAATTTTGAACTATAAAAACGAAACGAAATAGGATCTGTGTTTTAACCAGATTGCTTCTAGATGTCATTGGAAAACAATTAATTTGTCAATCAATTGAGATTTAATGCTTGACAGTGAGTGCTAATAACGTATACAAATGTCAAAACTTCGAGCGGGAATTTAAAATCGTTAACTTCTCGAGACTTATTACAAATGACAAATGCTATTTGAAATATTTATGTGGTCTTAGTGAAAGAAAACAATGTTGTGACTATCATTCCTAGGTTTGAAGGTCAGGTATCATATGAAAACGAATACCGATTAGTAATTTATTGAACCGGTTCAACAGTGCAACCGAACCGTGACCGGTTAACCAAGTAACCGTTTGCATCCTTATATTTCACCCTCCATCAGTGTTGCCGGATGGAGGGCTCGGCATAGAGAACAGCATGTAATTGTTCGGTTGGGATGAAAAACGGAGGTCCCATGTACATATTGAAGTGTATGTAAAAGGACACCTCTGTCATGCCCGACATGCCCGTCTGCATTAGCCCTGTTAGTACAAAAAAGTAGTACGTTAAATACCATTTTATTTCCTTTCGGAACAATGGTAACTTGTTTGTTTTTTTGTTTATTTTCTGTGTACAGGAGAGGAACGATGGATTTAGGTGTAACTCGTATGTTGAGTATTCATCTAACAGCTTTATTACCACCAACCTCCACGGAGTTAAATATACCTCATGATGTACAAGTAGCAGGTATATTAGGGGTTGGTCTCGTCTATCAGGGAACTGGAAATCTTCATATTGCTGAAGTTCTACTCGCTGAAATAGGTAAAGTTGAACCCTTTTAATTATCGGGGTTTGGATGGTCACATGCTCTATCAGGAAACTGGAAATCTTCATATTGCGGAAGTTCTTCTGGTTGAAATAGGTCAAGGTGGACCCTTTTAATTATCGGGGATTGGATGGCTGAATGGTTTAGTGCATGTAAGTTTGATAATAAGACTTTTATTGAGTCAATTAATGTGGTTGCAATTCCCCTGCTTGTGGGTCACAAGGAGTAGCGTCTTCTGTCAATCTTGTGGCTTTTCTCTGAGTCCCGACACTCAAGCAAATTATTGAAAATCATGTGTTAATCTTGAAATAACCTAGTTTGTCTCTCTCTCTTCTCTCTACGTGCAAGCAAATTATTGAAATAAAAGTAAACCATATGTTAGTCCCGAAATGACCTAGTTTGTGTCGAGTGGAGTTAAACCCCATCTCTCTCTCTCTCTCTCTCTCTCTCTCCCTCTCTTAATTACTCCCTACTAGCCTATAAAAAAACCTCATTCATTTTCATCTCCATTTTAATTACACCCTACTAGTCTTTCATCCTGGGTTATATTTGTGATATTAGTGGGTGTTTTATGTATTTTGTTTTTTTATTGGCTTTGATGCGTTGGGTTACATAATCGTAAATATGATTTAAGTGCTTTATGTTTTGAAAACATTAGTGGATTCTATTTTTGATGAGGTTTCATGTAGGGCATTTGTCAGTCGGTCAATATTTTACATATTTTGTTCACTTAGATAATGGCAAGATATTTTTTATCTCCTTTTCAAAAAAAGAAAGAAAAATTGGGTTTTTACGCCCACTCGACACCAAGACTCAGATATGGTTCAATTTTATTTCAATAATTAGCTGTGGGAGGAAACCAGAGGACCCGGAGAAAACCCACGAGGCCGGGCATGCGTACCTAATCCTTGTCACGAACAAGAGGGAATCAGCTCCACACCACTTGACACAATGACAGAAATAAAATGAGAGAGAGAGAAATGGGATTTAACGTCCACGCGACTCAAACTAGGTCATTTCTGGACTAACATATGATTCAATTTTATTTCAACAATTCGCTTGCGCGTAGGGGTCTTTAGCTGTGGGAGGAAACCGGAGGACCCGGAGAAAACCCACGAGGTTGGACATGCGACCCTACCTCTTCTCACGTACAACCAGAAATGAAATGAAATGAAGTGAAATGGGGTTTAACGTCCTACTGTTCTGCTCAGACTGGGCTAATGAAGATGGGCATACGCCATACAGTGTGCTGTGAGGGAAATTTTGACCTACTCTTATATCGAATTCCAACCGCCAAAGGTTCTTTTATGTGCACACCAATTAATACACATGGCCTTGTTTTTTCGGACCATCCAAATGGCTAGACAGCATTTCCATTCACTCTTAATTAAATTCAAGCTTTTAAGGTGGACCCCTAGGCGCAAACGAATTATTGAAAATAAATTGAACCATGTGTTAGTCCCGAAATGACCTAGTTTATGTCGAGTGGACGTTAGAATCCAGTTCTCTCGCTCTCACTCGGTAACACTTTATTTGCACGTACCAGACCTGAAAACCCCTAAGGATTCGATCCAGGAAAATCCTAGTTAAGTGATCAGTGTCCTTTTACTGCTCAAAATTCTGGCGACCATTGTTCGGTCAGGGAAACATATCTTCGAATCCAAACAAAACAATTTGCAAAAAAAGATAATTGTGTTTTTCTACACCTGACAACTAATAATAATCCAATTATCTTTTCACACATAAATATGTGCCACACTTTTATTAGGTAATAAAGAAAATAAAATTGTGGTTAATTGAAAATTGAATTAATAATTTAAAAATGACTTTTGATGTTAAGTTGTAAGTCTCCAATTAAAATCGACAAACTAATTAAGCACTTCTTTGATAAAAAAAAAAAAAAGTACCTGAACATAATTACAAACAAATTTAAAAGGATGATATTGATTTGATCGTAAAATTAACGTGCTTCGTCTTGTTGTAATATGTGTTGCTTTTTTTTCCAAGGCAAATTAATTGTGAAAATAGCTTGAAAACAACTTTTGTTATTTCAAATGTCATTGTGCACAACAAAACAACACAAATAAATTATTTCTCCCCACAAAAAAAGAGTTTACAACACGACTGTCTATTAATTAGTTTATTTGATCCAGAAACTAGTCCTACTTTCATTTTAATTGATTGTATTTTAAGGTTTTTTTATTTCCTATACATTTGTGATTTATATTATTGTTAGAGGTTCATCTTTGTTTACTTTGTGTAGTTCTACCTGCCTGCGGACATTATTGTCCCCCGCCTTTCGAAGAAAGCAGGGGACTATTAAAATGGGTTCGTCCGTCTGTCTGTCTGTCTGTCTGTCTGTCTGTCTGTCTGTCCGTCTGTCTGTCCCGTCTGTCTGTCCGTCACACTTTTTGGGACACAATAACTCTCTTCCTAATTGAGCTAGAATGTTCAAACTTGGTGTATGTGTTTATTAGGTCGATGCCTTGATGGAGTTCGAAGATGAGCATTTTCTGCTTAGGGTAAGCAGAGATAAGCAATTTGATTGGTTGATGCTTTGGGACACGATAACTCTCTTCCTAATTGGGCTAGAATGTTCAAACTTGGTGTATGTGTTGATTAGGTCAATGCCTTGATGGAGTTCGAAGATGAGCATTTTCCGCTTAGGGTAAGCAGAGATAAGCAATTTGATTGGTTGATGCTTTGGGACACGATAACTTTAGTTCTAATTAAGTGAGATTGATGAAACTTGGTGTATAGTTTCATTACATCAATACCTTGACTAAGTTCAATCATGAGCATTTTCTACTCAGGCTAAGCAGAGCGATAAGCAATTTGATTGGTCGAGACATTGGAACACAATAATTCACATTCTAATTGATGTAGAATGTTCAAACTTGGTGTAGGCTTTCATTAGGTGAATGCCTTGATGGAGTTCAATGATGAACATTGTATGCTTACGGTAAGCAGAGATAAGCAATCTGATTGGTTGATGCTTTGGGGCATGATAACTTTGAGAGAGATGAAACTCCGAATATAGATTCATTATATCATTACCTTGACTAAGTTCGATGGTGAAAATTTTCTGCTAAGGCTAAGGAGCAATAAGCAATTTAATTGATTGGTCAAGACTTTGGAACATAATAACTCTGCTTTTAATTGAGGTAGAATGTTTAAACTTGATGTAGATGTTCATTAGGTGAATGTCTTGACTAAGTTCAATGATTAACATTTCGAGCTGAAGCCAAGCAGAGCTTATCAGTTTCATAATCTTGATTCTATTTGATAGACAGTGATGAAACTTAGTCTATAGTTTAACTGTTCGATACTTTTGAAAAAAATAAATGTTCTATTAATTAATACGTGTCATCTAATTATTTTGCTATTTCGGCGGGGGACATCAGCCTCACTGTTGGCTTGTTAATAATAAAAGTCAGTAAAGATACAGGGTGACATTATTTACAGAGAGAGACAGAGAGAGGGAGTGTGAGTTTACCGTATATAGTACAGCCCTTAAATGCTTGCATCCTTAAAACAGTTTAGTTTACGTATTAGACCCCCAGGATAGTCAATATTTACGTTTACCAGGAGCTAAAAGGTTAAATCATTTATTGAGAGTGCTCAAAAGGTAAAAATGTATCTCATTATACTATCAAGGAAATCAGAGAAATGTCAGAGCTCAAGTTACCTAACAAATCAAGACAGAGGTTAACTCGACACAAACTAGGTCATTTTAGGACTAAATTGGTTTAATTTTATTTCAATAAATCGCTTGCACGTATGGGTCTTTAGCAGTTGGGGGTTGGGTGGTGGTGATGGCCGAATGGTTAGCGTGTGCACGCTGTATCATAAGGCCTGTCATTGGGTCAACTGGCGTGGTTTCGAATCCCTGGTTGTATGTGACAAAGAGAAGGGTGGGTTTTCTCCGGATCCTTCAGTTTCCTCCCACTGCTAAAGACCCCTACGTGCAAGCGAATGATTGAAATAGAATTAAAAACCATATATTAGTCCCAAAATGACCTAGTTTGTGTCGAGTGGACGTTAAACTCTCTCTCTCTCTCTCTCTCTCTCTCTCTCTCTCTCTCGTTCTCTCTCTCTCTCTGTTGCTTAAAGATAAAATGGGATTTAAAGGAGCTAGATCGCTAATATTTTGGACCTAGAAATTGACACATATGGGTTCTTTGCCAGGTTTTCTATCCTGCACCACCGACAAGGAGAAACCATGCTAGAAAATCATTGGGATCTTTCTCTCGGCCAACATTGGGATCAAATCTCCTGGTTAGCAAGACAAGGACAGCTGTCTAGTCCTTTGGATCAGATGAAAAACTGAGGTCCCGTGTATACATTGGAATGCACGTAAAAGATCCCTTGGCAGTTGGAATTCGATATAAGAGTAGGCGATAGTGCCTCATAGCACACTGTATGGCGTATGCCCGTCTTCATTAGCCCAGTATAGGAGCAGAACAGTAGGACGTTAAACCCCATTTCATTTCATTTCCTGGTTAGCGAGCCAGCTTCTTACTCACTAAGCCATGTGACCTGGCTAGGAGTCCTTTGGATGGCCGAAAAACTGAAGTCCTGTTCTCGGCAAACATAGAGATCGAACCTGATACCTTCTGGTTGAACCAGCGCCTTACTCCCTGAGCCACCATGACAACGCCTCAATTTGGTTTTAGCATCAATTCCCTCAAATAATTTAGACCTTGGGGCTCAGATTGTATGGTGCTGTCTGGCTCCCTAACAAGGAGATTATTGTTCCCAGTGTTACCCAAGGAAGTACCTCAAAATTTTCCAGGCTGTTTTCCACTGGTTAGATAAGCAGGATAGAAAACTGTCTAGTCCTTCGGATGACATTTTAAACGGCATTACATTTCGCATTTTACGGGATGGACCAGTCTAAATATATATTTATTTAATTTTAGGTCGACCACCTGGTCCAGAAAATCAAAATTGTACTGATAGAGAATCTTACTCCCTGGCCTCTGGATTAGCTCTTGGTTTAGTGATGTTTGGGGTGAGTATAGGACTTGACTATACTAATGTCCAAAAGAAAGTATACACTGTGCATTTTGTGCTGCATCAACCAAAGTCGGTTTTCTATGGTATACGGTATTTGGGTAGAATGTCAATTTGTTTCACATTTTATTTTGCTTAGAAATGTTGAGTTTGGAATGCAAGAGACAAACTCAGTAATGCTTTATCAAATGTTTTTAATCTAAACAAAACTTAGTCATACTTTTAGTGTGTATACTTTCTTTTGGACAGCTATATATTCAGTAATAAACTATAATGAAAACATCTACTAATATATTCAGTAATAAATTATAATGGAAAACAGCTATTAGTATATTCAGTAATAAACTATAACACATGCTTATGAAAAACAGCTACTAATATTCAGTAATAAACTATAACACATACATATATTGCAGCCGTAGATAAGAATTATCTCGGCTAAAAATTGCAGCTAGCTTACGACAGGCCCCCGGATCCATTCACTTGATTTGATATTTGTTTATTTGGTGCAATGTCTATTTTCTGTCTTGTCCACAGGTTTATCTTGTAGATTTTTGTTTTACGTGTAGTGTGGTCCTCCTGCACTTATTATTACAGAAAACAGCTACTAATATATTTAATAATAAACTATAAGATATACTTATGGAAAACAGCTACTAATATATTTAATGATAAACTACCGGGTATAAAACATACTACAGAAAACAGCTACTAATCTACTAATATATTTGATAATAAACTAAAAAGCACTAAATATGTGAATGTATAATGACAATCGCAGCTACATAGTAGATCACCTCACAATCCACAAAATTCATTTTTTTAGGTGGGGGGTTGGATGGCCGTATGGTTAGCGCTTGCGCGTTGTGTCATAAGGTTTGTCATTGAGTCAACTGGTGTGGTTTCAATTCCCTGGTTGTACTTGACAAGGAGTAGGGTTGTCTGTCATACCTCATTGGTTTTCTCCAGGTCCTCCTGTTTCCTCCCACTGCTAAAGAACCCTACGCACAAGCGAATGATTGAAATGAAATTGAACCATATTTTAGTCACAAAATGACCTGGTTTGTGTCGAGTGGATGAAAACTCTCTCTCTCTCTCTCTCTCTCTCTCGTTTTTATTAGGTACATGTATACTTCTTCTAACCTACTTCTAACCTAGCATGGAAAGTTCATCAATGTTATTAAGAAAAATAGATATTATATAAATCATTTCCCCTGCCTTTTATTACATGTAGATTAATTAGCTAAATATATTAGAGAGGAATCAAGTTTCGGATTCATTCAGTTCTTGTCTGTGGAAGCAGAAATTTAATGGCCACAAAGCAAAACATTTCTAAGTTCATGTATACTTCAGAACCTTTGATCTAGATTAAGCATGGAAATTCATCAGTGGGATTAAAAAAATTATTTAATTGGCTTCCCCAACCAGTTGATTAACTTTCGGCTAGACTAAATGATGATTCCTGTATGTCCCAAATTCGTTTTTTCACAGTACATGTATACTTCGGAACATCTCACCTAGATTTGCTACGGAAGTTCATCCGTGATATTACGAAAAACATTACACGGCTTCTAGATTTAGCAAGGCTGTTAATCAGTGTGACTAAAAAAATGATTTAATTGGCTTCGCCAACAAGTTGATTAAAGATACATTATGGGAGATTTTTATAGAGAGTTGGCCATTCTTGCTATAACAGTTCAAAAGTAGATGATGAAAGAAGAATATATTGAAAATTTCAGTCAAATTACTTTATTCTGAACATAGTTATCATCGTTGTAATATTTGACTAGAAATGGTAGTGAAATGTGCCTTCACCTTGGCCGAACGTTTGATTGACAGGCGTTAACTCCACCTACATATCTCGATTATCAAGTAAAGTTTTCAATGGCATGCGGAAACGCTCTACAGCGGCCTCGCTAAGTACAATCTATCATTTAGCCTCGATCTAACTGACGTATTCTCATCAGGGTGCGCCATATTTGAATTTATCAATAAGTGAAATCCTATTTAAATCCGAGCTGTAGCCGAGCCATCCGTGGGTCTACAGAGTTGATTTTGGGCTTGTTGTTTAAATAAAGATCTAATTTATAATTTCTATAACATCTGAAGCCTAAATTAAGACTTGCAATAATCAGATTTTGCTCTTGCATAATGTATGTTTAACGAAATGAAATGAAATGAAATGGGGTTTAATTTCCTACTGTTCTGCTCCTATGCTGGGCTAATGAAGACGGGCATACGCCATACAGTGTGCTATGAGGGAAATTTTACCTGGGCAGCGGCACTATCGCCTACTCTTATATCAAATTCCAACTACCAACGGATCTTTTACGTGCATTCCAATGTATACACGGGACCTCGGTTTTTCGTCTCATCCAAAGGACTAGACAGCTGTCCTTGTCAGGCCCTCTGTACTGCATGACTGACAAGGGGTAACCACGCCGGAAAATCTGGATGAACTTTCTCGGCCAATGCAGGGATCGGACACCCGACCTCCAGACTAGCGAGCCAGCGTCTTACCCACTTAGCCACGTGATCCCCAAGTTGATTAACACTTGATATATAATGTAATATGATGACTCTCTGTGGTCACAAATTCGTATGCCACTTATATTCAGATGCAAGAAAACGGACAATCCATAACCTTCAACATAATCATAAAACAATTAGTTGTCTGTTGTGTACATAATTTATTTTCTTATCAAAAAGATTTAAATCTCCATAAACAACTCTTAAGTCATTCCAAGCCCTGCACTCTGTATAATCATCTAAGTCTCTATATTATCCATGATGTATCATATATGCTCTATATTTTATGTAATTATATGTAAATATTTATAATGTGTACATGTACCTAAATCAGAGAGAGGGGTTACACATAGGCATAGCCTGTTCCCTAATCCAAATTCAGATTTAATGAATAAAAATATTGTTTAAAAAAAAAAAAAATATGATGATTGGACAAACTGATGATTCCAGTATGTCCCAAATTCATTTCTTCTCACAGGGTTCCCGCGGTCCTTGAAAATCCTTGAATATCCTTAAATTTAAAATTTCATTTTCAAGGTCTTGAATATCCTTGAATTTCGCGGAAATAGGAAAATATCCTTGAATTTCAGTTGAGATCCTTAATTTTGTTTCAAATGTCTTCAATTCCTTTTAAATATGAGATCATAACGATAGTTGGTAATATTTGGTTATTTTTAAGATGAAAAATTGTAACTTTAGGCTAAAAAATGTCCTTGAAAATCCTTGAATTTGACGTATATTTATCCTTGAATGTCCTTGAAAAAATGTTTGACGAAGCCGCGGGAACCCTGTTCTCAGTACATGTATACTTCAGAACATCTAACCTGGATTTGCCACAGAAGTTCATCCGTGGTATTACGAAAACCATTACTTGGCTTCCTCGACAAATTGATGATATTAGATATATAAAACTTGATATGATTCGATGTTTAATGAATTCTCTGGGGTTTTTTTTTTTGTAATTACAGAAAGGAAAGCAAGGTATGGGATTATCTGACCAAAGTATGGCTAATATATTGTGTCATTTTATGACTGGTGGACAAAAAAGACCTTTAGTAAGTCGTAATATATCTCTTGGTTTTAATTTTTTTGCAAGGATAATAGAAAATCGAGATACTTCAACTTATTTCTGAGAACAGGTAGTCATTAATTAAAGGGCCAATCCCGATAATATTTTGGAGATTAAAACTGCTTAATGTTGTGTTAAAATCCTCTACCTTAGGGCCGAGCAACTTAAACCCGTCAGTCTTCATCTGGTAATGTAGACCAGTGTCCCAAGCTGTATTATGTGGTGTCTGGATAGAACCAGACTTTTATTTTATAAAAATAAGGAGTAGGTGAAATTTACCTTTCGTTATCAAGTACAGCACGTGTGTCATTCATTGTATAGACCTCTAAAAGAACGTGAATTGATTATCAGATCACCCAACGAAAAAATTGACCCGAAATCTTAAAAGGGTTACGTGTCCGGATAAGCAGTTTTGACGTTCACATCCAAACGACTCAATATTTTGAGCTGAAATGTTGAGACAAGGTAATTACACCACTCCTCTATATTTTGACGCTTAAATTTCATACGTACGCAGACTTTTATTTTTGAGATTCTGTTCAAATCGGGATAGTCCCTTTAAGGTAAAGATTTCTTTAATTTTTTTTTTATCTCTCTGTTCAATTGTTCACTAATTTTATATTGAAGATGCATTCCCACTATAGTATTTATAGGCTAGTTGTTTCTAATAAAAGTATGGTGTATATAGAGAATCTCCTACAAATATTTTTGGGTATCAAAAAATATCAACACAAGTCGATAAAGTAAAAAAAAAAAACGAGGGTGGGTGAGCCAAAGCATTCCCTTGATTTATGTTCTCTTTTTATGATATATATTTTAGCCTGGTCCTTACAGAGAAAGATATAATTCACCAAGTTATCTAATCAAGGTCAGTCAGGTTTATATTGTTGTCATCCATGACGGCTTAATCCCTGGGGGGTTGGATGGCTGAATGGTTAGCACGTGCGCACTGTATCATAAAGTCTCTTATTGAGTCAACTTGCCTGGTTTCGAATCCTTGGTTGTACATGACAAAGAGTAGGGTCGCCTGACCTACCTCGTGGGTTTTTTACCCAGGTCCTCTGGTTTCCTCCCACTGCTAAAGACCCCTACGCGCAAGCAAATTATGGAAATAAAATTGAACCATGTTAGTCCCGAAATAACCTAGTTTGTGTCGAGTAGACATTAAACCCTCTATCTCTCTCTCTCTCTCTCTCTCTCTCTCTCTCTCTCTTAATCGTGCTTTAAATGTACTCAAATTTGTTTTTTAACATTTAATTAAAGATGCAGTATATAATATTTAGATAATAATAAAGCTGGCTGTGCTTGCTATAATATTTCAAGCATAGATAATGAAAAATGAATTTATTGAAAATTTCTGTCATAAAACTGGTTGCTGAGCGAAGTTATCAGGCCTTGAAGTGTTCATCATGAGATAGTCTTGATTTTCATGTACCATTGTTATGATAATAAACAAAGTCTTGATTATTCATTTTTATACTGGATTATTTGCAGCAAACCACAATTCTGTTCCAATTTTGTCTAGGTCAAACCACAGATTAACTGGACTACAAGAATTCCTGTCCCACACCATTACATGATATCTAATATTGATATATTTATTGTAGAAGAGTGATAGTGTGATATATTGATATATTTATTGTAGGAAGGTGATAGTGTAAATATTGATGTTACTTCTCCAGGTGCCACTCTAGCTTTAGGCATGTTCTTCTTCAATACAAATAACAGGTAAATATTTAGATATATTACATTCATTCCTTCCCAAATAGGAGCCAAGCTGGCTCCATGAGTAAGTTCATCAAGTTAGTACTGCTGGTAAGTCTTCTTGCTTGTGACTATTGGAAAATGAAATGAAATGAAATGGGGTTTAAAACCCTACTGTTCTGCTCCGACTGGGCTAATGAAGACGGGCATACGCCATACAGTGTGCTATGAGGGAAATTTTGCTCGGACAGCGGCACTACGGCCTCCTCTTATATCGAATTCCAACTGTCAAGGAATCTTTTACATGCACGCCAATGTGTACACGGGACCTCGGTTTTTCATATCATCTGAATGACTAGACAGCTGTCCTTGTCAGACCTTCCGTCCTCCATCACTGACAAGGGGGAACCACGCCGGAAAATCTTGGTGAACTTTCTTGGCCAAGTGACTATTGGAGGTTATTGTGAAGACAGCACCCACTTTCATCTACTGCTGGTGAGCCTTGCTTGTGGCTGTTGGGGGTTATTGTCAAGACAGCACCCACTTTCATCTACTGCTGGTGAGCCTTCTTGCTTGTCAAGTCAGCAACCACTTTCATCTACTGCTGGTGAGCCTTCTTGCTTGTGGCTGTTGGGGGTTATTGTCAAGTCAGCACCCCCTTCTTTCATCTACTGCTTGTGGGTCTTCTAGTGACTATTGAGTGTTTCAGTCCAAGCTATTGTCATTGGTTACTTCAGCCCTCTCAGAATCTTCTTTAAACTATCTCTGCTGAGTATTCTTGTGACTTTTTGGGGTTTTAGACCAGGCAGCACCTCCCTCAAAAAATTGCTGCTGAGTATATTTTGGGTTTCAGTCTAGGCAGCACCTCCCTTAAACTATTGCTACTAAGTATTCTTATAACTATTTGGGGTTTCAGTCCAGGCAGCACCTCCCTTAATCTATTGCTGCTGAGAATTCTTGTGATTATTGGGAGTTTCAGTCCAGGCAGCAGCTCCCTTAATCTACTGCTGGTGGGTCTTCTTGTGATTATTGGGGGTTTCGGTCCAGGCAGAACCTCCCTCAAATTATTGCTGCTGAGAATTCCTGGGGTTTTCAGTCCTCCCTTAAACATACATTATGCAAGACCTAAATCTGCCAATTGCACGTCTTTCTTTAGGCCTGAAATGTTATCTAAATTATTAATTAAACATTAATTAACTGATCCAAACCATAATCAACTCTAGATGGATTAGGTTCCGATTTGCCGTTTCACTTCCATTCATGATTAAATCATGAAATGGATAATCAAGACTATGTTTTTTATCCTACCGACTTTAGTAATGATGATAGAGGCTAGGTCGAAAAGTCAATCACTAAAATCTTGGTTCATAGTGGATCAATCTGACTATAATTTTCAGCACATTCCCTTTACATTATCTAGTTTTTAACTATTATAGTGTGAACTACCAGCTCTTTATCTAACCTCGCATAATGTATCTTTAATCTATCGCTACTGAATATCTCTAAGTGATTTTATGGACAGATTAATTAAGCTAATGTAGGTCAGACAAATATCAGATTTCACGAAACCTTGTAATTATCTGTGAAACCAGGAAAGTTATAAAATACTGATATAGTATGTAGGTGTAGAGAAAACCAGCTGTAGCTGATCAGGACAAAACAAGGAAATAAAGCAAATGTCATCATTATATTGGGAGCAGTGTTCTTTTTGAAGGGTGGGTGGGTATGGCTGAATGGTTAGCGTGTGCGCGCTGTATCATAAAGTCTGTCATTGAGTCGACTGACTTGGTTTCGAATCCCCGGTTGTACGTGACAAGGAGTAGGGTCGCCTGTCCATCCTCATGGGTTTTCTCCGGGTCCTCCGGTTTCCTCCCACTGCTAAAGACCCCTACGCGCAAGCGAATTATTGAAATAAAATTAAACCATATGTTAGTCCCGAAATGACCTAGTTTGTGTTGAGTGGACGTTAAACCCCATTTCTCTCTCTCTCTCTCTCTCTTTTTGAAGGAAGAGGGATTGGGTGGCGAATGGTTATTTTGAATGGTTAAGGCGAGCATGTTTAACTCCCTCTCTCTCTCTTTCTCTCTTTGAAGGAAGAGGGATTGGGTGGCCAAATGGTTATTTTGAATGGTTAGGGCGAGCATGTTTAACTCCCTCTCTCTCTCTTTCTCTCTTTGAAGGAAGAGGGATTGGGTGGCCAAATGGTTATTTTGAATGGTTAGGGCGAGCATGTTTAACTCCCTCTCTCTCTCTTTCTCTCTTTGAAGGAAGAGGGATTGGGTGGCCAAATGGTTATTTTGAATGGTTAGGGCGAGCATGTTTAACTCCCTCTCTCTCTCTTTCTCTCTTTAAAGGAAGAGGGATTGGGTGCCAAATGGTTATGGCGAATGGTTAGGGCGAGCATGTTTAACACTTTCTCTCTCTCTAGTTTGTGTTGAGTGAAAGAACGGACATTATCTCTCTCTCTCTTTCTCTCTCTCTCTCTTTCTTCAACTGCTAAATACCCCTAAAATCGAACCATATGACCTAGTTTGTGTTGAGTGGGCATTAAAGATTAAACCCTCCTCTCTCTGTCTGTCTCTCTCTCTCTCTCTCTCTCTGTTAAAAATGATAATTAGATATAGATCTCTGACTTTGATCTGTGGTAGACAGATGTACACCACAATCCTGATGTAAGAAGATCGTCTGTAAAACATATAAAAGTAATTATTTTGAACAGGAAGAAAATTTAATTTACTGTGTAGACAGTATAGATCTGTAATCAAAATGCTGACATGTCATTTTATGTAGGGAAGAATTTTTTTACAAAAGGACAAGATTGTTTTTCACAATCATTCTGATATAAACTGGTCCTAGTTTTCATTAGCCTCGCAGGTGCTAAGCTCTGTTTCATCTTCAAAAACTGATATAAACTGGCCCTCGTTTTCATTAGCCTCGTAGGTAGTTGCTAAGCTCTATTTCATCTTTAAAAACTGATATAAACTGGTTCTCTTTTTCATTAGCCTAGTAGCTGTAAACTTACCCTCGTTTTCATTAGCCTTGCAGGTGCAAAGCCCCATTTCATCTTTAAGAACTGGCAAAAAATTTACCATTGCTTTGTCTTTCGCAAACTTTGCCATATAGGTGCCACAGCCACGCGGGTAAGATGTTGGCTCGCTAACCTGGAGGTTGGGTGATTGATCCCTGCATTGATAAAAATAGTTCATCAGGATTTTCTGGCGTGGTTTGCCCCTTGTCAGGGGTGCAGGATAGAGGGCCTGTCAAGGTACGATGTTCGTTCAGATGGGACAGATCCCTTGGCAGTTGGAATTTGATTTAAGAGTAGGCTGTAGTGCAGCTGTCTGTGCATTATTTTCCTCATAGCACATTGCTTGGCGTATGCCAATCTTCATTAGCCCAGTCGGATCAGAACAGAAGAACATTAAATCCCATTTCATTTCATTCCAGGGGAGTTGGATGGCTGAATGGTTAGCGTGCGCGCGCTGTATCATAAAGTCTGTCATTGAGTCGACTGGCGTGGTTTCGAATCCCCGGTTGTACGTGACAAGGAGTAGGGTCGCCTGTCCAACCTTGTGGGTTTTCTCCGGGTCCTTAGGTTTTCTCCCACTGCTAAAGACCCCTACGCGCATGCGAATTATGTAAATAAAATTAAACCATATGTTAGTCCCGAAATGACCTAGTATTGTGTCGAGTGGACGTTAAACCCCATTTCTCTCTCTCTCTCTCTCTCTCTCTCTCTCTCTCGCTCTCTCATTTCATTCCACACAATAATTTTTAGTTTAGTTACCTCAGTCTGATTAAAACACAGATCCTATTTCATTTCGTTTTTTATAGTTCAAAATTTTGTTTTCCTTGTCTTTACTACACTAGGATCTGGAAGAGTTGTCATATTACCGACGTTTTGGATGATGTGAGGGATTAGCCAATAAAACAATCTGTTAGGCGAGTTTTTGGCGTGGGTTGCACGGAACATAGGGTTAAAAGCTGCTCGTATGACCTCTGACACGACCTCCCACTTCAACCTGTCAGATCTTCATGTAGTAGAGACCATCGAAAGTATAAAAAACGAAACGAAATATAGATCTGTATTATAATCAGATTGTGATACGTTTGAAAATGAAATTTTAAAGGAGTTTTACGTCTAACTCAACATTTTCCATAAGATTCAAAATTAAAAACACAAATTAGAATTCAATATTGATCAATTTCAATCACTATGGATGTTGTTATCTTGCAAAGCGGGGTTGGATGGCCGAATGGATCATAAGGTCTGTCATTGAGTCAACTGGCATGGTTTTAATTCCCCGGTTGTAGGGTCGCCTGTACAACCTCGTGGGTTTTCTCCAGGTTTTCCGGTTTCCTCCCACTGCTAAAGACTCCTACGTGCAAGCGAATTATTGAAATAAAATTGAACCATGTGTTAGTCCCGAAATGACCTAGTTTGTGTTGAGTAGACGTTAAACCCCATTTCTCTCTCTCTCTCTCTCTCTTACTCTCTCTCTCTCTCTCTCTCTCTTCTCTCTCTCTATCTCCCTCTCTCTCTCTCTCTCTCCCTCTCTCTCTCTCTCTCTACTCTCTCTCTCCCTCTCTCTCTCTACTCTCTCTCTCCCTCTCTACTCTCTCTCTCTCTCTCTCTACTCTCTCTCTCTCCCTCTCTCTCTCTACTCTCTCTCTCTCCCTCTCTCTCTCTCTCTCTCTGAAAATGGTTTGTAACTAAACATTAAATACAGAAACTCCTGCTAAAACAACACAACTACATGATACCCAAGTTGTAGTGAGACTCATTTCATTTATTTTAATGTTCCATAGAATAGAGGGCTTTAAGTCTGATGTTCAGAGGACAAAGTTGAACTGGTTTAACATTCCCTTGCTTCACTTTAGCGTCTAAGCTGCATTTTACACCAGGCCCCACCAGGCCCCACCAGGCCCCGAGTTCACAAAGCCTTCTAAGACTTAAGTTAAGAATTTACTCAAAATTGTTCGCCTTATTTTATCTAAAATAAAGTCTTTTATAAAACTGTTGTTGTTTTAATGTATCAAATACATCAATAAGAAACTATGTGCAAAGTTTTGTGTTTCTTCATCAAAGATATATCTCATAAACAGTGATTGAAAGTTGACTAAATTCTTAATTTAAAAATACATTATGCAAGAAGTAAATCTGCCTATTGCAGGTCTTTCTTTAGGCCTAAAATGTGATATAAACTATTAATTAGACATTTATTAACATGAAAAGACCTTAATCAACTTTCATGCCATCTTATGTGTTGGATTGTCACTGGATTTGAATCCAATCTGCTGCTCAACGCTCATTGATGATTAAATCAAAAAATGAATGATCGAGACTTTGTTTTTTATTGTACCATCTTTAGTAATGCTGACTGAGGCTAGGCCAAAAAATCAATCACTAATATCTCGGTTCAGAGTAGAGCAATTTTCACCATATTCCCTTTACATTATCTAGTTTTTAACTATTATAGTGAGAACTGTCAGCTCTTTATCTAATCTTCCATAATGTATCTTTAAGTCTGAGAATGCTTTGTGAACTCGGGGAACCAGAACTGAACTGTTAGTGTTAAGCTTAAATACCTTGAAGAATGATAACGACATTTCAATATGATGATATTAGAAGAACAGTCAACCAATTATAAACTCATTTAAATCTGGTTTTATACCACCACCAGTATTCTACTGAACTGTAACTACATACGATACTGAGACTGTCTGGCTACAATTAGACATGAAGATAATTCACTGACATTTTAATTCATAACTCAACAAATTTAGTCCAAAAAACTAATTAAGTATGGGGATCACATGGCTAAGTGGGTAAGACGCTGGCTCGCTAGCCTGGAGATCGGGTGTTCGATCCCTGCATTGACCGAGAAAGTTCATTCAGATTTTCCAGCGTGATTTCCCCTTGTCAGTGATGCAGGACGGAGGGCCTGACAAGGACAGCTGTCTAGTCGTTCGGATGGGACGAAAAACCAAGGTCCCATGTACACATTGGCATGCACGTAAAAGATCCCTTGAAAGTTGGAATTTGATATAAGAGGAGGCCGTAGTGCCGCTGCCCGGGCAAAATTTCCCTCATAGCACACTGTATGGCGTAGGCCCGTCTTCATTAGCCCAGTTTAGGAGCAGAACAGTAGGACGTTAAACCCCATTTCATTTCATTTCATGTCTAATTCTTCAAGAATTTTGCGAAGTATTTATTCTGATTCCTTTTACTAAAATATCCAAAATGTTTAATGAAATGGTGTTTAACGTCCTACTGTATGTACTGCTCCGACTGGGCTAATGAAATGAAATGTGGTTTAACCTCCTACTGTTTTGCTCCGACTGAATTGTTTAATTAGTCTTTGTGTATATGAAATATGTAAAATGGATTAGAACCGCATGGTGGTCGGATGGTTAACGCTTACATATTGCATCAAAAGTCAAGTGGTGAGGTTTCGAATCCCCGCTTGTACGTGACAAGGAGTGGAGTTGCCTGTCCAACCTCATGGGTTTTCTCTGGATCCTTTGGTTTCCTCCCACTGCTAAAGACTCCTACGCACAAGCGAATAAATGAAATGAATGGTAACCATATGTTAGTCCCAAAATGTCCTAATTTGTGTCAAGTGGACGTTAATCTCCATGGACCTTATAATGTATGAACCTTATAATAAATAAGGTACATGCTAATATTTGAATATGGCGACCATTCAGGGCAGAGGTCCATATTGAAAGTAGATAGTACTCTGTGTCCTGACTGTAGATGTAATAATGTAACTTAATCTCAGAGTAAAACATTCTGGGTGGTATATATCGTAAATCCCACTCCACCAATTACTGCTGAGTGGGTGAGAGGAGCGTTTATATGATATAATTACTGATAAGGCCAAAGCTATTAAATTATTAGACCTCACGAGTTTCCTCCGGGTCCTCCAGTTTCCTCCCACTGCTAAAGGCTCCTTCCCTCAAGCAAATTATTGGACTGTATGTTAGTCCCAAAATAACCTAATTTGTGTCCTTCTGCACTTGATTTTCTGATCAGCGCTCTAGAAAACGATTATTATTATTATTATTATTATTATTATTATCTGGTTACCCCCATGTCAGTGATGCTGGACAGAGGACCTGACAAGGACAGCTGTCTATAAGCTAGTTGTTCGGTTGAGATGAAAAACTGAGGTCCTGTGAATACATTGGCATACACTTAAAAGATCTTTTGGCAGTTGGAATTCGATATAAGAGTAGGCCTTAGGGCTACTACCTGCGCAAAATTTCCATCATAGCACACTGTATGGTGTATGCCCATCTTCATTAGCCCAGAAACAGTAGGACGTGAAACCCCATTTCATTTCTGAAAATTGTCTGTGATTAAACCCCATTTGATTTAATTTGATTTGTTATTTTTCAGTGCTGTAGCAGAATGGTTAAAGGCACCAGATACACAATTTATGTTAAATAACGTTCAGCCCGATTTCCTTCTATTACGGGTAAATATTAACATAATTTTATTCTTTTAAACATGGTGAAATTCAATAAGCTAGGGGGGCCGAATGGTTAGCAATGTCGAAGACTTTAGATGATATTGAGTTAGAGACTTAGTTACTTTAACTTCCCAGGGGGGTTGGATGGCTGAATGGTTAGCATGTGCGTGCGCGTTGTATCATAAGTCTGTCATTGAGTCAACTGGCGTGGTTTCGATTCCCCGGTTGTACGTGACAAGGAGTAGGATCACCAGTCCAACCTCGTGGGTTTTCTCCAGGTTCTCCGGTTTCCTCCCACTGCTAAATACCCCTAAACGCAAGCGAATTATTGAGATAAAATTAACCATATGTTAGGTCATTAAACCCCATTTTTCTCTCTCTCTCTCTCTCTCTCTCTCTCTCTCTCCATTTTTTTTTCTCTCTCTCTCTCTCTCTCTCTCTCTCTCTCTCTCTCTCTCTCTCTCTCTCTCTCGTCTAAGCTGCATTTTACACCAGGCCCTGAGTTCGCAAAGCCTTCTAAGACTTAAGTTAAGAATTTACTCAAAATTGTTCGCCTTGTATTTATCTAAAATAAAAGCCTTTTATAAAACTTTTGTTGTTTTAATGTATCAAATACATCAATAAGAACCCATGTGCAAAGATTTCGAGGTAATTAGCTATAATGTAGGTTTTCCGTCAAATATTGATGTTATGGAGTGTGCCCTATTAAAACAAACATATAAACGACATAGGAGCCACGGTGGCTAAGTGGGTAGGACGTTGGCTCGCTAGCCTGGAGGTCACGTGTTCGATCCCTACATTGGCCGAGAAACTTCATCAGGATTTTCCGACGTGGTTTCCCATTGTCAGTGGTGTAGGATGGGTGGCCTGACAAGGACATCTGTTTAGTCTTTCAGATGGGACATTGGCGTTTACATTGGCGTGCACGTAAAAGATCCCTTGGCAGTTGGAATTCGATATAAGATGAAGCATGATGGGCAAACACACACACAAACACAACGATGTCTTTGATTTTATTTATGGGGGGTTGGATGGCCGAATCGTTAGCACGTGCACGCTGTATTATGAGGTCTGTCAGCTGGCATGGTTTCAAATCCCCAGTTGTACGTGACAAGGAGTAGGGTCGTCTGTCCAACCTTGTGGGTTTTCTCTGGGTCCTCTGGTTTCCTCCCACTGCTAAAGACCCTACGCGCAAGCGAACTATTGAAATAAAATTAAACCATGTGTTAATCCCGAAATGACCTAGTTTGTGTCGAGTGGACGTTAAACCTCATCTCTCTCTCTCTCTCTTCTCTCTCTCTCATTTTATTTGTATAGATTCCGAAACTTGGGTTGGTTGTTGGTTATAACTGATTATTGAATTAAGCACATACCTTGAAAAAACAACGTCGAAGCTTTAACTTGGTTGTCATGTACATGTACATTAACTAACACCGTTTTCGATTTTAAAATATTTTTTTCTCTCGCTAAGAGAATTGATTTTTTTGAGGTAATTAGGTTTGTTATGGACTTAAACAAGAACAGTAATTATATAATGATATACCGACGGCTTCAACTTGGAGATTAGATTTTCATGAAAAGAAAATTTAATTCCTAGCCTCGTTTGATGTGAGAAGCCTGAAGAAGACAGCTTCAATATGCCAAAGACTGGAATGGCTATTAATTACAGACATTCTATTAAACAACATATTCCACTTCCACCTAAAAAGCCACGCAAGCAGCAGTTGGTCCATGATTATCTTGCCTGGTTTTCACCTTACTGGCTGCGATGTTGACATCTGTGTCAAAAACACAATGTGTTAATTTTGTATCTGTGTAAATCTGTCTTGCACACGACTGACTTATATATTAATATTTCTATTAATATCCGAATCAGCAATATTTACCATGGATGTCGTTAAAGTGGCGACCTCCATTAACTGTTGGGAAATATTCACCCCACCCCACCCCACCACCACCACCACCCCCTCCACTCTTTTTCTTGGATTGTTTTAATTCATTAGATTTGATGCAATATTTATTACTATAAATGTCGTTAAAGTAACGGTCTCCATTCGTTAGTCCCTGGATCCATTCCCTTGATTTGATGCACCATTTCCACTGTCGTTAATCTGGAGGTCTCCGTTAACTTTTGCAAAATATTTCCCCCCTTTTTTTCTTGGATTGTGTTTCCCTTATTGTTTTAATTCCCATATGTTAGTCGCAAAATGACCTGGTTTGTGTTGAGTGGACATTAACCCTGTCTTTTTCTCTCTCTCTCTCTCTCTCTCTCTCTCTCTCTCTCTCTCTCTCTCTCTCTCTCTCTCTCTTTGCACTTTAGAACTAAAAGGTAAAGGATGATACATTTTCCCTGGTGCAGATAGTGCCATTATAAATGCATTGTATCCTTCCGGCGTGGTTCTCCCTTGTCAGTGATGCAGGACGGAGGGGCTGACAAGGAAAGCTGTCTAGTCGTTCGGATGGGACGAAAAACCGAGGTCCCGTGTACACATTGGCGTGCACGTAAAAGATCCCTTGACAGTTGGAATTCGATATAAGAGTAGGCCGTAGTGCCGCTGTCCGGGCAAAATTTCCCTCATAGCACACTGTATGGCGTATGCCCGTCTTCATTAGCCCAGGTTAGGAGCAGAACAGTAGGACGTTAAACTCCATTTCATTTCATTTCATTGCATTGTATCCTTACGTCTTCATTAGCTCGGACAGTGCAGCTAAGTAGGACATTAAACCGCATTTCATTTCATTTTTTACATCAAGATAACAAAGAAAGAAAGGAATTTTATCTTAAATATCAAGAGTGTCTTCATTCGCTCAAATGGTGCAGAAAAGTAGTTTCATTTTTTTGTATCACAATAACAATTTTAGAAACAACATACAAAAATTGGTGAAATAAATAAAGAATGAATATAAGGCCACACTAGAAAAATATTCTTGTTATCAGACAAGATTTGATGTGGTAGGGCGTTTTTGATTTTTGGGTTTTTTGGTCAAAGTCTGGATATCTAAGGTTTTGTTTTTAAGAAACACAACCTGTCCAACCTTGTGGGTTTTCTCTGGGTCTTCCAGTTTCCTCCCACTGCTAAAGACCCCTACACGGGAGTGATTTATTGAAATAAAATTGAACCATATGTTAGACCTTGTGAGGGGTTGGATGGCTGAATGGTTAGCATGCGCGTGCTGTATCATAAAGTCAGTCATCGAGTTGACTGTTGTGGTTTCGAATCCCCCGGTTGTACGTGACAAGGAGTAGGGTCGCCTGTCCAACCTCGTGGGTTTTCTCTGGGTCCTCCGGTTTCCTCCCACTGTTAAAGAGCCCTACGAGCAAGCGAATTATTGAAATAAAATTAAAAAAGCATATTTTAGTCCCAAAATGACCTAGTTTGTGTCGAGTGGACGCTAAACCCCATTTCTCTCTGTCTCTCGTTAGACCTCGTTTTTGTCAAGTGGAGGTTACCCACCCTCTCTCGCTCTCTCTCGCTCTCTCTCTCTCTCTCTCTCGCTCTCTCTCTCTCTCTCTCTCTCTCGCTCTCTCTCTCTCTCAGAAACACAAAATTATTATTAATTTGATATTTATTTAACTTTTAATAAGAACAAAAAATATTATCTAAGAACCAAAATATTTTTTGTGTGTGTGGCCTACTCTTTAACAATCATTTTGATTAAGTGCAATGAAATGATGCAGGTAATTGTGTTTCTATTGCAGACGCTGAGTCGCGGTTTGGTGCTATGGGAGTCGGTGATGCCAACACAAGAATGGGTATTGAGTAACATCCCGGAGGTAAACATATCTTACGTCTGCTTGTTTAACTCATTAATTGTCGTCTGCTATTTAAATTAACCTTTCTACTTTCTCTCTCTGACAATAAACACATCAGTATTCAATAGCATTATCATCAGGTGTACGTAAATAGGGATATATTAGTTATAGGTACATTATGATCAGGTGTACATAACTAGGGATATAGTAGTTAAAGATACACTCTGAATAGGTGTATGTAACTAGGGATATATTAGTTAAAGATACACTCTGAATAGGTGTATGTAACTAGGGATATAGTAGTTAGATACATTATGTAAGATTAAGATAAAGTTCATTGGGATTTTCTGGGTGATTCCCCCTTGTCAATGGTGTATTACAGATGGTCTGGCAATGAACAATGTATAGTTGTTTGGATGAAACGAAAAAACCAAGGTCTCATGTACATCTTGGCAAGTAAAATAACCTTTGACAGTTGGAATTCGAAATAAGGGTAGGCCTCACTGCTCTCTGGCATATATCTATCTTCATTAGCCCTGTCGGTGCAGAAAGTCGAATGTTAAATCCTCATTTCTTTTACATCAAAAAGCAGGTTCAGCTCTTGCATAATGCATCTTTAATTATTATCTGGTGTTTCAATTAACCGTTCTACCATCTCTCATATATCCTATTTTTCTATCACCGTTTGTATTTTTGCGAGATGTATCATTATTTTTGTAACACTTAACATATTTTGATGTTTTTTTGTTGTGTAAACAATATCGCTGTTGTCGTTTCTGTACTGATTTAACATGCAATTCAACTGTGGCTGGCTTTTCTTTCATTTGTACTTGTTTTGATATTTAGAGTAGCGTTATATATAGCGCTGGTACGATATGTTGTTTAATTGGTGTATCACGATTCACCTCCTCAAATCATGAGACACTGAATCGATGTATCACACATTTTTTTTTTTATGTTTTTGGGGTGTTTTTTTTGTCGCTTCAGTAAGTAGCCTGTACTGTAGGTACACAAACACTCCTAATTTTGATCCACATCAATATCGTGATATGAAACAGTTTTATTTTTCCTACATCGACAGGACTAAAAATATCAATTATTCATTTATCCGGTTGTTTTCTTGGTAAATATTGACCTGGTTATGAATCGTGATACGAATCGTATCGTAGCACCTGAATCGCAATACATATCGTATCGTGACTGCAGTGGCAATACCCAGCACTAGTTATTTATTACCTGTTTCAATCATTTGACCTTGTGCTGAATCTGAATTTAAAGTGCCGCCATTGAAATTGGTAAAATCGGTAGATTTAGCTCTAACATAATGCATCCTATAATGTTATTTATTTCACATTCTGATCGTTTCGTCAAGTACTCAATCTGAGTTTAAAGTGGCGCCATTAAAATGGGTAAAATCGTCAGATTTAGCTCTAACATCATGCATCCTGTAATGATAATGTTATTTATTTCACATTCCGATCGTTTGGCCATGTGCTGAATCTGGATTTAAATGGCTCCATTTAGCTATTACATAATGCATCCTATAATGTTATTTATTTCACATCCTGGTTCTGTTCACCTTGGGGGATTGGATGGCCGAATGGTTAGCACCTGCGCGCTGTGTCATAAGGTCTGTCATTGAGTCAACTGGCGTGGTTTCGATTCCCCGGTTATACGTGACAAGGAGTAGGGTCGCCTGTCCAACCTTGTGGCTTTTCTCCGGGTCCTCCGGTTTCCTCCCACTGCTAAAAACCCCTACGCGCTCGCGAATTATTGAAATAAAATTGAACCATGTGTTAGTCCTAAAGTGACCTAGTTTGTGTCCAGTGAAGGAGTGAACCCCATCTCTCTCTCTCTCTCTCTCTCTCTCTCTCTCTCTCCTTTGACCTTGTGCTGAATCTGGATTTAGCTCTAACATAATGTATCTTTAAGTTATTGATGTTTACAGATTGTGAGTAAATATGCGTTCAAAGATGGTGTTGATGTTAACGATGATGGTAGCGTTGATTATGAAACTATGAGGTAATAATATATAAAATGATATTAATGCTTATAATTGAGGATACTAGTGCAGTAAGGTGGGAAAGTGCCGTTGTTTTTAAAAAAAAGATCATATGATTTTTTTTAATTAAATCTATTTTCAGCAGATTTTCTTAACAACTTCTTTATTTTAATCATTTTTATCACTGTATATGTCAATTTTAGTCTTCTGGTCTAAAAATATGCAAAATTACTATTTTTGGCAGATTGTGTGAAATGGCACTCATTCACCTTATTGCACTAGCATCCACAATTGGTTGATAAAGGGCTGCGACTCAGAACAAATCCTGGAATAAATAGGTTTAGACCTGGGGGTCACAGTGCTGGCTGGCTAGCCTGGAGGTAAGGTGTTCGATCCCTGCATTGGCCGAGAAAGTTCATCCAGATTTTCCGACGTGTTTCCCCATTGTCAGTGATGCAGTCTGGGGGTCTGACAAGGACAGCTGTCTAGTCATTCGGATGGGATGAAAAAACAAGGTCCCGTGTGCACATAAACGGTCCCTTGACAATTGGAATTTGATATAAGAGTAGGACGTAGTGCCGCTGTCCGGGCAAAATTTCCCTCATAGCACACTGTATGGCGTATGCCCGTCTTCATTAGCCCAGTTCAGAGCAGAACAGTAGGACGTTAAACCCCTTTTCATTTCTTTTCGGGTTTACACCTGCTACACAGTCTTGTCAGTGTGTTGCTAAGGAATTTTATTTTTTGGTTATTTTCAAAGGATTGCTTCCTTTTCGATCCAGGGGGAGGTAGATGGCCGAATGGTTAGCGTGTGTGCGTTGTGGTTTCGATTCCCCGGTTGTATGTAACAAGGAGTAGGGGTTGCCTGTCCGAACTCATGGGTTCTCTCCTGGTCATCCGTTTTCCTCCCATATGTTGGTCTCAAAATGACCTAGTTTGTGTCGAGTGGATTTAAACCCCATTTCCCTCTCTCTTTATTTTCTTTGCTTTGTATTACTGGAGATTTCCATAAAATCTCTCTCTCTCTCTCTCTCTCTCTCTCTCTCACACAAACCAGTGATTGTTTTCCAGTGTTGTTTTTATGGCATATATTAATTAAACTAGATATATACAGGTCATTTTTCTATGGATTACAATTACTATTTATAACTGACGTTTCAACTAGGTTACTTGCTCAGTAATAAACCATAATTATATTCCATCAATTTTAATCAACACCTCTGGCTTGATTTGTTAGGTAACGCAGGTAACTTGAGCTCTCTGACATTTCTCTGATTTCCTTGATAGTATAATGAGATATATTTTTACCCTTTGAGCACTCTCAATAAATGATTTAACCTTTTAGCTCCTGGTAAAGGTAAATATTGACTATCTCGAGGTCTAATTTACAAAAACATAAACTAAACTGTTTTAAAGATGCCTGTAAAACTCAGAAAAATAGAGAAAATACTAAAATACTGAAAAAACTTTTTTAATACTAATTACCGAAAAAATCTGAAAAAATTAGCATAAAAAAAAGCTTTTGGGTACTTTTCGAATTGTTTTCAGAATTTTTCAGTACTAAACTTAGAAAAATAGTGAAAATGCTATGAAAAATACTGAAAAAACTTTTTTGATACTATTTAATAAATACTCAATAAAAATACCGAAAAAACTTTTTTCATAATAATTACCCCAAAATAGCGAAAATAATCCAAAATATATTTGAAAAAACTTTTTTGATATAATTACCCCCCCCCCCCAAAAAAAATGAAAAAATTATAATGAAAATTTTTTGGGGTTACTTTTTGTAATGTTTTCGGATTTATCGGTACTTTTGAAATTTTTTCATATTTTTTCGGTGTATAGTACAGCCAGCATTTCATTGGTTGCAATAGCTCGCTAGCCTGGAGGTCGGGTGTTCGATCCCTGCATTGGCCGAGAAAGTTCATCCAGATTTTCCGCCGTGGTTCTCCCTTGTCAGTGATGCAGGACGAAGGGGCTGACAAGGAAAGCTATCTAGTCGTTCAGATGGGACAAAAAAACGAGGACCCGTGTACACATTGGCGTGCACGTAAAAGATCCCTTGGCAGTTGGAATTCGATATAAGAGTAGGCCGTAGTGCCGCTGTCCGGGCAAAATTTCCCTCATAGCACACTGTATGGCGTATGCCCGTCTTCATTAGCCCAGGTTAGGCGCAGAACAGTAGGACATTAAACTCCATTTCATTTCATTTCATTGGTTGCAAGTTAAAAATCCTAGTACCGGTACAAATTTTAGCTCTTAGTCTGCAATGATAGACATGAGAATAAATCAGATATTTTTGTTTTAAGTTTTTGTGAATACGGACCTAGGTTCCTTGAATAGAATTAAAGGAAAATTTTAGGGTTTTTTGTAAATACGGACCCAGTTGCCTTGAATAGAATTAAAGGAAAATGATATTTTTCATACTGATACCTCCCTGGAAATTGGGTAGTAGGGGCGGTGTGTATATGACAAGGAGTAATGTCACCTGTCCAACCTCATGGGTTTTGTCCGGGTCCTCTGTCTTCCTCCCACTGTAAGAGACCCCTACACACAAGCGAATTATTGAAATAAAATTGAACCATATGTTAGTCCCGAAATTACCTAGTTTTTGTCGAGTGACTCTCCCTCTCCTTGGACATTTGAAATTATTATCATTGTACATTTTTATAGCGCACACCTTCCTCGAATAAGTGCTCACATTTACTTCTCACATCTGTACTTGTGTCCAGTTTAAAGCTGACTGATTAATTTTAATTTCTCAATCACTGTCAAAAAATAAATAACTCAATTGATTATTGATGTATAATGATTAATTTTTGAACAGTGGTCAAGAAATTAAATACTTGTAAATTGAACATTCATTATCAAAATTAATCAGTCAGCTTTACACTGTACGCCAGTACAATTTAGTTGATTTGGGGTGATTTTAAATGATTTTTAAACAAAGATTTGATATTAAATGAATGTGAAATAAATTAGTGCTAGATACACAAGATTAAATGATACCTGGGTTACAGTGTAAAATGATGTACTACTAAGAAAACCTCGAAGAATTTGAAAACTAATTCAAAATTGCAAAATGAATGGGGTATAAAAAATCTGCATTATCCTTTGAACTCACCAGAAAGAAATATGTTTTTGATCTGTATTATAATTACATTCTGATGGATTATTGAGGACCAAAAATAGATGTCTGCAAAAACTTCGTTATTTTCTTAATGTTTTTATACCTATTGACTCCACTCCTAGCAGACAATTTAGAATATTCTACTTCAGAAAGAATTAGATTTCTTTATAGCATAATCATATCCAAAAGAACAGAAAAAAATCATCAACTAATTACCCGAGTTAAAGGACAATATTGGTGCCAGTCATTATCACATATGTGATAGAGCTGGTTAAACACATTCCAAATATAATTTTAACACAGAGATCATTGCTACGATAGCTGAGTAATACAGGTTTCCTGAATCAGAAGTGACGAACGCCAAAGGAAAACACGAGTCATCCCTCTATAATAACTGATTGATATGACAAGTGATAACAGATACACGGCCGAATTTCTGCTCACTAATAATTCCTTCGAAGACCAAAAGTTGTTATATGGGACTGTAAGAGGATACCTGACAATTCAATAAAGTAATTGAATGTCATTAGATATTTTCTTTTTTTGTTTTTCTTTCGTGTTCACTTATCTAGTGGCAGTCAATTCTTTTTATGAATTGTCAGATATCCTCTCACAATCTCACACAACAATTTTGGTCTTTGAAGGAATTATTAGTGAGCAGAAATTTGCCCGTATATCCGTTATCACTCGTCACATCACTTGTGTCACTTCCGATTCAGGAAACCTGTATTACTCAGCTATCGTAGCAATGATCTCTGTGTTAAAATTATATTTGGAATGTGTTTAACCAGCTCTATCACATATGTGATAATGACTGGCACCAATTAATATTGTCCTTTAAGTTGTTTGAATAGCTTGATCTAAAATTGCATTGATCTTCAGCGATTACTTAGCCTTCATTTTTGGGGCGGGCGGGGGTCAAGGAAATAAATGATAGTATTGACCTATATGAAAACTTTTATTGCACTTCTATCCTCACTTCTCCATTTTTAAATTAAATCATTAAATGGCCAAACTATTCATATAATGGCATCGATAATTGATTATGGGCTTTTGTCATGTTAATATAGGTCTAATTAATAGTTTATATAACATTTAAGGCCTAAAGAAAGACCTGTAATAGACAGATTTAGCTCTTGCATAATGTATCTTTAATTGATCAAGAATGTTCAAACTTGGTGTAGATGTATTGAAGGTGAATGCCTTGACTGGACAAACAAGTATTTAAATACCACCCCCCATAAAAAACCTGGACAAACAAGTATTCAAAGAGTAACCTGGACAAACACATATTCAAATAGTATACGTACCAAAATAACCTTTGACAAACAATTATTCAAATAGTATAAAAAAACAAGCATCAAGTACCAGGTATTCAATTAATATTCCCAAAAAACCTTTGACAAACAAGAAAATTCAAATTGTATTAAAAAAAAAACGAGCAGCAAGTAGTAGGTTCCAAATAATAGTCAGAAAAACCAAGTACATTAAAAAAGAAAACAGAGCATCAAGTATCATGGTTCCAAATAATAGTCAAAAAAACCTAGGGAAAAACAAGTACATTCAAATAATCATCTTTTAGATGCATTTAGTAACTGGATAGAGCAATAAATTATAACTTATGGAAGAACAATTACTGATTAATTTAGGTGACGTTTCAAAGAGTATTCTCTCAACTGCTTGAAAACGTTGAGAGAATACTCTTCGAAACGTCACCTAAATAAATCAGTAATTGTTCTTCCATAAGTATGTGTTATAGTTTATTACATTCAAATAGTATAAAAGATACATTATGTAAGATTTTTAGTAAAGAGCTAGCCATTCGTGCTATAATAGTTTGTAAATAGATAACGTGAAACAAATAATTTGACAATTTCATTCAAATTACTCTATTGCGAGAGAAGATATTAGCCTTTGAAGGTTTGACAAGACGTGTGCAATAATTGCAACCACCGTACTGGTTGTTCGAAGCTAAGTCTCGCTCCTCCATTTTTAAATTAAATCAAAATATGGCTGAATCTATTTAATATCGGATAAATTCGACGCCATAGAGACTTGATTATGGCCTGGATCAGTTAATTAATGTCTAATTAATAATTAGAAAACATTTCAGGCCTAAAGAAAGAACTGCAATAGGCAGATTTAGCTCTTGCATAATGTACGTATGTTTAAAAAACAAGAGCATTAAGTACCAAAAAACCTTTGAGAAACAAGTATTCAAATTACAATACCTTGTTGTACTTGTTGACAGACATAAAGATTAATGACTTGATGATATACAAGCTAATACAGGTGTTGATGTAACCATATAATTATTAATTAATCACCTTCATTTTCATCTTTTTTCTTTCAAGTCAAGCCTACTGTAGTCTAATAGCTGGTGCATATATGGTGATGGGGCTCAAGTTTGCTGGATCAGCCAATCAAATGGCTTTTGAAATTTTGGTATGGACATTTGATCTTTTCTAAACAAGTATGCTTTTAGTTTTGGTCGTACTAATATGAACATGAAACACACCATTATGTTCCTTCATGTCATTTCAGCTGTATGACGTCATATCAAAAATTGGTCTCTATCCATCTCGAATGGGGACTCACGTGGCTAAGTGGGTAAGATGCTGGCTTGCTAGCCTGGAGGTCGGGTGTTCGATCCCTGCATTGGCCGAGAAAGTTGATTCAGATTTTCCGGCATGGTTCCCCCTTGTCAGTGATGCAGAACGGAGGACCTGACAAGGACAGCTGTCTAGTCCTTCGAATGAGACGAAAAACCGAGGTCCCGTGTATACATTGGAATGCACATAAAAGATCCCTTGGCAGTTGGAATTCAATATAAGAGTAGGCGATAGTGCCGCTGCCTGGGCAAAATTTCCCTCATAGCACACTGTATGGCATATGCCCGTCTTCATTAGCCCAGTTTAGGAGCAGAACAGTAAGACGTTAAACCCCATTTCATTTCCCTCTTGAATGAACAGTTTTCCAAAGAATGAGCAATTTGATTAAAATAAAGATCTATATTTCGTTTTTTTTTTTTTTTTTATTCTTTCGATGACCTACACTACATGAATATTTGACGGGTTGTACTGGAAGGTCGTGTCAGGGGTCTATGACCCTATGATGTCAGACATTGATAAATCAATCAGCGTTGACGTTTCTAGTAGTTTACCCACAGTTCCGTGCACCTCACGCCATTAACTCGCCGTAACAGACTGTTTCATTGGCTAATCCCTCACTTCAACCAAAACGCTGCTTACATAACAACTCTTTCAGATCCTAGTGTAGTAAAGACAAGTAAAACGAAATTTTGAACTATAAAAACAAAACGAAATAGGATCTGTGTTTTAATCAGATTGAATAATGAGCATGTGGAGTTTCAAGTTAATCGTACTCGAATTTGCCAAGCCTTAGGATTTGCTTAAAGGAGGGGGGTTGGGTGTCCGAATTGTTAGCACACAACATTGTATCATGCGGTCTGTCATTGAGTCTACTGGCGGGGTTTCGATTCCTCGGTAGTACATGACAAGGAGTAGGGTCGCCTGTCCAACCTCGTGGGTTTTCTCCGGTTTCCTCCCACTGACGCGCAAGCAAATGATTGAAATAAAATTGAACCATATGTTAGTCCCGAAATGACCTAGTTTGTGTCAAATGGATGTTAAACCCCCATTTCTCTCTCTCTCTCTGATTAACAAACCAATAGGTCTGGGATTCGATCCCATTGTTGAGCGAGAAAGTTTGCCATAATATTAAAGCATTGTTTCCCCTTGCCATTGGTCCATGATGGAAAGCCTCTTAAAGACCAGGGTCTAATAGTTCAAGTGGGATGCAAAACTGAAGACCTGCACCTAGGCGTGCACATAAAAGAACCCTTATCGATTGGAATTCATTTGCTGTCCAGGTAAAATATCCCTCATAGCACACTGTAGGACATATTCCCTGGAGCAGAAAAATAGGCAGTTTAACCCCATTTCATTCATTCATTTATTCATTCATTCATTCGTTCATTTTTCTCAAGTACATGAGCTGAGGTATGTAATCACATGGCTGCTTATTATTTTAGATGAAGGGGGGTGTGGATGGCTGAATGGTTAGCATGTGCGCGTTGTATCATAAGGCCTGTCATTGAGTCAACTGACATGGTTTTGAATCCCTGGTTGTATGTGACAAGGAGTAGGTTGCCTGTCCAACCTTGTGGGTTTTTCTCGGGGTCCTCCGGTTTCCTCCCACTGCGAAAGTCCCCTACGCACAATCGAATTATTGAAATAATATTAAACCATATGTTAGTCCTGAAATGACCCAGTCTGTGTCGAGTAGACGTTAAACCCCATTTCTCTCTCTCTCTCTATTTTAGATGAAACAGATGAAGTTATGTCTGCGTTTGATATCCTCTCCATCACGAGTGGAGCTTGCTGGGAAATCTTTGGTAGAAAATTGTTTATGTACTTTGTTACTGGCGTTATCATTGGTAAGTAAACTTGTTGTAGAAGAAAAAGTTGTAGACTATTATTGGAGACCACTAGATCGACGAGGTTCCTGCACATTTTAGCACATATGATGTCATGATGTCGTTGTTTTTTGTATTTTAGAGGAGAGCCGAAAAAAGCTCTCCTTAATCAACAAATTGAAAAAATCGCGCCCCTAAAAAAGCTTTAGAAATAAAGAGAGAGTGATCTGCTATTAAGGAGAGTGATTAGTTGTGTGTATGGGAAATGGTTCTGAAGATCAATAACTGCATGTAAGGGCGTCATTCCTGGGTTCATAAATGACGTTATAAAGAAGAGTGATTTTCAATTTTAGGAGAGGGGGAAAAAACTTCAGGTGAGCAGCAGGCGCTCGAGAGCGATCGCTCGCCTTAAAAAACAAAGACTGCATATTAGGGTTAGGGTTAGGACCTGCAGATATCGTCAAAGTCTCGAAATGGAAACAGGGCTAGCACTAACCCTAACCCTGGGCAGAGCCTTATCCTAACCCTAACCCACAATCCACCTATGACGTCATATGTGCAGGACCGTCTACGATCTAGTGCTCCCCAATATTATTAAGAATTTTTATACGGCGCTATATCCACAAACAAACATGCACGTAAAAGATCCCAGCGACAGTGAATAAGTAATTAACAGAAATCTATTTTTCAGGTTATGGCAGGAACAGGAAATTTAGAAGTACTAAGATTATGTAGAATGTTAAGAAAACGAGTGGGACCACAGCATGTCCATGCTACATATGGATCTCATATGGCAATCTCCATGTCTCTAGGGATGTTGTTTCTCGGAGGTGGAAAGTAAGTATGATATGATAAACAATATGAGAGAGAGAGAGAATTAGGTCATTTCGGGACATATCATGATTCAATTTTATTTCATGTTAGTCCCACAAATACTACCTGTGTAACATCCACTCAACTCAAATTAGCTCATTTTGGGGTAAACATACGGTTCAATCTTATTTCAACAATTCGCTTACGCGTATGAAGCTTTATCAGTCGGAGGAAACTGGAGGACCCAAAGGAAACCCACGAGGTTGGACAGGCAACCCTACTTCTTGTCAGGCACAAGCGGGGAATTGACACCACGCCACTTGACTCAATGACAGATCTTATGATTTCGTGCACACAAGTTAACCCACCCCCACACTGCCCCCCCCCCCCCCTCCTCCAACACCAGGATTCCATGGAATTGTATCTGAGTATTTCCAGTTTAATTACGAAATTTCATTGAAAGATTACAGAAAAAAAACATTATATATAAGGGTCTGGGGTGATCAATTCAGCATCTCGTAATTTAATACGTGAATCATGAAAAAGTGAACCGTGATACATTGATTATAACGCTATATTGTGCCAGCACTGATCTGGGGTAATTTATTAACAGGCTTGGAAATAATGACTAATGTATACCTGACAAAATATCGGGGTTTAATGCTGACAAAATATTGGGGTCTAATGAACTGGGACGTGACATTTTGACACAAGTCTGTGGTAGAAGAATAAGGGCGTTTACGGCTGGCCCCCGGATCCATTCACTTGATATTTGTTTATTTGGTGCAATGTCTATTTTATGTCTTGTCCGCAGGTTTATCTTGTAGATTTTTGTTTTGCATGTAGTGTGGTCCTCCTGCACTTACTAATAGACATCAAGTCACAGTCTAGCTTAAAGGCTACCTGTCATTATCCAGTTGTGCGGGGGGATCACGGTGGCTAAGTGGGTAAGACGCTGGCTCGCTAGCCTGGAGGTCGTGTGTTCGATCCCAGTGATGCAGGACGGAGGGCCTGACAAGGACAGCTGTCTAGTCATTTGGATGAGACGAAAAACTGATTTCCCGTGTACACATTGGCGTGCACGTAAAAGATCCCTTGACAGATCGAATTCGATATAAGAGTAGGTCGTAGTGCCGCTGTCCGGGCAAAATTTCACTCATAGCACACTGTATGGCGTATGCCTGTCTTCATTAGCCCAGTTTGGAGCAAAACAGTAGGACGTTAAACCCCATTTCATTTCATTTCATTTCCAGTTGTGCGGCACTGCCCTCTCAAGAAAAACATTGGGAATACAATGACGTCCTACTTCTCTACCCTATCCAGGCTAATGAATACAGAAAAAGTTTAATGAATACATACTACGTATTGATGTGTGTTTTTCAGGTATACGTTTAAAACAACGCCAGATGCTATAGGAGTCATGTTATGTGCTTTTTATCCTAAATTTCCTACACACAGTAATGACAACAGGTAGGTACATAAAGAATACTGACAATATGTAGGCACATTAAAGATGGGTTCCCAGAAAAGTATTTATCAAGTGGTTATTTCCAATAAAAGTATGGTAATTTTGGTATATATGGAAAGTAGAGATATCCAATCTTACTAGAAAAATACTGGATTCCCTGAAAAGCACTCATGGAGCGTATACAGGCCAAAAATGTAAAGGGTTCCCCTAATCGACAGCCCGACGATTAGGAATTCTGAACACGTGATGTCAAAGGTCACACGCGGACATTTAACTCTTGATGTACAAGCTGATAAACTTTATGAAGAGTTAGATGTACAATATTTTCTGAGATAAAAATGACGGAAAAAGACGCGGGTAGTCTAAATCCGAGAATTTAATTAGGATTTGATATTTGTAATAAATAGTAAGTGATTAAAGACAACATCGTCTTATGTATGCAATGAATTCTCCTCTGACTTCCAAGAGAGGTAAGTCATGTGACGTAAACATGACCTGGTTTGATCGAATTTTTATAGCAGGACATTCCATCGCAATTACAATGTTTGAGAAGGATTTGAAGCAAAATTATGACAAATTAATTAGTTTGAATATGTTTTTAGTCCATATATACCATTAAATCACCCAGTTTGTACGCAACAACCCATCTTTAATGACAACAGATCGATTTAATAGATTTAAACTAATTAAATATGTTAATCAAACTTTGATTTATTTATTTTTATCAAATTTTAAATAGGTACCATTTACAGGCATTCCGTCACTTGTACGTACTGGCAGCTGAACCCAGATTACTGTTGCCAAGAGATGTAGATCGAGGTTTAGCCTCGTACGTTCCGATACAAATCAGATTTAAAGAATCGTCACAGTATTCCTCGTCTGATTTGATATTTAAAACCTATGCTCCTTGTCTTCTACCAGAACTCAATTTATTAGAAGAGGTAGGTGGTTGATTTGATCGTAATTTTTCTTGTTTTTGACTGCTTATTGAAATGAAACTGGGTTCAACACGGCTAATAAAGATGGGCATTATGCTTTGAGGGAATTTTGGCCTGGACAGCGATAATTTCTACTGCTATTCTTCGAGTTCCATCTGTCAGGGGTTCTTTTAATTTTCGTGCATGCCAACAGACCTCGCCAAAAAAGTTCATCCAGATTATCCGGCGTGGTTCCCCCTTGTCAGTGATGCAGGACGGAGGGCCTGACAATGACAGCTGTCTAGTCATTCGGATGGGACAAAAAACTGAGGTCCTGTGTACATAGGCATGCACGTAAAAGATCCCTTGACAGTTGGAATTCGATATAAAAACAGGCCATAGTGCCGCTGTCCGGGCAAAATTTCCCTCATAACACACTGTATGGCGTATGGCGTATGCCTGCTTCATTAGCCCAGTTCGAAGCAGACAGTAGGACGTTAAACCCCATTTCATTTCATTTCATTTGTTCCATGAAAACAATCAGACCTGGACCTCCTGGTTAGTGAGCCAGCGCCTTACGCACCGAGCCACCATGGCACCTTAACTGATGGATAGGGGCTGTTCGTGGGGGGGGGGGGTCTACTGGTTTAACGTGTACATGTGACATCATAAGGTCTGTCATTGAGTCAAGAGGCATGGTTTCAATTCCTCACTTGTATGTGACGAGGAGTAACGTCGCCTGTCCAGCCTCATTGGTTTTTACTGCGTCCTCCGGTTCCCTCCCACTTCTAAAGACCCCTACGTACAAGCGAATTATTGTTATAAAACTGAACCATATGTTACTCCTAAAATGACCTAGTTTGTGTCAAGTGGAGGTTAAAACAATATGTAAAGTATTTTTCTGAAAAATGAAAATGTCAACATTAATCCTTGTTAATTAATTAATTTTTTTTTCCATTAATTTAGATCACTATATTGGGTCCGAGATATTGGCCAATAGTATTCCATGTCGATAAAAACTGGAGTATATTAAAGTAAGTAACTTTTAATAACATCCACTCGCCAAGGAAGCGAGCTGGGCCCATAATCCACAGGTCCATGGATCGAGTTAGGGTTGGGGTATAGGGTATAACTCTAACTCAATATCAATCTGTTTAAAATACAAATAACCAATCAGCGTTGATGTTCCTAGTGGGTTACCCACAGTTCCATGCACCTTATACCCAAAACTCGCCGCAACAGACTGTTTCATTGGCTATATAACAACTCTTCCAGATCCTAGTGTAGTAAAGACAAGTAAAACGAAATTTTGAACTAAAAAAACGAAACAATCTGTGTTTTAATCGGATTAACTCCCTCAATATTATCCAAAACATGAATTTGAATTCAATTTTGTTTATGGGTTCTTGTTATCCAATAGGGGGGGGGGGGGTCGAGTGGTTAGCACGCGCGCGCTGTATCATAAGACATGTCATTGAGTCAACTGGCGTGGTTTCGAATCCCCGGTTGTACGTGACAAGGAGTAGGGTCGCCTGCCCAACCTCGTGGGTTTTCTCCGGGTCCTCCGGTTTCCTCCCACTGCTAAAGACCCCTACGCGCAAGCGAATTATGTAAATAAAATTAAACCATGTTAGTCCTGAAATTACCTAGTTTGTGTCGAGTGGACGTTAAACCCCCATTTCTCTCTCTCTCTTGTTATCCAACACTTTAAAATCTGTTCTCGCCCTCAGGGTTCTCTACGATCATCTAGACTTCATGTTAATTATATAGATATAATGCTGGGAGACATACCACCAACTTCTCATGATTACGATACTTGGAGGCTAGCAGACGACATAAGATACATCAGTTGGCTAGCAGGCGTTGTATATTGAGAGAACCCCGTAATGAAAGACAGGCAACCCCAAATACAATACACAGATCACCATTACTGAGCTACTTTTCCGCTAGGCAATCCCACTCGTTGTTAAATAGAATATATACGTGACAAAATTCTATGGAATTTCAAATTCAATTATAGTAGAATCTGTACGAGCAGCCATTCCTATTCAGTGACATCTCCTTGTAAGAGGTTACAATAAATTCCCCCGGTAGAAATTCTATTGTTTCACGGTCACTCCTCTAACACGAATAGCGGTCACTATATTACTAATAAATATAGCACATTAGTGCTTATTCAATGGTGGCCATTGTTGAATGATACCATCTTGTCATACTTCGTAGCACCTCCGCTAATCCTGTGATTAATAATTAATTATCTGGACCACCACTAATCAGGTAAAAGGAACTGTGAAAATAACAATAAACCCGGGATTATCTGTTAATTAATCTTTTGTTTTATTAAACGACAAACCCTGATCATTGTTTTCACATGTAAATTTTCTTTATTTTAACCTCAAATGTAAATCGACACTACTCCATTCTTCAAGCTGTCATAACTTCGTTTAGAATGAAGTAATTTGCCTGAAATTTTCAATATATTTTTCATTATCTGGTCATCTCTTTATCTAAACCTTCATAATATATCTTTAATAGCACTGTAACCTGGGTATCATTTAATCTTGTGTATCTGGCACTGATTTCTTTCACATTCGTTTAATATTTAATCTTTCTTCAAAAATTCATAAAAATCGTTTAAAATCAACCCAATTAATCTAATTTGTTTAAAACTGACCATTGTCCAATTTACAAGCGTTTAATTTCATGATCACTGTTAAAAAATAAACAACCCAATTGATTATTGATGTATAATGATCAATTTTTGAACAGTGGTCAGGAAATTAAATACTTGTAAATTGGACACTCATTAGCTTTAAACTGGACACAAATTGGATGATTTGGGGTGATTTAAAATGATTTTTACGAATTTTTAAACAAAGATTTGATATTAAACGAATGTGAAAGAAATTAATGCTGGATACACAAGATTAAATGATAGCCAGGTTACAGTGTATGTTTTGAGATCACTATTATACAATCATAGCAATCATTCTAGCACTTAAACGCGTCTCATAGAAATATTTTTTTGACGGGTTATTCAATGACTACACATATTTCTGACGAAACATATGAAAATAATTCTCACACTTTTAATACAATTTAGATCTAAATTCACATCTGACAATGGAAAAACATGTCAATTACTTATGTAAGATAAGCTATTTTCACCTACGAACCATTGGCAACATCAGACATGTATTAACGAAGGATTCGACTCATACATTGGTTCGGTCGCTGATATTCTCCAGGTTGGACTACTGCAACAGTCTTCTGAGTGGCCTAAATCAAACCTCGCTCAAAAAACTGCAAGTAATACAAAATACAGCAGCCAGGATAATTCACCGCTGTTCAAAACGGAACGTATACTGCACCCCTTCTGAAAGACCTGCATTGGCTGCCTATTCACTTACGAATCAACTACAAGATTCTATGTTGTGTATATAGATGTCTAAACAGTTCCAGTCCAAAATATTTATCCGAACTAATCCAGGTGCACAATCCTCAACGAAACCTATGATCCCAAGACCAAAAAAAATGCTTGTAGTTCCTAAATATAACCTTCAAACTTTCGGATACAAATCATTCAAACTCAGTTTTCCTAATCTCTGGAATCCCCTGCCACTGAGTGTTAAATCTGCTCCTTCAATGGAATCGTTTAAAATTAGATTTAAAACGTATCTATTTCCACGTGAATATGACCATTAATGACCAAGACAGTTGAATAGTGAATTATTGACAGTGTACATATGTTAGCGCTTTGAGCATGCATTTATGGATGGATATATGCGCTTTATAAATATACATTATTATTATTATTAAATTAAAATCAATTCAAAAAAACAAGATTATTTAACATTACTTTTATTACTTATGAAGGTTTATATTTAACAACAATCACATCAGCTTCGCTCTACTCAGGCAATGTCTGTTCAAATAAATTTTTTAAATATTTTCTACTCGCTTATGGTACTTGGAAAGTGTATCATTTCTTTTCTCTGGAAAACTAAGTCCACATAATGGCAGTTGGAATATCCAAGGGAGTTGTCTCGATTGTCAAGTTCTGTGGTTAAACAGGTGAAGGATAATGATGTCTGGTTGACCGAGACAACCTGCATGCGTATTATTGTTATAGTAATAACACCGTTCAACTGATAATTTCCGTTACAGATTCTCGATATAAAAGTTACTTTTGACCTTCTTGCATTTTATTTATATTTTTATGCCGAAGGGCTTTGTCATTGATGTTGACATTTTAAATTTTCTGTGTTGTTCTTTGCGTGTGTTCTTTGGTTAGTGCCTCCAACCATACTATGATTATTTGGTTGAATTGCTGTAATATAGTGTGGAGGTTGAGTGTACTTTAGATCTGGATGTTCTTCTGGATGGCCGAATGGTTAGCATGTGTGAGCTGTATCATACGGTCTGTCATTGAGTCAACTGGTGGGGTTTCGAATCCCCTGTTGTACATGACAAGGAGTAGGGTCGCCTGTCCAACCTCGTGGGTTTTCTCCGGGTCCTCAAGTTTCCCCCCATTGCTAAAGACCCCTACGCCAGGGTTCTTAATCCATTTTGAAATGAACCGGCCACGGTTAGGCCTAACGGATAGTCGGCTTCTCAACAACAAACATGTTAGTTTATGCATACTCTATTCACGTCAGTAATTGCATAATTCACTAATTGCATAATGTATTTGGGATAATAATAGCCGAAACTCCGTATAAACAAGACCTTAGTAATTGCATACTTGCATTCATACATCGCTATAATATCCACATTTATAGTCATATTATTTCAGCAACTTACATTGCATATTCCTACTTTTGGTTTCATCCAACTAAACGGAAGTGATTATTTTTAGTATTACCAGTATACAATTTTCGGGATTTAATGCAGCAGGACTAGTTCGGATATCTGAGAGGATCTCTTCCTCAATTTCACTGGATATTAAAGAAATAAATTCACCACAATAAATTAAAATCACAATATATTTTTTTGTCATTTCATCATCCTGCTGTTCTGTCAAATCGTTCAATTATTGTTCATAATTTTCGATGGCAATGTTTCTTTTTGCTATGGAATACGCATTTCGGATTAACGCCCGGTTTGAAACAATTTCTAATTCTATAGATTTGGGAATTAAACTCTTTGTTCTGTCATCGTCTTTCTTTGCTGCGTAGGTATGATCGTCAGATTAATACGGTCTTTTATTGCCGATAATTTGGTTGACCTATATTGCACGTGGGAGAATCTCCGGCTTTTGGAACTTCCATTGACGACGTGAATGCTTAAAGTTCAAGGTCAACGCCGCCATCACTATCTTCAGTTAAATCTCGTTTACGTTTCTTGGTGTCATTCTGCGAGGTGTTCAAGTACTTGGCATGATTACCTCAATTAAGTTGTTTATTTATGAAATAAGCCGAAGGTATTCATTGTAATGATTGACTCTTTGATGGGTTTCTTAATCGACGAGTAATAATTAATTCTTTGTAATCGGCCGAAAGTCGATTGATTTATGATACCATTAGTGGCCGGTTCATTGTTTTAACAATCGGCCTGATAATTAATTCTTTGTAAATCGGCCGAAAGTAGATTGATTTGTGATACCTTAGTGGCCGGTTCATTGTCTTACCAATTAGCTAGATTAAAGATCAATTGGCTAAAGCCGACAAAAAACAACCGATTAAGATCCCTGCCCTACGCGCAAGCGAATTATTGAAATAAAATTGAACCATATGTGACCTAGTTTGTGTCGAGTAGATGTTAAACCACTTTTCTCTCTTTCTCTCCTAACCCCTTTATGTTTTCTCCTACTACTAAGGCTAATTATTGAGAGAGAGGGAGAGGCTTTAACTCCACTCGACACAAACTAGGTCATTTGGGACTAACATATGGTTCAATTTTATTTCAATAATTCGCTTATGTGTAGGAGTCTTAAAGTTGTGGGAGGAAAACGGATGACCCGGAGAAAACCCATGAGGTTTAACAGGCGGCATTACTCCTTGTCATGTACACTCGACACAAAATAGGTCATTTCGGGACTAACATATGGTTCAATTTTATTTCAATAATTCGCTTGTGTGTAGGGGTCTTAAGCAGTGGGAGGAAAACGGAGGACCAGGAGAAAACCCACAAGGTTGGACAGGCGACCCTAATCCTTGTCACGACAACCGGGAAATTGAAACCACGCCAGTTCATTCAATGACAGACCTTATGATAGAATGCGCAAGCACTAACCATTCGGCCACCCAACCCCCTAAAATATATAAAGATGAAAATGAAATGGGTTTAGTTTAATGTCCCGCTTTTCTGCACCTTTTGAGAAATGAAATGAAATGGGGTTTAACGTTCTACTGTTCTGTTTCGACTTGGCTAACAAAGACAGGGCACCTATATTGGGCTAATGAAGATGGGAAACGAAACCACGCCAGTTGACTTGTGATTCAACACGCACAGGCTAACCATTTGGCCATCCAACACCCCTTTTGAGATAGGGGGGGTTGGATGGCCGAATGGTTAGCATGTGCGTGCTGTATCATAAGGTCTGTCATTGAGTCAACTGGTGTGGTTTCGATTCCCCGGTTGTACGTGACAAGGAGTAGGATCGCCTGTCCAGCCTCGTGGGTTTTCTCTGGGTCCTCTGGGTTCCTCCCACTGCTAAAGACCCATATGCGCAATCAAATTATTGAAATAAAATTAAACCATATGTTAGTCCCGAAATGACCTAGTTTGTGTTGAGTGGACATTAGACCCCATCTCCCTCTCTCTCTCTCTCTCTCTCTCTCTCTCTCTCTCCTATTGAGATATAAATGTTGCATATATTAGTTCAAAATTTCGTTTGAGGGTTGGGTAGACTTTAGATTCCAAGGTGTGTCATTGAGTCAAGTGACAAGGATTAGGGTTGCTCACTGTATGGCACACTGTATGGCATATGCCCGTCTTCATTAGCCCAGTTTAGGAGCAGAACAGTAGGACGTTAAACTCCATTTCATTTCATTTCATAGCATGCTGTATGCCGTATGCCCTTCTTCATTAGCACTGTCGGAACAGAAGGATGGCAACTTTTGTGTTTATCGTATACAGGCCACATTTCTGAATGGATCATCTTGGAACTTGGCATATGTATTCATATAGCCTAATTATGGCAACTATTGTTTTTGGTGCATGCCCCCACCCCCAGGGGTAGAGCCACACCCACTTTTTGACAATATTTTGTCTGTAAGTAATCTACAGGTTGCGATTATTAACAGGTTTGGATCAAATTCGTATGATCCACCATAGGGTTACATGTATTTAATTAAATGTAGCATATGTTAGTCCCAAAATTACCTGTCTGACTTTTCCTTCTCTTTAAACATACATTATGCAAGAGCTAAATCTGCCTATTGCAGGTCTTTCTTTAGGCCTGAAATGTTATCTAACTTATTAATTAGATATTAATTAACCTATCCAGACCATAATCAACTCTAGATGGCATCGCTAGCCTGCGATCTTTTGTGGAATGTGAGCCGATTTACTGCATAACTTTCCTTCTCGATTAAACGATTAAATGGATAATCGAGACTATGCTGTTTATCGTACTGACTTTAGTAATGATGACCGAGGCTTATGGGAATTTCAGTCGCTTAGTTCTCGGTTCATAGTGGATCAATTTGAATAAAATTTTCACCAAATTGCCTTTACATTATCTAGTTTTTAACTATTATAGTGAGAACTGCCAACTCGTTATCGAATCTCTCATAATGTATCTTTAAGATAATTATTATATGTAGTTAAATAGATCAAGGCTTGGTTATGTCTTACGTCTGTTTTCTATAATAATTATAGATGAGATTATAATTATATATCAATTTATAATTACTGTACATATATAATATCTTCATTATTTTCCTTCAAACAGATCTCTACTAGAGAAAGGTCAAGTATTATCCGTCAAACAACGTGCTGGTCATCTCTCTTACGCAGAAGATCCACAGGTAATTATTGATAATTAATTTAACCTTCGTCACATTTTTATATAATACAGATTTGATTACTAATAATTTTATTTTTCTGTTCTCAAAATTACGAATTAATGATGGCCTTCCTGGCATTTTGGTTATTATACTCTTTTCATCTGATTTTAAATGATAATTATAATCTTACTGTGCTATTAAATTCTGTCTTAGTTTTTATCCTTTATTGATAAGACATAAAGCTTTTAATGCATTGGGGTGGTGGACATAGACGTACGGGGGGGGGTGGTGGACATAGGCGTACGGGGTGGTGGTGGTGGTTGGTGCCCAAAAAATGTAGTTAGGTTCTTAGTATGTTACATAATAATAATAAATTTGCTGTTAAATTGGACACATTCAAGAACACAATATCTTTTTTTATACAACTTTTATAAAGTATAATTGTGTGCCCCAATTTTCCCAGTATTTGATGCCCAAAATGGGGGGGCTCGTACGCCTATGGTGGTGGATGTAGGTGAATGGTTAGCACGTGCGCGTTGTATCACAACACTATAACCAAGGTTTCATTTAATCTTGTGTATTTAGCTCTGATTTTCTTTCACATTTGTTAAATATCAAATCATTGTTTAAAAATCATTTAAAATCACCAGATATCATCCAATTTGTGTCCAGTTTAAAGCTGATCATTCAGTTTTGTGTCGAGTGGACTTTAAACCCCATTTCTCTCTCTCTCGATATGGTTGGGGGTAGGGGCCAAAAGAAAACCTAAATGATGTACAGGCAAGGAACTTGGTAAAGGGCTTGTCCCCAAACTGTCCTGGAATAAAATGAATCTTATCAAGTTCGTAGCTTGGGGAATATCACCTACACTTCATTTATTATTTTATATACATGACAAGCCTATAATCAACGGGGGATTGGATGGCTGAATGGTTAGCGCGTGCACACTGCGTCATAAGGTCTGTCATTGAGTTTCAATTCCTCGGTTGTACGTGACAAGGAGTAGGGCCCAAACTCCGAACTCGTGGGCTTTCTCCGGGTGCTCCGGTTTCCGCCCACTGCTAAAGAGCCATAAGTGCAAGCAAATTTTTGAAATAAAACTGAACCATATGATAGTCCCGAAATGACCTACTCTCTCTCTCTCTCTCTCTCTCTCTAAACCATGAAATGGATTAGAACATTCACAAGATTTAAATATTTAACAATAAAATGGACATCAAAGACTTATTCTTGATTGCCAAGTACTTTAGCTACGATAATAAACAAGTTCACTCAGAATAAAATAATTTGAATGAAATTTTCAATATTTTATTCGTTTTTCATTATCTATTTTGAAATGAAGTGAAAATGAAATGAAATGGGGTTTAATGTCCTACTGTTCTGCTCCGACTGGGATAATGAAGACGGGCATACGTCATACAGTGTGTTATGAGGGAAATTTTGTCCGGACAGCGGCACTACGGACTACTCTTATATCAAATTCCAACTGTCAAGGGATCTTTTACGTGCACGCCAATGTGTACACAGGACCTCGGTTTTTCTTCCCATCCAAACGACTAGACAGCTGTCCTTGTCAGGCCCTCTGTCCTGCAACACTGACAAAGGAGAAGCATGCCAGAAAATCTGGATGAACTTTCTCGGCTAATGCAGCGATCGAACACCCAACTTCCGGGCTCTCTATTTTGAACTATTATAGCAAGAATGGCCAGGGCCCTGTTTCTCGAAATCTTAACTTAAGATAAAATCCAAATTTTAGTAGATACTTCAATTTTGATTGGCTAAGCACTAAAATCAATCTAATATTATCCAATCAAATTACTAAAATTTGGATTTTATATTAGTTAAAATTTCGTGAAACAGGCCCCAAGTCTTTATCTATGTCTGATGTAATGCATTTTGAAAGGGCCATTAGCTAAGATTAGTTAAAGATAGTTCAAAAATAGATAATGAAAAGGGAATATGTTGAAACTTTCAGTCAAATTTTTTCACTCTGAGCCAAGATATCAGCGATACAATAAAAGTGTTGCCTCGATTGTCATTGCTGCCATTGTTAAGATAATAAACAAAGTCTCGATTATCCATTTTTTTACGGTAAATCATCAACCGCAAAATGTATTTAAATCTACTTAATATAGGAGCCATCCAATGGCACGTTGTTTCATAAGGTCTGCCATTGAGTCAACTGCTGTGGTTTTGATTCCCCTGTTGTACGTAACAAGGAGTAGGGTCACCTGTCCCACCTCGTGTGTTATCTCCGGGTCATCCGGTTTCCTCCCACAGTTAAAGACTCCTACACGCAAGCGAATTATTGAAATAAAATCGAACCACGTGTTAGTCCCGAAATGTCGTAGTCTGTGTCGTTAAATCTCATTTTTCTCTCTCTCATCGCCGTTATATCATAAGATCTTGCATTTAGTCAAGTGACATGGTTTCGATTCGCCTCTTGTACATGACAAGGTGTAGGGCCGTCTGTCCAACCTTGTAGGTTCTCTGGGCCCTCCGGTTTCCTTCCAACAGATCAGAAATAAAAAGCCCTATAGCAAGCCAATTTTTGTGTCACATGGACGTAAAACCCCATTTCCCTCATTCTCTCCTGTTACTGTCAATCCGTCACACTTTTTTGGTACTCAGTAACTCTAATTGTCCAACCTCGTGGGTTTTCTCTGGGTCCCCCATTTTCCTCCCACTGCCAAAGACCGCTGTGCGCAAGCGAACTATTGAAGTAAAATTGAACCATGTGTTAGTCCCGAAGTGTGTCGAGTGGAGTGAACCCCCCCCCCCTTTGTCTCTCTCTCTCTCTCAGCAGACCTGAAAATAATGATTTTCGTTGTACCTGACAATACTGAACTGTTACCCGACAGTTTTAACCGATTATCGAACATGTATAATAATATCCAACCTCATGGGTTTTCTCCAGGTCCTCCGGTTTCCTCCCACTGCTAAAGACCCCAACGCTCAACCGAACTATTGAAATAAAATTAAACCATATGTTAGACCTAGATTGTGTTGAGTGGACTTAAAACCCATCTCTCCCTCCCTCTCTCTCTCTCTCTCTCTCTCTCTCTCTCTCTCTCTGTCTCTCTGTATTATAATAACACAGAATAAAGAAATATGACAGACATCATAATTCTAGAATCAGATATCAGACATCATGGCACAGTGAGTATGGCACTAGAACACTAACCAGGGCAATTGGTTTCACAGAGGTACGAGGGCTGGCTGAAAAGTTCTAAGCCTATTTAGGGGGGTTGGATGGCTGAATGGTTAGCGTGCGCGCGCTGTATCATAAAGTCTGTCATTGAGTCGACTGGCGTGGTTTCGAATCCCCGGTTGTACGTGGCAAGGAGTAAGGTTGCCTGTCCAACCTTGTGGGTTTTCTCCGGGTCCTCCGGTTTCCTCCCACTTCTAAAGACCCCTACGCGCAAGCGAATTATGTAAATAAAATCAAACCATATGTTAGTCCCAAAATGACCTAGTTTGTGTCGAGTGGACGTTAAACCCCATTTCTCTCTCTCTCTCTCTCTCTCTCTAAGCCTATTTGTGAAAGACCTATACGAAGTCGATGGTATCCATTTATTTTTCTACTTAGTCCCATTCCAGGTGTACACTCTTTTGCCAACGATGTCGCAAGGCTTGGATTCTGGCAGAAACGTGTCAGATTCCCGACGTCCTGTGACAATCTGCGCCATATTGAAGCAGATCATGATAATTGTTTGAAAAAGGAACTAACCAGTCGCATTTTCCTAGCATTGATGACATATTTTTTAGGGTGACTAAAGAAAATTACTTCCCGATAATGAGCAGTCCAGAGCTTTGGCACCCATCTCGCGTACATTTTTGTCATTCCTAACTCGTTAGCAATAACAATAGCGAATATTCACTGCTGACTAGTTTTTAACCAGGGTATTGGGTCGACCCTGTTGCTGGCGGGGAAAGTTTTCCCCTTTTCACGTGTGCAGGATGTTCAGATGAGGTGAAAAACTGAGGTCCTGTGCACGTATAGAATTCCTTAACAATTGGAATTTGAAATAAGAGTAAAGAAAGATCTGCAATAGGCAGATTTAGCTCTTACATAATGTATGCTTAAGCCCCATTTCATTTCAGGGGTCAGAGGAGGGAAGGGGGGATGGCCAAATAGTTAGCACGCGTGCTGTATCATAAGGTCTGTCGTTGAGTCAACTGCCCTGTTTTCGTTTCCTGGTTATACATGACAAGGAATAGGGTTACCTGTCCAACCTTGTTGGTTTCTCCAGGTCCTCCAGTTTCCTCCCACTGCTAAAGACCCCTACACGCAAGCGAATTATTGAAATAAAATTGATTTAGTCCCGAAATGACCTAGTTTGTGTCGAGTGGACACTAAACCCTCTCTCTCTCTCTCTCTCTCTTTGACAGCATTCCACACATGGTATGGCTATTATGAAAAATATAATCTGACTTCCAGTTCTAGACTGCTCTAGCAAGTGGCAGGATAGTTAGCAATTCTATTTTATTAGGTGCCAACAATAATGTTCGGTGTTAAAAGTATGTGAATGTCATTATCTAGACATTAAGTAATTATCCAGACAGAATTAAACTGATCATCAGACTGAAGAGCAAGATGTTGGGTGTTTAGATCTAACGAGGTTTTAATGGTGGGTTTAGTTTATTTACCTAGATGATAGATATTCTACTTTGTGTAGGATAAAGTCCTCGACTTCGGTTATGAACAGAACACAGTTTTTATGGGAAACAATCACTGGTTTTATTCTAAAAGCATGACGTTTCGACAAGTATCCTCTTATCGTTATCAAGCGCAATGACTTCGGTTATGCTGAGGAAAGAAGGACTTAAGAACATAATCGAAGGTTTTTTTCTGAAGTCTTTCTTCCCCATCATAACCGAAGTCGAGGACTTTATCTTGCTTATAAACCGTCTATCTTTACATGTACGTAAAGTGAGAATATCCCAGAATTCCAGCAAGAAAAACCTTATATCATGTTTTCTTATGGAAAAAAAAAACCTACCCTGGAAGAATAACCCAATACAGGTTTAAAGAAAAATTCTCAGAAGATTAACCCCGAATTCCTCTCAATATATTCAGACGGCAAGTTATTCCAGGCATAGAATATATCCTAAAGATCAAAGAGATTTATCGTTATAGGTTATATATATAATGATAATTACTATTTGCCATGTTATGGACGAAATGAAAGGAAATAAAAGGGAGTTTAACATCCTACTGTTCTGCTCCAACTGGGCTAATGAAGACAGACATACACCATACGGGAAAGCCATGGTGGCTAGGTGGGTAAGACGTTGGCTCGCTAACATGGAGGTCGGGTGTTCGATCTCTGCATTGGACCGAGAAAGTTCATCTTGATTTTCCGTCGTGGTTCCCCCTTGTCAGTGGTACAGAACAGAGGGACTGACAAGGAACAACGTATAGTCGTTCGGATGGATACGAAAAATTGAGGTCTAGTCTACACATTGGTGTGCACGTAAAAGATCCCTTGGCAGTTGGAATTCGATATAAGAGTAGGCAATAGTGCCGTTGTCTGGACAGTTCTTGCTATAATAGTTAAAAAAATAGATAACAGAAACAGAATATGCTGAAAATTTTAGTCAAATTGCTCCACTCTGAACCAAGATATTAGCGTTTGAATTTTAGACCTACCTAACCCCACTCATCATTACTAAAATCGGTACAATAAAAAACATTGTCTCAATTATCCATTTTTGGATTTTTTCATCAATGAGCGATGAACAGCAGATCGGATTCAAATCCAATGAAAATTGAACACATAAGATGACATCGAGAGTTGATTATGGTCTGGATAAGTTAATTAATATCTAATTAATAACTTATACAACATTTTAGACCTGCAATAGGCAGATGTAGCTTTTGCATAATGTACGTTTAATGAATATGAAAGAGAGAGAGAGAGAGAAATGGGGTTTAACGTCCACTCGACACAAACTAGGTCATTTCGGGACTAAAATATGAAAGAGAAAGAGAGAAATGGTGTTTAACGGCCACTTGAAACAAACTAGGTCATATGTTTCCATTTTCTTTGGAGGTCGGGTGTTGGATCCCTGCATTGGCCGAGAAAGTTCATCCAGATTTTGCGGAGGGCCTGACAGGGACAGCTGTCTAGTCGTTCAGAGGGATGAAAAACTGAGGTCCCATGTACACATTGGCGTGCACGTAAAAGATCCCTTGACAGTTGGAATTTGATATAAGAGTAGGCCATAGTGCCACTGTCCGGGCAAAATTTCCCTCAGCACACTGTATGGCGTATGCCCACCTTCATTAGCCCAGTCGGAGCAGAACAGTAGGACGTTACACCCCATTTCATTTCATTTCATGTTTCTATTATATTTTAACATCCAACCTTAAGAATGACCAAATGTTTTGGTTTTTCATCCAAAGTAAAAAACAAAACTGAAGGTCAACTGGGTTAAATATTGAGATAGAGAAACTAATTATTCAGTAGACTGTATTGATGCAGGATTTCTTTGATGGTCTCGGCACTAATTGTATAACAATTCATATGAGAATAAGAATATCTCTCAACTACAAAGAAATTATTTTCCCCTTTATTTAATCTCTTGTGCTTTGTAGCTGTGTGTCGTTATGAATTATATTTGTGAGGTTGATGTGCATGTCATGAGAATCATTTAATCCAAGGAGTTGTGTATCGTAATTATATTTATATAGTCTCCAGTCAACAGGGCTCTATTTTTCCTGTAATTATCAATTAATTTATCTCACATTCGTTTAATATCAAATCTTTGTTTTAAAAATTCGCAAAAATCATTTAAAATCACCCCAAATCAACTAATTTGTACTTGTGTGTATTTTAAAGCTGACTGATTAATTTTGATAATGAGTGTCCAATTTACAAGTATTTAATTTCCTGACCACTGTTCAAAAATGAATCATTATACATCAATAATCAGTTGGGTTGTTTATTTTTTTAACAGTGGTCGAGAAATTAAAGGCTTGTAAACGGGACACTCATTATCAAAATTGAATGGTCAGCTTTAAACTGGACACAAATACAAATTAGATGATTTTTGTTGATTTTAAAAAAATTTTACGAATTTTTAAACAGAGATTTGATATTGAACGAATGTGAAAGAAATTATTGCTAAATACACAAGAGAGAGAGCTAGAAATGGGGTTTAAAGTCCACTCAACACAAACTAGGTCATTTCAGTATCAACACATGGTTCAAATTTATTACAATAATTCGCTTGCACGTAGGGGTCTTTAGCAGTGGGAGGAAACCGGAGGACCCGGAGAAAACTCACGAGGTTGGACAGGCGACCCTAGTCACCCTACGCTTTGTCATGTACAACAGGGGAATCGAAACCACGCCAGTTGACTCAATGACAGATTGTATGATACAGCGCGCCATGTGCTAACCAATCGACCATCCAATGCCCTCGGCTAAATATACAAGATTAAATGATACCTGGATTACAGTGCAGAAGAGTATTAGGCCAAACCAGATTTTGAATAATAATAATATAACCGTGCAAGTTATAGTATAATTTAAATCTTGAATATTTAAGATAATGCATTATTAATTTTAAAAGTGAAAGCCTTCAAATTGAATTTATTTAAACTCTCAGGACAATAACTATTCTATTCTTTTAAAACATTAATTGTATGTGTGCTATTAAAAGGTGACTAGCCAAGGGTGAAATGTTATGTAATCCTAATGACATGTTAATTTATTATAATCCCTTATTGTTTTTAAAACTGTTATAGATAGAAAGTAACTGACAATATGGCCTGTCTGGTGAACATGCCAATCATATGATTAATCTATTAATTGTTTTATTTACCATTGTTTTATTTCTTATATTGTACATTATTACATCAATGCTTATTTATGTCAACACTTGATCTAGCCAAGTGATTAGAAATAATTCCATATAAATATGTGATTGTACTTGATACGTCAGTCATTTAGGTCTATCCGACTTAGTAGCATAAGGTACTAGTCGGTTATCCGCGGTCCTGTAAGTGTATGTAGATAATTGTTATTATAAGTTTCCAGTATTAAAGATTTGAAGAACCATTCCAGACTCTTGTAATATCTGACGGACCTCACAATAATAAGAGAGAAGGGCAGAAATGGAGTTTAACGTTTACTCGATGCAAACTAGGTCTTTAGTTAGGTGGAAACCGAGAAATCCCACAAGGTTGGATAGGCGATCCTACTCTTCAACATGCATGCATTACCCATTCGACCCCCATCCCCAAATAATATTTTAAAAAATGGAGCTTTTCCTTTGATACAATATTGAAATAAATATGTTGTATATTTTCAGGGATATAGAAGTATCCTGGCGAAATCCCTGACATCAGATCATTCCAGTCATGGTGCCAGTAATGTAAGTTGATATATACTATTATCCTGGATAAGTTAATTAATGTCTAATTAATAATTTAGAAAACATTTCAGGCCTAAAGAAAGACCTGCAATAGGCAGATTTAGCTCTTGCATAATGTATGAAAATTCCCTGAGTGGCTGCTTAATACAGATTCTACTGTAATGGGTCGGAGTGGGAATCGTGTAAGAATCTTTAATTGCACAGCACTGAGATTACCTGGTCAAGATAAAATCAATACAAATTAAAGAGTGTCAGTGAAAATAAACGGAATGATAGTTGTAGGTTAAGATTTGGGTCAGTGACAGGTATTGTGTAAGAATCTATAATTGCATAGCACCGAGATTACCCAGTCACAACGAAGACAATGGTTGGCCAGATTTTCTCTCTCTATACGGCTAGTCTGTTATTATCATTATGGATGGATTTAAAATAATAATTATTGATGGCTAATGATTTTATAATCATCACCTTTAAGTCGGCTTTCTATATACCTTAATTATATATCGGGTTTTCATTGTGGCTTGATTTTTCTCCTTATCTAGATTTTTCTAATTATCCCTCAGCTTTCGGAGAAAATAAGGAGTCACGGTGGCTGAGTGGGTAAGACACTGGCTCGCTAGTCTGGAGGCTGTGTGTTCGATTCCTGCATTGACCGTGGTTTCCCCTTGTCAGTGGTGCAGGATGGAGAGTCTGACAAGGATAGCTGTCTAGTCATTTGGATGGAATCAAAAACCAATGTCCTGTGTACACATTGGCTAAGTGGGTAAGGCGCTGGCTCGCTAGCCTGGAGGTCGGGTGTTTGATCCCTGCATTGGCCGAGAAAGTTCATCCAGATTTTCCGGCGTGGTTCCCCCTTGTCAGTGATGCAGGATGGAGGACCTAGTCATTCGGATGGGACGAAAAACCAAGGACCCGTGTACATATTAGTGTGCACTTAAAAGATCCCTTGGCAGTTGGAATAAGATATAAGAGTAGGCCCTGGTGTCACTGCCAAGGCAAAATTTCCCACATAGCACACTGTATGCTCATCTTCATTAGCCCAATTGGAGTATACCTGGTTTGTGTCGAATGGACATTAAACTCTCTCTCTCTCTCTCTCTCTCTCTCTCTCACTCTCTACTCTCTCTCTCTCTCTCTCTCTCTGGTTACAAGTGAGATAGAATGTTTACATGTTTTTTACTTTAAGACTAAATACCCGCCTGTCCATCACACCTTTTGGAACACAATAATTTGGTTTCTCGTGGAGGTGGAAGGTTTAAGATTTGGTGTGGATGTTTGTTATGTGAGTGTCTGGACTGAATTTGATCATGAATATTTCTTTTTTGCTAAGAAAAAGCTGTTTGTCCGTCTGTCAAACCTTTTTTAAACACAATAACTCTGCTTTTAATTGAGGTAGCATGTTTAAACTTGGTGTAGATGTTCATTAGGTGAATGTCTTGACTTGAGTGTGATGATGAGCATTTTCTGTTTTTACTGAAAAGCTTTTTTTTACACCACTTGAAAATAACATTGTTTTTAATTGGTGTAGATCTTCACCGGGTGATTGTCTTGACCAAGTTCCATCAGGTGCATTTTGAAATCGATCACTTCTAGATCTTTATGGTGCGGTGATTGACCCAAGATTCTTGATTCCATTTCAGGTTCCACAAAGTCCATATTCTGTCTTGTTTTCTAGTTGCTTTTGTTATTAGTTCTAAAACAATTATTTGAACATTCACAGACTGATAGAGTTTTAATTCTTGTTTACATACACAGAATGATGGAGTTTTAATTCTTTTTTTTAAAGATGCTTTATGTAAGATTTAGATAAAGAGCTGACAGTTCTCGCTATAATAGTTCAAAAATAGTTAATGGGAAAGGAATATATTGAAATTTTCAGCCAAATCAATTTTCATTGGCTATTATTATTACGATAATAAACAAACACTTGAGGGGGGTTGTCATTGAGTCAACTGGGATGGTTTCGATTCCCCGGTTGTACGTAGGTTCCTTGAAGGGGTGTTGGATGGCCGAGTGATTAGCATGTGCGCGCTGTATCATAAAGTCTGTCATTTAGTCAACTGACGTGGTTTCGATTTCCCTGTTGTACGTGACAAGGAGTAGGGTCGCCTGTCCAACCTTGTGGGTTTTCTCCGGGTCCTCCAGTTTGCTCCCACTGCTAAAGACCCCGACGTGCAAGCAAATTATTGAAATAAAATTAAACCATATGTTAGTCCCGAAATGACCTAGTTTGTGTCGAGTGGTCGTTAAACCCCATTTCTCTCTCTCTATAAGTCCTGCAGTAGGCAGTTTTAGCTCCTAAACATACATTATTTAAGAGCTAAATCTGCCTATTGCAGGTCTTTCTTTAGGTGTGAAATGTTATCTAAATTATTAATTGGACATTATTTAACTTATCCAGATCATAATCAACTCTCGATGTCATCGCTAGCCTGCTATCTTTACTGGATTAGGATCCAATCTGCTGCTCAACGCTCATTCATGATTAAATGGATAATCAGGACTATGTTTTTTATCATACCGACTTTAGTAATGATGATCAATCGCTAAATTCAATCGCTAAATTCTCGGTTCATAGTGGATCAATTTGCCTGGAATCTTCAGCAAATTCCCTTTACATTATCTAGTGTTTAACTATTATAGTGAGAACTGACACCTCTTTATCTAATTAAGAGATAAACACTTATCGACATTGTAACATGCTATTTTAGCATTTTAAAAGAAATTACTAAAACGGAGAGGTGTTATTGTCCAATCGACAGTGTCTAATTGACCAATCAAAATGCAAGATTCACCCTTAAGCATGTTACAATCTCCCATAATGCATCTTTAAATAAATGTTTTGTAATCGGTCTTCGATGTCAATTATAACTAATGGATTTCAAGCAATTGTTGTCTACTATGATAAATATTTAATATTATTAAATACAAAGAAATTATCAACAAATAAAAGAAAGATATATCGATCTAGAATTATTTTAATAGCTCATTATAGAATCCTTTAACACTTGCTATATCCCAAGATTGTTATTATTTTTTAAATTGATTTACTGGTATAACGTTTTTATTTGTGCTTATAAATTGTTTTGTGATATAATTGTTAATTGTTTTTAATTTGATTTACTGGGATATTGTTTTTATTTGTGTATATAAATTGTTTTTGTGATAATTTAGCCGGCCTAGAATAAAATCACCTATGTTTGGCACAATATAGCCCGATTGGTGATTACTTGCCATTAAACCACATTTCATTCATTCATTCATTCATTGACTGCCCTGGTTCCTTGAAGGGGTGTTGGATGGCCGAGTGATTAGCATGTGCGCGCTGTATCATGAAGTCTGTCATTTAGTCAACTGACGAGGTTTCGATTTCCCTGTTGTACGTGACAAGGAGTAGGGTCGCCTGTCCAACCTCATGGGTTTTCTCCGGGATCTCTGGTTTCCTCCCACTGCTAAAGACCCCTATGCGCAAGCGAATTATGGAAATAAAATTGAACCATATGTTAGTCCCGAAATGACCTAGTTTGTGTCAAGTGGATGTTAATCTCCATGGAACTTATGATATATGGACCTTATATATGGACGTTAAACCCCTTTTCTCTCTCTCTCTCTCCTTGAAAAAATTTGGAGAAAATATTGATACTGGTACATCACTGACAGATCAAAACTATTGCTCCTTAGATCGTGTCAAACAGTCGAAGTCATGAGAATGGCTTGTCATGTTTTAAAACTGTATACCAGTCCTTGGAAATCACAATTATTCAATTCATATGTCCTGGGGGGGGGGGGGTAGCGGTCTCTAAGCACAGGGCAGTTTCAGTGGGGGGGGGGGGGGGGTATTTTAGAACTGTATACCAGTCCTTGAAATCACAATAATTCAATTCATATATCTTGGGTGGTTTATCAGTCTCTAAGGACAGGGCTGTTTGAATGTCTTGGATAGGGGTGGGGGGATGCTTGTTGTACAAATGTGTGTTTATTAGTTTATAAATTACTGCTTGGACTTCAGTTTAAATCTCTACTCTGACAGCCCCGAAATTGTGCATATTATGAAAGAACACAAGTTTTTAGGCACTACGCAATCCTCGGCAGATTCAGTTACTCTACATTAGCCTCGACTGTATGACGCTAAGTGATATGTACCTACGCCTATACAATTGCGATGCGGCACCGGTTTACTTATTAGGAAATTTTGCCGCTTTTAAAAAGATGTTATCAAAATTGCATCATTTGAAGAGTGTAGAATTTTCAGTTCAAAGTTGGTCTTGTCTGAAGAAAATCGAATAAACTTGAAAGAAAAACAGTTTCAGATTTTGAGATATTTGTATGATAAAACATTCTTCAAAGGTGTCGTCATGGGCAACGCCGTTGGTAATCCGGGAACTTAAAGTAGTTCCTATGGCGGACTTCGTCATACAGCCGAGGCAAGATGTAGGGTACTGGAATCTGCTGAGGTTTGCCGCGTGAAGTTTCAGGTAGTCCAGGTGATAAACTGGGGATGTTGTTCCGACAGGTATGAAGGAACACAAGTTTCAGGTAATCCAGGTGATAAACTGGGGAGTTGTTCCGACAGGTGTGAAGGAACACAAGTATCAAGTAATCCAAAAGATAAACTTAGGATATTGTTTCGACAGATGTGAAGGAACACAAGTCTCAGGTAGTCCAAATGATAAACTGGAGATGTTGTTCCGACAGGTGTGAAGGAACACAAGTTTCAGCTAGTCCAGGTGATAATCTGGGGATGTTGTTTTGATATAAACGTAATGTCAGACAAGAAAATCTCTAGTCTAGTTTTAGATTTATATAATAAATGTTTTTATTGCAGCCTGAAGTAATTAAATCCTTTACGTCTGACAAGAGAATAACAGCTCTAGCAGAAGTTTTTCTCAGACCAACATCTGCTCTGGTACGCAATTTTAGAATCATTATATTATTCCAAGTTATAAATGATATTATTCCAAGTTATAATTTATAAATAATATTATTCCAAGTTATAAATGATATTATTCCAAGTTATAAATGATATCATTCCATGTTATAAATGATATGATATTATTCCAAGTTATAAATGGTATTAATCCAAGTTATAAATTATCAGTTATAAAATGAGGTCCTGTGTACACATAAAAGAGTCCTTGACAATTAAAATTTAATACAAGAGTACGCCGTAGCACTGCTGTCCAGACAAAATTTTGCTTGTTATACACTGTATGGCGTATACCTATCTTCAAAGGCCTAGTCAGAGCAGAACAGTAGGACATTAAACCTCATTACATTTCATTTCGTATCTTTACAGTGCATGCAAACCTGTACTGAGAGCCTTGGTATTTCGCTCCATCCTAACTACTAGTCTCTGTTACTTGTGATGCCATTAACCAAATCAAAAACACACTTTTATGGATAACAATTACTATGGTTTATTTCACTGCGACGTTTCAACAAGGTTTCACAAGTCGTTATCAAGCATATACACAAAATTTTGTGTATATTTTGTGTATATGCTTGATAACGACTTGTGAAACCTTGTTGAAACGTCGCAGTGAAATAAACCATAGTAATTGTTATCCATAAAAGTGTGTTTTTGATTATGTTCCAATTACTAAATGCCATTCAAAGAATAGATGCCATTAACACACGGAACCCAATCTGATTTAAAGACAGATCTATATTTTGTTTCGTTTTTATATACTTTCGATGGCCTACACTACATGAAGGCCTGACCGGTTGTAGTGAAATATCGTATCAAAGGGTCATACACGTGGCTTTTGACCCTATGATGTTTGATTAACCGATCAGCGTTGATGTTTATAGTGGGTTACCCACAGTTTTCTGCACCTCACGTCAAGAAGTTGCCATAACAGACCGTTCCATTTGCTAATTCCTGGCATCATCCAGAAAGTGGGTTATAGAACAACTCATCCAGATCCTAATGTAATAACAAAAATGAAACAAAATGGATCTGTGTTTTAATCAGATTGCGTGGAATCAGGCTTAAAGATCTTGACCTACACAGGGATCAAACCTGATACCGACTGTATGAAAATAAAATGAAATAGCGGTTTAACGTCCTACTGTTTTGCTCCGGACTGGGCTAATGAAGGCGGGCATACGCCATACAGTGTGCTATGAGGGAAATTTTGCCCGGACAGCGGCACTACAGCCTACTCTTATATCGAATTCCAACTGTCAAGGGATCATTTACGTGCACGCCAGTGTGTACACAGGACCTCGGTTTTTCGTCTCATGGTGTATGCCCCTCTTCATTAGCCCAGTTGGTGCAGAAAGGTAAGATGTACCTAAAAACACAATTCATTTGCTTCACTCTTTCAATAATTGATCTAATCACACAACACTCTAACAATTTTTTAAGATTTTCTTCAGGGATTTGTTGGGGGGTTTTTTGCGCTAATTGTTCATTTTAGATAATAAGTCTTGGACGTCTGCTAATGGGATTTTGTTCTCCCTGATTGCAATAAATACTAAATAGGTTTTTAAGTGGTATTGCTTTGCACCCGTTTTACTTGTAATTGTTAGGTCACCGACATTAGATTAGGACAAAAATCAATTCATTGCTGTCTCATGGCAAGATAATAGCGATAGATGAAAATCTGGGTTTATGAAAGCGGAATATATTTCATCAGAAACCATTTACAGATACATTCTTGTGGGAATTATATTTGTAATTAGACTTATTTGTTTAATAATAGAAATGGAATTGGATCTTTATCAAGCATAGTGTGCACTTGTCAGGGTTGACGTCTCCGAGGCCAACAAAAAAGAGAGAGAGACTAGAGAAATGGAGTTTAACGTCCACTCGACACAAACTAGGTCATTTCGGAACTAACTTATGGTTTTAATTTTATTTACATAATTTGCTTGCGCGCTGGGGTCTTTAGCAGTGGGAGGAAACCGGTGGACCTGGAGAAAACCCACGAGGTTGGACAGGTGACCCTACTCCTTGTCACGTACAACCGGGGAATCAAAACCACACCAGTTGACTCAATGACAGGCCTTATGATAGCGCGCACGTGCTAACCATTCGGCCATCCAACCCCCCCTAGGCCAACAAAGAAAATGTGCCGATTACGAGGTTTGTGATTGAGTCAAGTGACAAGGATTAGGGTTGGGGTACACTTCAGATTACGAGGTTTGTGATTGAGTCAAGTGACAAGGATTAGGGTTGCTCCCCGAAACTCTTGGGTTTTCTTCTATCTGATTAAAACACAGATCCTATTTCATTTTGTTTTTTTATAGTTCAAAATTTAATTTTACTTGTCTTTCTCTACACTAGCATCCGGAAGAGTTGTTATATAATCAGCATTCTGGATGATGTGAGGGATTAGCCAATGAAAGAGTCTGTTACGGCAAACTTTTGGCGTGAGGTGCACGGAACTATGGGTAATCCACTAGAAACATCAATGCTGATTGGTTAATCAAATGTCTGACGTCATAGTGTTATCGTGTGTACGTTGGATCACAAGGCCTGTCTTTGAGTCAAGTGGCATGGTTTAGATTCCCTGCTTGTATGTGACAAGGAGTAAGGTCATGTGTCTACAGTCGTGGGTTTTCTCCCACTGAAAAAGACCCCTACACACTATTTGTTAGTCCCAAAATGACCTGGTTTGTGTCAAGTGGACGTTAAACCCCATCATGGATGTCATGGATGATATCTTGCCTAGTCACATATATATGGAATGGATTGTTAAGCTATTTTAGCCCTTGGCCAATAATAGAGCAGAATTGTTAAGCTCCTGAAAACCTGAAGCTTCTCCTTTAGATGAAATTCACCTTGGATGCTTCCTTGCAAAGACATTGTGTCATACCCCCAAAAAAGCCGGATCAAGCCTATTTTTGCGGCTTACTCTGGCAAGTTTCTTGGGGCTTGTTTATGATGCCACCCTGAAGTTTTTGTGAATAAGAGCCCTGGCAGTAGGTTTAAGATCCACTGACAGTAAGCCAGCCATACACAGGAGCTTTTTGAGTTTTTGGTCCCATTCGATTGACAAGGCATACATTCATTGTCAACCCTGAAGGTGTCACTCCTGATAAGTGCAATCCGGTTTTGTAAAAATATTCATGCACGCTGAATCATATGGTCTGTCATTGAATCAGCTGGCATGGTTTCGATTCCCGGATTGACGTGACAAGAAGTAGGGTTTTCTCCGGGTCCTCCAGTTTCCTCCCACTGCTAAAGCGAATTATTGAAATAAAATTGAAACATGTGTTAGTCCCGAAATGACCTAGTTTGTGTTAAGTGGACGTTAAACCCCATTACTCTCTCTCCCTTTAATATAGCACTTGAATTTAATTTATCATCCATGTTCATGTCGTCTGCAGAAACAAGAGACTGCGTTCAGAATGTATAATAAAATTCTGTTGTATATTTTATATCCCATTAAAACATCTATAATTGATTGATTCTGACAAGAGAATTATTTAAAAAAAAAGATTAAGCCGTTAGCGGTTATTAACACAGAATCTGCGTGTATTCCGTTAATATTGATTCTTACTCAGGTGTTAAGTAAATTAAACACAGTTTAAATGAGCCATTAGGTAGTAATAGAAATACATATGATATAACAACATAATTATCTCTAACAGATTATGTATATCTCTAGGATGATTTATAGTGTATGAAATACATGTGATGATAATCCTATGGTATAACACTAGCAGATTATATATATTTATGATTTATAGTGTATGAAATACATGTGATGATAATCATATGATATAACAACATTATTATCTTTATCATTTACAAGGACTTTTTTTATATGCCCACATTGAAATGTGGTTGTATATTGTTGTCGCCCCCGTCCGCCGGTCGGTCCGTCCGCCAACTCGGCGTCCCGAAGCTAGAGGCTAAAGTTAATATCCAATTGACTTTAAATTTATACACAGTGTTTAAGGTCATGACACGAAGAAGCCAATTGATTTTCAGCGATTTCCATAATTACTGCCAGAGTTATGGCCCTTGATCACATTGAAAAGTATTGTGGACGTTCTAGAGACTAAAGTTAATATCCGATTGACTTTAAATTTATACACAGTGTTTAAGGTCATGTGACGAAGACGTCTATTGATTTTCAACGATATCCGATAATTACTGCTTTAGATTGATAAACAGAGTTTAAGGTCTTGAGACGAACAAGTATATTGATTTTCAATGAATTTTGATATCTTGAACAGCTAAATCCATGATATTAAATGTTTCATATACTAAACGTTAGCATGAGGCAGAACTAAAAGCCAAACAAATTCTAATGATTTTCGAATATTTACTTGAACAGCTAATCCATGATATTAAATGTTTCGTATACTGAAAGTCAAACAATTACTAATGATTCTCTGATAATTACTTAATGAGTTGTTACTCTTAATCAGATTTTAGTGTATTATGAATTTTTCATTACCAACAATAGAAAAAATATGCGACAACTCCTGTTGAATGCTCAGACGACTTAGCTGGTGTATGTTTCGTTGCCTGGCAACCTATCTTTATATAGTTGTATTATATACTATTCAAAAAAAGTAGGGGATATTTGATTTTTAAGTGTTATTAAAGTCACCTAATGAAACTGACGAAGAAACAAATGACAAAATGAAATGAAGTTCACATTCATCGATTTATTCCAAATGATCGTTAGACTAAGTAAGGCACAGACTGACCATTATAAGGGTAAAATGATACCCGGGGTCAAACAGCAAAGTTACCACAGCATCACAACCAAGTCAGTAACGGGTAAATCCTCCTCTGTTTGCCAAACAAGCATTGATCCGACGTGGCATACTCCTAATGAGACGTCTAAGGTCATTTTGGTCCAGATTGTCCCATTCCTGTTGCAACGCAGCAGCAAGTTCTTGGACATTGGCAGGACGTTGTTGACGTTGACGTAACCTCTGTCCAAGCATGTCCCAGACATGCTCGATGGGGGAGAGGTCGGGACTCAGTGCTGGCCAAGGTAATGTGGTGATGTTCTGTTGTTGGAGGTAACCTGTAACGATCCTGGCCCTGTGACATCTTGCGTTGTCATCCTGGAAGATGAAACGGCGGCCATGACGTCGTGCGAACGGCACAACATGGACTGCCAAGATGTTGTCCCGGTAGTACTGGCCTGTAACACGCCCTGCAACAACATGTAAAGCCGTTCTTCCAGCAACAGTGATGCCTCCCCACACCATAACAGAACCACCCCCAAATCGATCATGTCTGATGACGTTAACGTCTTGGAAGCGCTCGTTTCGACGACGCCACACCCTCCTACGTCTGTCCAAAAAATCAACAGTGAACCTTGACTCATCTGAAAACATCACATTGCTCCAGCGTCGATTATCCCAGTGTTAACGATCCCTACACCAACGACGTCTTGCCTGAATGTGATGATCTCTCAAACAAGGGATCACGCGAGGACGTCGGGCGCGAAGGTGACCCCTATGCAGTCGATTCCGAATCGTCTGGCCACTCACTCTCACACCAGTGTCTGTTTGAAGACGAGCGCTGATCTGATTTGCTGTGATGACATGATTTCTCAAGGCCAAGGTACGGATAAATCGATCCTGGGCTTGAGTTGTCGCCCTTGGTCGACCTGAGCGTGATCTGTCCTGTACAGATTGTGTATCACGGTATCTGGACCATAGCCTGCTTATGACAGACTGAGAAACATTCATCGTCCGCGCCACAACCGCCTGTGTTGTGCCGATCTGTAGCATGCCAAGGGCACGTAACCTTTCATTTTGGGTAAGCCGACGCATATCAAAATTTGTTTTCTGGTCACTAAAACAATTAAACTGATGTTTCCACCCTGGAATTCAATGCCACAATGACTGTAACATTCAAAGTCAGAGTCGTGCAAATCTTGGGTTGGACCCCCATGATGATCCCAAGCATCACCTGCATTCCATGCGGTAGCTATTGGTGCGTTTGGACGTCACATATAACTGGAAATGTTTCTTCTGTTAGGTTCTATAGTGACTTTTTTCGTAGTCATTTGCATATTTTAGTATTATGCCCCCAAAATCAAATATCCCCTACTTTTTTGAATAGTATATAAACATGTTCAGGATGTTTTTATATAGTTGTATGATATAAACATGTTCTGGATGTTTTTATATAGACGTATGATATAAACATGTTCTGGATGTTTTTATATATACTGAGCGCCATGGAAAACGCATCACTTAGTTTTTGGTATAACAAAATGATCCTGTAAACATATCTTATTTATTTTGCTTTTTATTGTGAACAATTTTCAAATGGGAACACATCAATAACAACACATTTGTACACTTATGGATGTTTAATCTGTAATCAAGGGTACAAAGTCAGAGGGGTCAAAACCAAAAGTACGACACAGATGTCAGTAGCGCGTGTGTCCTCCACGGGCCATCATCACGGTAGGCTACAGCATTAACGCGACCCCTGCAAATGTGTAGGGCGGTCCGGTGATGAAATGTGAAGCCTCCCCACACCATTACACTTCCCCCAACGGCCATCAGCGTGATAAAGATGAAAGCGACTCTCATCACTGAAGAGCACACTTTGCCAGTCTACTCTTCTCCATGTCTGGTGTCCTTGAGCCCATATCAAACGCCGCTGACGGTGATGATCCCTGAGGATAGCTCCAACATAAGGTCGTCGTGCACGGAGTCCTACTACTCTTAGACGACGTCTTACGGTGTTGGCACTTACTGGTCCTTGTCTTTCGACGACTGCCGCACATGTTTGAGTCGCTGGGCGGAATCTGTCACGCAGATGAGTGACCCGGATGTAGCGGTCTTGAGTCTGGGTTGTAACGCGTTGTGGACCAGGACGTTGACGGTCACGTGTTGATCCAGTAACTCGAACACGTTCCACCAACCTTACAGTAGTGGACTGATGACAATTGAAGTGTCTGGCAATAGCACGTGTAGACATGCCAGCTCTGGACATTCCCATGGCTTCATTCCGTTGATTTTCAGTATGTCTCTGCATCTCTAGCTTGATTCCTTCACACGTCCAACAACAAATTACTACAGATTGACGTTTCACAGTTCATGTACTGCACATTAAGTTGAAAACATGCTTTTAAAGGGCTCACACACAATGCTGCACGTGAATATTGGGTTTTTCATGTGCATCTCGTGCAATTGTTTTTTGTGCAGACGGGCCGATATTTTTTGCGTTTGGGAGCATTGTGTGAAACAATAGTTTATAGTATTGCATAATATTATACATACAAAACCACCTAGTAATAAAATATTTGGGGGAAAGAAAGTGATGCGTTTTCCATGGCGCTCAGTATAGTTGTATTATTTAAACATGTTCTGGATGTTTTTATATAGTCGTATTATATAAACATGTTCTGGATGTTTTTATATAGTTGTATTATTTAAACATGTTCTGGATGTTTTTATATAGTCGTATTATATAAACATTTTCTGGATGTTTTTATATAGTCGTATTATATAAACATGTTCTGGATGTTTTTATATAATTGTGTGATATAAACACATGTTTTATTTATCTTTCGTTCTTGCTTAGAATTACGAAGCAGTGCAGGAGTTATCAACAGTGTTGTTTGAATGTGTAACGCAAGAAAAGCCTGAAGCAATTTGTTCTCATTTTATTCTCGAACAGGTAATTATTGAAATATATTTAGTTGTATTTATTGTACTTTTGTCATCCCTGATCTTTTTGGGGTGTGGGGGGGGGGGACCAATGGTTTAATGCATGCACGTCAGGTCACAAGGTCTGTCGTTGAGTCTACGTGACAAGGAGTAGGGTCGCCTGTCCAACCTCGTGGGTTTTCTCTGGGTCCTCCGGTTTCATCCCACTGCTAAAGACCCCTATGCGCAAGCGAATTATTGAAATAAAATTAAACCATATGTTAGTCCTGAAATGACCTAGTTTGTGTCGAGTGGACGTTAAACCCCATTTCTCTCTCTCACTCTGTCATTGAGTCAAGTGGCATGGTTATGACTCCAAAAGGTTGTCTGTCAAACCGCCAAGGTTTTCTCCAGTTTCCACCCACTGCTATGAATTTGAACCATCTGTTAGTCCCGAAATGGTCTAGTTTGTGTCGAGTATTATTTACCTCAGATTAACAAGATATTTTTAGCATTGTCACAGGTTTTGGACGAGGTATTGCAAAGATTAATATCTCTGTAAAAGATGACTGCTTTACCATGTGACATCATATCACGCGGTCTCAATCATTGGCTTAATGGTGGTTGCATTGTTTACGTAAGACTTGGTGCCTTTTACTCATTTCACATACCCATTTACACTAAATTGGAAATTTACCCACATAGACTTGAAACACCATTATTTATTTTTCTAATGCTTACAAAATTTGTTCTAGAATTTAATTTACCGAAGGAAAAAAGTTAATATTTGGGGCTCATTAAGTCGCATCGATTTCATCTCTATCAGTGACTGTAGCGGACTAGCAAATATTCACTGCTGATCAGTGTGGTAAATCAACTGAAATGATGACAGACCTACTGATAATACATCATTTAAAAAAGTTGAAATAGCCTCAAACAAATAATAGAATAGTTATTTTTTCAAGGCTCTTTGAACTGTAGGGGTTTTCTTCTACTTGTTTGAACTGTGGCTATTTTGTCTATTTGTTTAATGAAAGTCAATTTAAAGTGATAATTTAAAACTGATTGATTTGGATCCTGAATTGTAATGTGCCTAGAGTAAAAGTCGTCCAGTAAGACGAAATCTGCTTTATTCTAGAAAGATAATCACTGTTTGATCTGATGTTTGATCTGAGAGAAAGAGAGAGAGAGAGAGATTAACCTCCACTTGACACAAACTAGCTCATTTCGGGACTAACACATGGTTTAATTTTATTTCAATAATTCGCTTGCGAGTATGGGTCTTTAGCAGTGGGAGGAAACCGGAGGACCCAGAGAAAACCCACGAGGTTGAACAGGCGACCCTACTTCTTGTCACGTACAACCGGGGATTCGAAACCACTGCAGTTGACTCAATGACAGGCCTTATGATACAGTGCGCACATGCTAACCATTCGGCCATCCCACTGCTAAAAAAAAACCTATGCGCAAGTGAATTATTAAAATAAAATCCAACCCTGTGTGAGTCCCAAAATGACCTAGTTTATGTCGAACGTTAAGCCCCATTTCTCCCTCTCTCTCACTTGCTTGATAATGATTAGAGAAGCCTAGTTGAAACGTCGCTCAGTAATAATCAGTAATTGCATTTCATAGAATTGTTACCTGTATATTCCTGTTCTATTACTAAATGCCATTGAAACAAAAGTTGCATTATGTAAGAACTGAATCTGCTTCTTGCGGGTCTTTTTTTACGGCTTCAAAGGTTATATATATTATTTTTTGATATTTATTTATTCTTGCGACAAGTTCATAAGTGGATATTAAGTGGATTAGCAGATCTGTGCCTTAGAATCGGTTAATAGAAAATTGAGACTTTATTTATTATCATAGTAATGACAAATGAAATGGGGTTTAACGTCCTACTGTTCTGCTCCTATGCTGGGCTAATGAAGATGGGCATACACCATACAGTGTGCTATGAGGGAAAATTTGCCCGGGCAGCGGCACTATCACCTACTCTTATATCGAATTCCAACTGCCAAGGGATCTTTTACGTTTTTCCGTATCATCTGAAGGACTAGACAGCTGTCCTTGTCAGGCCCTCCGTCCTGCATCCCTGACAAGGGGGAACCACGCCGGAAAATCTGAATGTACTTTCTCGGCCAATGCAGGGATCGAACATCCGACCTCCAGGCTAACTAGCCAGCGTCTTAACCACTTAGCCACGTGATCCCCCATAGGAATGACAAGTACACTATTCTTGTCAAATCTTCATTCATAACTTCACTTAAAATAAAGTAATTTGACTGAAATTTCGTTCTATATTTTTAAACTAATTATAGCGAGAACGGCCAGCTCTTTATCTAAATCTTATAAAATTAACAATCCATCTTAAAGAAATGTTTTGAATGAGAAATGCCATTATCCAGGCACACTTTCTCTCCCATAACAATACATGGCACGTGTTCGTCATCGTGATTCCTGTTGGTGCAGCAGCCAGCAGGACGTTAACCCCTCGTTTAATTTCATTACCAGAAGAGTTGGACGTTCATCCCCAGGTAATTTCACTCCGTCAACAGTCTTATTATACCAATGTATGTTCAGTTTTATCTTACGGTCAATTTTCTTGGTCTATGTATGTTTCACTAATCAACAGATACCGAAAATTCTGCAAGATCTTTTGAAAATCTTTGATTGGCAGTGTGAACAAGCTCAGGAGATATTATTTTGCTGTCGTCACAGGTCTAGTTGTGTAGTTTGCAAAAATTTAATGACTGCTCGTAACTATGGCTCAAATATTAAATACATGCACACGCAGGAAATAATTCTCTTGTAATACAATTACAGTGCATTACCAAGCGACGTTTCGACTAGGCTTCTGTATTTTTTTAATAATAAGCCGTAATAGTTTCCAGTGCAATTCCTGTGTGTCGATTCAACTTTATATCAACTTGTACCATTTTTAAATGAAGTTTTCCTGGAGGTCGGGTGTTCGATCCCTGCATTGGCCGAGAAAGTACATCCAGATTTTCCAGCGTGATTCCCCCTTGTCAGTGATGCTGGACGGAGGGCCCAACAAGGACAGCTGTCTAGTCCTTCGGATCGGACGAGAAACCAAGGTCCCGTGTACACATTGGAGTGCACGTAAAAGATCCCATGACAGTTGGAAGTCGATATAAGAGTAGGCCATAGTGCCGCTGTCCAGGCAAAATTTCCCTCATAGTACATTGTATGGTGTATGCCCATCTTCATTAGCCCAGTTCGGATCAGAACAGTAGGACGTTAAACTGCATTTCATTTTGAAATGAAGTTCAGGAATCTGTCTAAAAGAATAATATAAACTACTTTAAAGATGCCGGTCCAACCTCGTGGGTTTTCTCCAAGTCCTCCGGTTTCCTCCCACTGCTAAAGACCCCTACGTGCAAGCAAATTATTGAAATAAAATTTGACCATATATTAATCCCGAAATGACCTAGTTTGTGGACGTTAAACCTCATCTTTCTCTCTCTCTCTCTCTCTCTTTCTCTTAAAGTTGCCTGTGTAATTTAATGATATATTTCGATATACGTGTAGAACAACACATAAGCGCTCATTTCGTCACTCAAGGTGACAGTCTGTCTTTTAGCGATACCCTTGGATATTTGTCTTGTAGGCGCCCCATGGGAGTTTTTCCATTAATCTATTATTTTGTTATTAGAAATGACAACCCAATAACTGCAATTTACTGACACTCTTATATTTTTCTAGTAAGATCCAGGGCTGTCGGTAATTTTTCTTAATTGATTAGCAGCACTGCTAATCAAAAAGTCCAATTTTACCAAATTTGATTAGCAAATTTAAAAATTGATTAGCAGTTTTTCAGATTCAACATAAAACACCTAAATAACAAGATATTACTTTAATTCATAACAAATCATTAGATTTCATTCTTCTCTTTTTTTTTTAGCACTGCCACATGTAGTTGTGACAGTTTGTGAATATGATGTAGACTTTTGGTCAGGTCTTATGTCTGAAGCCAATTCTTGGCAATGGCCTCCAAAGCCCCATTCATTTTAAATTTTATTTCTTCGTTACGTTAGAAATCTTGGTTATAAAACAATTTCGTCTGCTTTTTATAGTGTATTACTATTTTTGTTCAATCGGACACACCTCAATTAACTAGACACACATGATATAAACAATAATATTTTACGTGAATTCTTACTCTGATTTATCATTTTACAATACGTTAACATGTATTTATTTTATTTACAATACGTGCGGGATACACTGGATTTATTTCTTTAAAAGTGAATACTGATGTAATTACTTGAAATTGACATGTCTCTCAACGTAAGTGGTACTACTTGATTCCCAATTTCCAGTTTAATAGTCCCTATTCATAGAGTTATGTCCCTGTATTATATAGTATAATAAATTGTGTCGAGAAGAAAATTTCACACAGAGAATTCAGTTTTGTTCATAAAAATTTATTTAACATTTTATATACGTTGAAAGTGTTGTGAAAGCCTTCTAGTCTTCAAAATTTGGATAATCTTTGTGTCAATATCCAAAATGACAGGCATATTAATGATTCGCAGTAAGATTTTAATTTTTGATTAGCAACGGACAAAATATGTATCGCAAATTGTCAGCAGCCCTGGTAAGATAAGTTATTTCTGCTTTCCACATATGTCAAATACACCATATCTAACCTATAAATATTTTTGTGGGAATGCATCTTTAACACATATTTGCTAGATGTCTGATAAAATCGAGATTGATTTATTAAAATTTATATATCTATTATAGATACAATCTTCAGGAAAATACTTTGATATATTCAATCAATGGCTTATTGTATTTATACGCAGGAATTAGTTTCATTCTCATTACAATATGTTTACGAGTAGATTGTTGATAACCTCATCAAGGTCATGGTCAACACTAACGTCAGGCCATATAAACAAAATATTCTGGTTCTCAAACAGTGCGTTATAAAAAGGGGGCATTGGATGGCCGAATAATAAAGTAATCAAACTTTAATAAAAGGGAGCAATTAGAAATGAAATGAAATTAAATGGAGTTTAATGTCCTACTGTTCTGCTGTGAACTGGGCATACGCCATGCAGTGTGCTTTGAGGGAAATATTGCCCAGACAGCGGCACTACGGCCTACTCTTATATCGAATTCCAACTGTCAAGGAATCTTTTACTGCACGCTAATGTGTTATTCTTCCTCTCTCTCTCTCTCTCATTCTCTCTTCTCTCTCCGCCTACCACACAACTTCTTGTGGTCCTTTTAGATAGATTGGATCATTTATGGATCATGGGGATCATGTGGGTAAGGCGCTGGCTCGCTAGCCTGGAGGTCGGGTGTTCGATCCCTGCATTGGCCGAGAAAGTTCATCTCGATTTTCCGGCGTGGTTTCCCCTTGTCAGTGATGCAGAACGGAGGGCCTGACAAGGACAGCTGCCTAGTCGTTCGGATGGGACGAAAAACCGAGGTCCCGTGTACACATTGGCGTGCACGTAAAAGATCCCTTGGCAGTTGGAATTCGATATAAGAGTAGGCCGTAGCGCCGCTGCCCGGGCAAAATTTCCCTCATAGCACACTGTATGGTGTATGCCCGTCGTCAATTAGCCCAGGTTAGGTGCAGAAGAGTAGGACGTTAAACCCCATTTCATTTCATTTCATTTATGGATCATATTTCCTCATTTTCCCAGTGATAAAGTTTCTCTCGTTCTCTCTCTCTTTCTCATCTCTACAGACCGATGCAGAGAATTGTTATTGTAATAATGTGAATGAATCTCCTCCTCCCAGCACCTTGGAGTATAATTTCAGTTACATCTTTCTCCCTCATTATCAGATGTAGATCGCAGGATAATTGTCAGCCATGAAAGAATGGACTTAGATTAAAGATTAAGCAGTCAAATCGATGGTCTCCATTTCCTGCTAATGTTAATTAAGTTAATTTACGATTGTCCAGTGCCATTGATTGTCAGTATAAGTGATCAAAGTTGGGTACATGGACTTGATAAATAAGTCAACTGGACACTTCTAAATTAGACCGAAAAAAACATCTAATAGAGTTATCTTCCTAAAATAAAAATGGGGGCATGGCCAATATCTGAGAACCAGAGGAGTGGTGAAAGGGGGTGGATGTCTGAATTGTTAGCGTGTGCGCATTGTATCATAAGGTCTGTCATTGAGTCAACTGGCTTGGTTTCATTTTCCTGGTTGTATTTTATAAGGAGTAGGGTCGCCTGTCCAACCTTGTATAGGTTTTCTCCAGGTCCCCCGGTTTCCTCCCACTGCTAAAGACCCATACGCGCAAGCAAATTATTGAAATAAAATTGAACCATATGTTAGTCCCGAAATGACCTAGTTTGTGTCAATACTATCATGGATGTTAAACCCCATTTCTTTCTCTCTCCCTCTGAGAACCAGAAAAATTTTATTATTTGGTCTGTATCAAAATATACAAAAAATGTTCACATTAAAAATAAATATGCTGTAGCATGGTGGTGAAGCATAGAGCTATCCTAAAGCCCTGTTTAGGTGCCCTTGCAGTCTGATGCGATTGTGTGCCAGCTGCATACAAACACCCATTTACAAATGAAGAGCCCTGGGGAAGAACGATCTAAGTCACTTTTTCAATGAACCCCAGTTAATGGCGCCATCTGGTAGCAAATTGTATAGGCTTTCTGTGGAACAATCAATTTTAGGTAAAAACGATTGGAGTCACATTGAACCAAGGCTCTTCTGAAATGGCCTCCCGGACAAATACGTCCATCGTACCCTTTATTTGACCTTAATTTGGTTGAAAAGTTGAAGTCAGTTGTACTGGTAATTATAATTCGTATTAAACATCATTTTGAAGTTGTAATAAACCTACTCGTTGTTCTGAAATGAAATGGGGTTTAACGTCCTACTCTTCTGCTCCTATACAGTGTGCTATGAGGGAAATTTTGCCCGGGCAGCGGCACTATCGCCTACTCTTATAGCGAATTCCAACTGCCAAGGGATCTTTTACGTGCATTCCAATGTATACACGGGACCTCGGTTCTGTTCGTGTCAAGCAAAGACAAAAATCTGACTTAGATCGTTCTTCCCCTGGACTCTTCAAATGGATTCTATCAGAATATACAACAAATGTTGCAGAAGCAAAAAACTATTGTATTAATATACTCAAAATGTTATTATTTCACGTCTGGTGGCATTAAAAATAAACATGCTCTGGCATGGTGGAGGGAGAGAGAGAAATGGGGTTTAACGTCCATTCGACACAAACTAGGCCATTTCGGGACTAACATATGGTTCAGTTTTATTTCAATAATTCGCTTGCGCGTAGGGGTCTTTAGCAGTGGGAGGAAACCAGAGGACCCGGAGAAAACCAACAAGGTTGGAAGGCATGGTGGTGAGCACAAAACTCAAAATACATAATAATAAATTTTCAATTTAATTTTTCAGTTAATTCACAGGTGTCACAACAGTTCCCATACAACAGGTGTAAGCCAGTTAAAACTGGTTCTAGCCTATTATACCAGTCGACTCCGGATTTCCAGAATGAACCCTGATACACCAGAATCTCTGTTAGAAATGGAGTTTTTACTTTGTCTAAAGGCCCATCTAGAAGACATTCTTGACGCGTGGCAAAAAGGTAAATTAGCCTAAGATGGCATTAGTTCATTTTAAACAATATTAATTATGATTGGATAAAGAAAATTCTACTTGTCAGTCTCCCCTGTTATATTGAGTCACGGTGGCTAGGTAGGTAAGACGCTGGCCCGCTAGTCTGGAGATCGGGTGTTTGATCCCTGCATTGGCCGAGAAGGTTCATCCAGATTTTCCAACATGGCTTCCCCTTGTCAGTTGTGCAGGACAGAGGGCCTGACAAGGATAGCTGTCTAGTCGTTTGGATGGTACGAAAAACCTAGGTCCCGTGTATACATCAACATGCTCGTTAAAGATCCCTTGACAGTTGGAATTCGATATAAGAGTAGGCCATAGTGCCGGTGCCCGGGCAAAATGTCCCTCATAGCACACTGTATGGCGTATGTCCGTCTGCATTAGCCCAGTTCGGAGCAGAACAGTAGGACGTTAAACCCCATTTCATTTCATCTAGTCGTTCGGATGGGATAAAAAAATTGAGGTCCCGTGTATATATCGGCATGTACGTTAAAGATCCCTTGGCAGTTGGAATTCGATATAATTCGGGTCCTACAGTTTCATCGCACTGCTAAAGAACCCTACGCGCAAGCGATTTAATGAAATAAAATTGAACCATGTGTTAGTCCCAAAATGACCTAACTTGTGTCGAGTGGCCTTTAAACCCCATCCATCAGTATTTATGGAACTGTAGGCAATCTCTCTCTCTCTCTCTCTTTCTCTCTCTTTCTCTCTCTCTTAAGTGACAGTGCTGAATCAATATTTATGGAACTGCAGGCAATCTCTCTCTCTCTCTCTCTCTCTCTCTCTCTCTTTCTCTCTCTCTCAAGTGACAGTGCTGAATCAATATTTATGGAACTGCAGGCAATCTGCTCAAATCTTGCTATGCCATTGTTAAGTAATACTAATTGAAATATAAGTCAAGGAGTCAGTGAAGAGTTCAATCACGTTCTGTATTATTTCGCTATCTTCCTGTTTACGTAAAGCACAATTAGAGTGCAAGAACCTTCTAATAATCACCAGTGCAAATATCATTATACTTTAACTCTTTTGTACAAGAGAGACATACAACTTGATTAACTGTATACTAGACACAAACTTCTTCATTTAAAGGAGCTAAATCACTAATATTTGGGACCTAGGAATGGGTAGCAACGCATACAATAATGTAATATGAATGTATATGAACTGATTTATATTCAATCGTTTCTATTTTTACTGTAATTTCAAATCAGTTTTGTTCGGCGAAATAAGCCAAATAGTATTTATTGCGCATGCTCTCCAAATAAGAATATGACGTCACCGTTTGACATGACTTGTGGAATATGTCTAGCCTCGTTCTTCGAGTCCCTTGTTACAAATGGCGCTGAAACGCATTAAGGTACATGATTCGTATACCAATGTTAAAATGTTTATTTTGTCTTAAATATTGGATATCAGAAGCCCATCTTTTCCAGGGAAGATCACAACATCAATGTTGATTTAAATTGACAAATAATTTGTGTTTTCAATGTTAAGACTTTGGATGATATTGAGTTAGAGACTTAGCTACTTTAAGTACCAAATAATGTTTTTTAGCAGGGGGAGGAAACGAAAAGACCCAAGTTTTTTGTATAAGAGAGAGAGAGAGAGAGAGAGAGAGAGAGAGTAATGGGGTTTAACGTCCACTCGACACAAACTAGGTCATTTCGGGACTAACATATGGTTTAATTTTATTTACATAATTCGCTTGCGCGTAGGGGTCTTTAGCAGTGGGAGGAAACCGGAGGACCCGGAGAAAACCCACGAGGTTGGACAGGCGACCCTACTCCTTGCCATGTACAACCGGGGATTTTCGAAACCACGCCAGTCGACTCAATGACAGACTTTATGATACAGCGCGCGCACGCTAACCATTCAGCCATCCAACCCCCCAGAGAGAGAGAGAGATAGAAATTAATTTAAACATACATTTATGCAAGAGCTAAATCTGCCTAGGTGTATTGAAGGACTTTAGGCCTGAAATAATACATAAATTACTAATTAGACATTTATTAACTTATCCAGACCATAATCAACTGTCGATGCCATCGCTAGCCTGCGATATTTAGCGGATTGGAATACATTTTGTGATGGATAATTTAATGTAAAAATAGATAAACGAAACGTTTTTATCGTGCCAACTTTAGTAAAGATGATGGCAGCTAGCCTAAAATTCAGAGTCTAACATCTCGGTTGAGAGTGTAGCAATTTGTCTGAAATTATCAGCATATTCTCTTTACATTATCTATTTTTTAACTATTATTGCAAAAACATCAGCTCTTTATCTAATCTCCTATAATGCTCGGGGGGTTGGATGGCTGAATGGTTAGCGTGCGCGCGCTGTATCATAAAGCCTGTTATTGAGTCGACTGGCGTGGTTTCGAATCCCCGGTTGTACGTGACAAGGAGTAGGGTCACCTGTCCAACCTCGTGGGTTTTCTCTGGGTCCTCCGGTTTCCTCCCACTGCTAAAGACCCCTACGCGCAAGCGAATTATGTAAATAAAATTAAACCATATGTTAGTCCCGAAATGACCTAGTTTGTGTCGAGTGAGAGTGGACGTTAAACCCCTCTCTTTTTCTCTCTCTCTCTCTCTCTCTCTCTCTCTCTCTCTCCTATAATGTTCCTTTAATGTATGCTCGACATAAACCAGGTGATTTCGGTATTGAATCATTCTCTAGAGTTTTTAGAAGTGGGAGGAAAACCAAAAATGACCTAGTTTGTGTTGAGTTCATCGTAAACCCCATTTATATATTTCGCTGGTCCCTTGGGTGGCTCCTCCCACTGCTAAAGACCCCTACGTGCAAGCGAATTATGAAAATAAAATTGAACCATGTGTTAGTCCTAGTATGTGTCGAGTAGACGTTTAACCCTATTTCTATATTTCTCTGGTCCCTTGGGTGGCCGACTGGTTACCGCGTGCGCGTTGGATCAGGTCTATCATTGAGTCAAGTTGCATGGATTCAATTCCCCACTTGTACGTGGCAAGGTGTCGCTTAGCCTGTCCAGCCTTGTGGGTTTTCTCCAGGTCCTCCAGTTTCCTCCCACTGCTAAAGACCCCTACATGCAAGTGAATTATTGATATAAAATTGAACCTGATAGGTTTGTCCCGAAATGAACTTTAAACCCCATCTCTCTCTCTCTCTCGAGTGGACGTTAAATTATTGAAATAAAATTGAACAATGTTAGTCCTGAAATGACCTAGTTTGTGTCATGTGGACCTTAAACCCTCTCTCTCTCTCTCTTTCTCTCTCTCCTAAATGACCTAATTTGAGTCACATTGTTTACACATTACTGGGGTATTAAATTATTATTATCACTGGCCATTGATCTCATCCCTAGTTCTAATTCTGAAATTATAAGGCAAGAAGACCTTTAACAACCATACTATTTTAGCATATAACTGAAACAAAATAAACATGCTTTGATATTTTTTTCTTTATAAGGAAGCTTTTGTCACATCTGTTGCTATTGCGATAAGACAAACAACATTTTTAATTCTTCTTCTTCACATTTTTATGAATTAAATCCAGTTTTTGTCATGTCGCCTCCCACTTGAGGTTGACTGATCAAATATGGATTGTTACGGCATGAATTTATTTTTAAATCTCGGGATGATGTTATTGTTTTATAAAGTATTATGAAGACGTGATCTGTTGTTTAGTAGAAAAATTGAGACTCGATCTGTCATTTAGTAGAAAAATTGATTTGTTCGAAGTCACGTAATCGTATTGGTGATTTCCGGTTATTGCACCTCTGTTTGCAGTTAAAGTGGGTTTGATACACTTGTAGTTCTTGAATCTGTTTTTATTTTCAAGGGCTGTTCTTTAGATTGGATTGGTTTCTGTTCCCCACAACTGACGGGGTTTCGATTCCTCGGTTGTACGTGACAAAGTATAGGGTTGCCAGTTCAACCTCACTGGTTTTCTCCTTCAGCTTAAGACCTCTACGTTCAAGCATAGAACTAGAATACTAACGGGAACGCCCACCGTGTGACGTCACTACCTTATGTGACGGCGGGCCTCTGACGCTGATATCGGGCACAGCTTACTTCCGGTTTCTGCTCGCACTAACAAAATGCCTGGCGCGAATTGTGTTTTGTTCGGATGTTCCGCCTGCAATAAAAGAAATCGGGGTTGATCATTCTATCGCTTACCCAAAAACAACATAGAGTGGAGAGAGAATCATTACGTATCATACAGTCTACCAGATCAGACCCGATAAATGACAAGACCTTGACAATATGTTCAAGACACGTTGAGCCGGATTATTTCGTTGAAAAAGTAAGTGAAAACTCAAATCAAAAGAAATTAATTATGTAGATTCTAGTTGGCAGTCCACCCTGACAACCTACAATGAAGTTAAGTTAAACCCATACTAGCTGAATGTCTGTATTTTCATGTTTGCCCGTTAGATTTTACCCTTTCTCTCATCAAAGTTGTATGCATATAGGTTTGTTTACATTAGTGCCGTAGCTAGGCCTAGTCTACTTGCAATTTGTTATGAAATTGACGAATACTTCACCCGATGAGTGTGTGACAGCATGACGATTCTCTCTCAACAATCTTCTTTTACTTTAATTTTATGAATTACTAATTATTATTTTTTTTTAAAGGTCAAAGTTTTAACTGAGCAGCTCCATAAAAATTAAAATTGTATATTTATTTATGACTGACCTTGACCTGTCAAATCCTTTTACTTTTAAATTCCGAAATAATCTTGTTCCCGGTATGAATAATCAACAAGCATGGAAAAAAAATTAATTATATCTGAACCTTTTGTTTTGTATGTAGGAACCTTTTTATTTTGATTTTATGAATATTTCAGATGTTTACAAAAATTCTGGGTCCACATATCGAAGATTAAAAGAAGGGTTAGGGAGACTATCAACCTTAATTCTTCTACAGAAAAGCGTAACAACAAAGAAATTGAATCCAAGGAAGTCACCGGTAACTTAAATTTCTGTTAACTTAATTATGAATATGAACATTCGATGTTTCCTTATAAAAGATCAGTATATGAACATTTAATTCATCAATATTAAACAGACATTATGCAAGAGCTAAATCTGTCAATTGCAGGTCTTTCTTTAGGCCTGGAATGTTATCTAAATTATTAATTAGACATTAATTAACTTATCCAGACCATAATCAACGCTCGATGGCATCGCTAGCCTGTGATATATACTGAATTAGAGCCCAGTCTGCTACTTCTGATTAAATCAAAAAATCAATAATCGAGACCATGGTTTTTTTTTATCGTACCGACTATAGTAATGCTGATCGAGGCTAGGCCCAAAATTTAATCATTAAATACTTGGTTCAGGGTGGATGAATTTGACTGAAATTTTCAGCAAATTCCCTTTACATTATCTATTTTTTAACTATTATAATGAGAACTGCTAGCTCTTTCTGTAATCTCCCATAATTTTATTTATAAATACTTGTATGAATATCCGATTCTTCTTTATATTTACTTTTGTAATTTTTTCGATTTTATTCAGAAACCGAGAAAATTATGAATACATGTATCAGAATCCAATTCTTCTTGTTTTAATTGAATTTTATGAATTTGTCTATTTTATTCAGAGTCCAAGGAAAACCGAGGAAACTCAATGTTTACATATGAACGAAGTAACCTTTCAGATGTTGCAGAAATCATTTTTATGTCAAATGTCTGCTTTGTGGCTATGTCAGTCTTCAAGTGATTATATCTATCTGTTTAAAACTGAAGATAAAAGTGTAACATACCATTTAACCATTGACAAGGACTTGAATTGTGAAGTACAATATAATAATTTTTGTTTCCTGTTCAAATTAAAGTTACATCTATAGATTTACTTATAAGAACTGTTGAGAATATGAAGATATGTGGGGGCATAACATCAAAACATTTACAGTCTTATTCTCAATGTCAGCCTACAACTGTAAGATATATCAGACAGGTTGATATTTTCATGAACACAAATAAGTCAACATAGAAATTACGAAAGCTGTGTACTTGGTTCTGTATGTAATAGTTTTGTTGAGGACACTCAAAAAGAAATTTGTTTAAGTTGTCGACAGATTAACAGAGATTTACAGAGAAAGTAAATAGTAATAATAATAGTTTATTTCACATATATGGCTACATAGCACATTGCATATTCAGATTTTGATTGACAATATATAATTCAAAGAATCAATATTTACATACTTGTAAATGTAATTTACAATTCAAAAATAGCTTAGCAATAATATATAGTTGCCATATAAACGAGCAAACAGTGATAGAATATAATCATGTGGTATGAATTTGATTAAAATGTAGATTTTACTCCATTTTGATTTATTTCTTCCAACTGACTCGACTCCACATAGATTTGAGGTCAAATGAGAAGTTATAGAGTTAAACTGTGATCAGTGATGTCAGGTATTTTATTTACAGCACTTTGCTGCAAGCATTTCACACAATGAAAGTAACAAAAACACAGATTATACAGATAATTTCACACAACAAAATAGAAAGTGTATAATTAAACTAAACATTTCCTGGCTCTATTGGAATTAATATCAATATTGGAAGTATAAAAATATAAATGTGATTGAATCTAGGATTAAATCTAGAACTTAATCAGCAGTGTTCTACAGATTTTTTATTTCTTGTTATTACTGTATTGTAGTTAATAAGTAATGAAAAGAAAACAAGGCCCCAAGTTCACAAAGCATTCTCAGTCTTAAGTTAAGGTTTTACTCAAAATTGTTTGTCTTATTTTAACTCAAATATAGCACTTTACTAACTATTGTTGTTTTAATGTAAATATATCAATAAGAAACTGTGCAAAGTTTTGTGTTTCTGGATCAAAGATATTTCTCAAAAACAGTGATTGAAGGTTGAGCAAATTCTTAAGTCTGGGAATGCTTTGTGAACTTGGGGCCAGGTTGATAATAGTAAACAAAATATATCGAGACGCAATGAAATAGCACCTCTGAGATGACGTGGCATAACTTTGCACCTTCCACAAAACCTAGCTTTTTAAAAGCTGCATCATATACCCCACGTGTGTACCAGAAAAATCAACATACTGATTCTGTTGGGTTTAATTTTTTTGATTGAGAATTGTTCGGGGTGCGTTTACGCAATCTTCAAAACATTCTCACATGTTATCATCGTAATATGATGTTGTTACATCCTTAATTGCAAGATTAAAGCAAATCTTTAAAACAAAATTGAGCTGAAAAGTACTAAGTAGGGCGTTAAACCTGGATTCATTTCAAACAAGATTTACATTCATCCATTTATAAAAGTGATGTATTTTTTTTATTGCATCTCAGTATAAAATATTAACAATGATAACAAAATTTATATAAATTTTATACAGGTGCACAACTTGTAATGTGTGAGCTTTATAAATGTATTAAATTATTCTTAAATATACATTATGTAAGATTTTGATAAAGAGCTAGCCATTCTTGCTATAATAGTTCGAAGATAAAAAATGTAAAATGACTAATTTGAAAATTTCATTCAAATTACTCTATTGCGAGCGAAGATATTAGCCTTTGAAGGCTATTTTAGAATATTTCAATTAATTGATGATACAAATTTCATCTTAACACACCTTATATAAACAATTCAACATAATGCTTTGAAACGTCTAACGTAAACCTTTTCAAATGAAACTTCGATTTAAAAATATTTTCGAACCCTCTGGACAAGTAAAATAGGATGTAATGGATAATTTACACAACAGGTGGGACACTTAAACATCTAGTACTTAGATAGAGATATTATTTATTTTCTGGAGCTTTCAAGCCAGCAAGAGTGTTATTGTCCCTTTAAAGTAAATATTATACAAAATAAAAGAAACTGTTCCAAAGCAATTTGGGATCACGTGGCTAAGTGGGTAAGACGCTGGCTCGCTAGCCTGGAGGTCGGGTGTTCGATCCCTGCATTGGCCGAGATTTTCCGGCGTGGTTCCCCCTTTTCAGTGATGCAGTACGGAGGGCCTGACAAGGACAGCTGTCTTATCCTTCGGATGATACGAAAACCCGAGGTCACCTGTATACATTGGAATGCACGTAAAAGATCCCGTGGCAGTTGGAATTCGATATAAGAATAGGTGATAGAGCCGCTGCCCGGGCAAAATTTCCCTTAAATCACACCTTATGGCGTATGCCCGTCTTCATTAGCCCAGCATAGGAGCAGAACAGTAGGACGTTAAACCCCATTTCATTTCATTTCCAAAGCAATTTGATCGTTTGAGAAGAAAAAAAATATATAGACATGGTCGAGACTATAATGAGTTTCATAACTTGCCCATTTGCTACGAACACTATGTGACTATATGCATGTATGTTGTATATGTAGAAAACTTACGGATGCTACTGGAACGACAGGTTGAGATGTCTCAAACAAATCTTTAGCAAAGAAAAGCTGTAGTAAAGAATACACATTTTTTTTTTATAAACAATATTTTTATTCAAGATGTCTGAATGGGATTGGGGAACAGGCTTAGCCTATGTAAAACCCCTTGTTATAAACAAGAAAAGGGCACTGGGAAACCAGCCAAAACTGGCACGGACATGCCAAAGGCTAACAACAATATACACAAAACAATAAATAAAAAAAATAAAATGTGAATGTCATCATAATTTATTAATAATAATTTTATAATATGTAGTAGAAAATGATACACAAACGTGTGTTCGGATAATTTAATGTCCGAAAATAAATGGTTTATACTCCCGATGGTATGTTATATAACTAATTTAAAAAAAACTCATTAAAATTATGAATAACTTACATCTATTACACCGTCAAGTTCTTGAAATTCCAGGACGTCGTACGCTTCTGCCATGTTGACATACGGCCGGAAGTTACTTGTGCCTTATTGACTTCGCGCATGCGATGTACAACATAATTATGTCATCACCGTTATACGTCACCGAGTGGGCGTTCCCGTTAGTGTTCTAGTTCTATGGTTCAAGCGAATTATAAAAATAAAACTGAAGCATATGTTAGTCCTGAAATGACCTAGTTTGTGTCAATGGATCAATCTCTCTCTCCCTCTCTCTCTCTCTCTCTCTCTGTTGGGTGATAAGCATTTTTGACTTAGTGAGTTTTTTTGTCTGGTCAAAACTTAGGAACACATAACTCTGCTTCTAATTGATGCAGATTGTTTGAACTTGTCTAGATGCTCGGTAGACAACTCTTATTGTTGTTATGATATTTTTTAAATGTTATATTTATCGGTAATATGGTGAATTCATAATTGTTAATCCATAGTGAAAATATATTTGAATTGTTTATGTTTATAGATAATTTATATTTGAATTGTTTATATTTATAGATGATTTATATTTGAATTATTTATAGATGATTTATATTTGAATTGTTTATATTTATAGATGATTTATATTTGGATTGTTAATATTTATAGAAAATATATTTGAATTGTTTATATTTATAGATAATAATGTATTTGAATTGTTTAGATTTATAGATAATATGGTGAATATGTATTTGAATTGTTTAGATTTATAGATAATATGGTGAATATATATTTGAATTGTTTATATTTATAGATAATATGTTGACTATATATTTGAATTGTTTATATTTATAGGAAATATGGAACTAATAGTAAACTATATACAGGGTAATATTATAAAAGGTGAAGATATTGGTAACCTCTCGTCATTTTTAACCTGGTTTGATTTTCCTACACCGAGTCAGTTTAAATCTTTATCCTGGAAAAGTAAGCTTAAATGATTCTTATTTTGCACACGGAGAACTATCGCCTTCGAGGCTAGATCTCTGTCCTGAATAACCACCATATCCCCAAATTAGTATACTATTTTGTAATGCGGTTCTATTCCTTTTCACATCTGTCATACACTCACAGACTATTTATTCATTGTCATTGAGTCAACTGGCGTGGTTTTGATTCCCTGGTTGTACATGACAAGGAGTAGGGTCGCCTGTCCAACCTTGTGGGTTTTTCCTTCCAGGGCCTCTGGTTTCTTCCAAGAGGATCGCCTGTCCAATCTCGTGGGTTTTCTCTGGGTCCTCTGGTTTCTTCGCACTGCTGAAGACCTGTACGCGCAAGCGAATTATTGAAATAAATTGAACCATATGTTAGTCCCAAAAGTTTGTGTGTGTGTCTCTCTATCTCTATTCATTGTCAATTTTATTAAATGGCAGTGGAATAAATACTTTGATTAAAGTTGCAATTGCAAATTTTCAAGTTATATTTTTAAAACGTATTAAAATAAAGCCTTAAAATAGATGGTATCCATAAACAGTCCTACCTTGTTAAAGAATAATCCTATTAATCCTATAATTCGCTATTATTGCCAGCTGAGAAATTGGCAAAAATATCATTTTTAACTTCAAATTCCAACGTTCGAAAATGGCTGCCCCATGTTGTCAATAGCAAAACAGGGGAGGTAATTGTGTTATTATTTCCTGTGTCATAGATTTTTAAGGGTGGGAAATAATGCCCATGATTGTATAATAGTGATTTGATAACCTATTGAGCAAAAGACATAGAAATAATTATGTTTTGACTTTTCAAAATTCCCAGAGAACTAGGTTAAGTTAAGTTTAGTATTACCGAAATTGAATTAAAAAAGAAAAAAAAAACCTGGGATTTCTCCTTTAAAAGAGCTGTGTTCGATCCCTGTATTGGCTGAGAAAGTTCATCAGGATTTTCCGGCATGGTTTCCCCCTTGTCAGTGATGCAGGACGGAAGGCCTGACAAGGACAGCTGTCTAGTCTTTCGGATGATGAGAAAAACTGAGGACCTCTGTAAACATTGGTGTGCACTTAAAAGATCCCTTGACAGTTGGAATTCAATATAACAGTAGGTCATAGTGCTGCTGCCTGGGCAAAAATTCCCTCATAGCACTCTGTATGGCATATGCCCGTATTTATTAACCAAATCGGAGCCGAACAGTAGTACATTTAACCCAATTTCGTTTTATTTTCTAGCGGTTCCATACAACTGACTATAAATTAAATCAATAAAAATCAGTGCTGCTATGCTTAAATTAATTTTGTTATTTTTTTTTTATTTACAGAACCAGTTACATTACCTGTATTATGTCGAGATCTAAAAGGTGTAAGCGTTACCACGACGATGAGAATATTATCAGCTTTACAAGTGACAAGTTGATAATGAATTATTACGTCAATCGAATAAAACAATGACAGTGCTATAGAAAACATAAAATCTCATGACAATTATAGTTTGAAAATGCACAGTGCATATCTCAAAAACTCAAATATCAGTGCTTCCCACTAGACTGTTAAAAGGTGAAATGGATTCAAATAAATGAATTGACATTTTGGCGTGAAGAATGTCAGAAAAAAAGTGCTGAATCTGATTATCATGATATTGTTTAAGTTGTATGTTATTTTTGTACTTTAGGACTTGTAATACACAGGGCTGTCATTTCACAATTTTGACTGGCTGGCTGTCGATTTGGACTGACTGGCTGTCAATTTGACTGGTTGACGGTCAATTTAGACTGGTTGGCTTTCCATTTGACTGGCTGGCTTTCCATTTGACTGGTTGGCTGTCAATTGGACTGGTTGACTGTCAATTGGACTGGCTGACTGTCAATTTGGACTGACTGACTGTCAATTTGACTGGTTGATGGTCAATTTGACTGGTTGATGGTCAATTTGACTGGTTAACGGTCAATTTAGACTGGCTAGTTGACAATTTGACTGACTAGCTCTTAATTTGACTGGCTGGCTAGATTGACTGTCAGTTTGGCTGGCTGCCAATTTTGACTGGTTGACTGTCCATTTAGACTGGTTGGCTGTCAATTTGACTGTCAGTTTAGACTAGCTGGTTGTCAATTTAAATGGCTGGCCATCAATTTGATTGGCTGGAGAATTTACCTTTCTGTCAATTTGGACTGACTGACTGTCAATTTAGACTGGCTGACTGTCAATTTAGACCGGCTAGTTGTCAATTTAGACCGGCTGGTTGTCAATTTAGACTGGCTGGTTGTCTATTTGACTGGCTGGCCGTCAATTTGATAGGCTGGAGAATTTACCTTTCAGTCAATTTACACAACCTTAAAACAAAAATTACAGTTAAATTTATGGTTTTATATGTAAAAAAAAAGGTAACCCTTGCCAATACAATTGATATTTTCTCTTTCGTTTCATAAAATCCATTTAAATCTCCGTCATCCAATGTTCCAGAGAGTTGATTAGGGGCTCGTCATGTGGATAAATGTCAAAATAATAATTTATATAACATTTAAACCAAAAGAAAGATTTGCACATTTAGCTTTTACATAATGCATCTTTAATATCAGAATCATACATTGGTTTTATGCTAGACTAGATATATTATTAATAATTTTGGTTTTTTTTCGAGTCAATCTGATTAAAACAAAGATCCTATTTCGTTTCGATTTTATAGTTCAAAATTTCGTTTTACTTGTCTTTACTACCCTAGGATCTGGAAGAGTTGTTACCATTGACGTGTTCCGAATGGTGTGAGGAATTATCCAATGAAACATTCTGTTATGGCGTTTATGTTTTGCACGGAACTGTGGGTAATCCACTATTAAACACAATGCTGATTGGTTAATCAAATATCTGATGTCATAGGGTCAAAAGCCGCTTGTATGACCTCTGACGCGACTTATCGCTAAAACCGGTCAGATCTTCATGTAGTGTAGGCCATCGAAAGTATAAAAAAACGAAAACGAAACGGAATATAGATCTGTATTTTAATCAGATTGGTTTCGAGTTGGTTAAGGATTGTTTTTTTAAGGTTGTTCTATGGTTGAAATAATTCATTCCACTTGATTTGTATGACTGACATTCGGTCACATGATATGACATCCAGACGGGAGCTTGCTGCACACAGTCTGATACAGTCTATCCAAAAATGACAAAACTGACCAAGAAAGACAAATACTGATCACCGAATATGATTAACACAGAGAGAGAGAGAGAGAGAGAGAGAGAGAGAGAGAGAGTTTAGATCCAGTCACAAATGGTTAGTGTGTGCGCGTTGTATCATAAGGTCTGTCATTGAGTCAACTGGTGTGGTTTTGATTCCCCAGTTGTATGTGACAAGGATTAGGGTCGCCTGTCTAGCCTCATAGGTTTTCTCCGGGTCCTCCGGTGTCCTTCCGCTGCTAAAGACCCCTACGCGCTAGCAAATTATTGAAATAAAATTAAACAATGTTAGTCCCAAAATGACCTAGTTTGTGTTAAATGGACATTAAACCCTCTCTCTCTCTCTCATATTAGCCCAGTCAGCGCATTTTTGGTCATTTTTTCAGGTCATGTCCTATAAAATCATGTTTATCTTGTAGGTATTATATGTAAATATTATATTGTTATGCTTTACAGCAATAAAACTAACAATTGTATCAAACCAGGCTGAGTTGTTTTTATATCCAGGAACCACGGTTACTCCTTAAGAGTTAGAAATCGGGTGTTGACTAAAAGAATTCGTCAGGAATTCTACTTGTCATCTGTGCAAAGCAAGGGACAATGTGTAGTCCTTCGGATGGTATGGAAAACCAAGGTCATATTTACACATTGGTGTGCACATAAAAGAACCCTTGGCAGTTGAAATTTGATACTAGAGTAGGCCTTAGTTCTGCTGTAAGGGCAAAATTTCCCTCATAGCACACTGTATGGCATAAGCCCATCTTCATTAACCCAGTTCGGAGCACAACAGTAGGACTTTAAACCCCACTTCATTATGTCATTTTGAAGAGAGACTTATCAAGCGGTGTGGGATTAACCATGGTTGGGACCCTGGGGCCTTGTGCATGCGGGGGCCCCAACCTAACACAAGTGACCTAGACTTAGTCAGTACTATTCCACACAGATGAATGTAACTAAATCAAACCTAATTTAAAGTCAGTCAGTGATAAATAATGGGGAGAGGATCACAACGTTTACAATCCCTGCAATAATCCACATTCTAGCCCGACACAAGGGAAGAGACATTGATATTGAAAGGATCATAACGTTTAAAATCCCCGCAAAATTCTCCATCCTGGCCTCCTCCGGTTTCCTCCCACTGCTAAAGACCCCTACGCACAAGCAAATTATTGAAATAAAATTAAAACCATACGTTAGTCCCGAAATGACCTAGTTTGTGTCGAGTGGACGTTAAACCCCATTTCTCTCTCTCCATCCTGGCCTGGCGCGATTTAAATGCGTTTTGTTCGAACCAAAACCTGAAATATCATAAGTAATGTAGTCTATACAGAAACTAAAACTTGAATATAAATGAGTTCAACATTACCTTGATTCCACCTCCTAGTAGCACAACAAGTTGTAACCAAAACATTCCCGCTAGAGAGGATTTTATACGTTTTCTTGATACACTTTTCCTGCTAAATAAACAAAACAGTGAAACACAGATATACAGGGCCGTAACTAGCTCATAGCAACGGAGGGTGGGGTGGGGGGTTCTCAGGGGTGCTGTAAAATTGATGAACAATGTAATGTATATCTATTGTTTTTATGGTCGACAATTTTTTCAAAGTACGACGCCGGATTACACTGAATTCTTGGATGTTAACCACGGGCCCAACATGGATTGAAGGGGCCTCGATGCCCAGAACTTTGAAAATCCGGTGGAAGGCCTCCACTGCCCCCATAACTGTCACTTACAGATCCTTATACCACGCAACTGCGATTTGATTAATCCATTAACTCTGCTTAAAACTTGTCATTCAGGTCCAGCGTTAACAAGCTTTATCATTATTAATAAAGCTAATTAGATATACTGCCAGTCTGAACAAGAACTTATTTTTTCTATTCTATGTTTTTACCCTATTTCCTTTTTTTTTGATATTACGCCTCGATGTGTAATCATTTTGATTAAATGAACCTGTCCATAATATTATATTATAATTTATTGGACGTTAAATTTGTAATAAACAATAACATGAATTCAATTCACCATATTAATATAAATGGATCATAGTCTGTGTCGAAATTATATTTACCGTGACACGACCTCGGTTTTTCACCCCATTCGATGTAAGAGTAGGCCATAGTGCCGCTGTCAGGGCTTAATTTCCCTCATAGCACACTGTATGGCGTACGCCCGTCTTCATTAACCCAGTTCGGAGCAGAACAGTAGGACGTTAAACTTCATTTCATTTCACGACAGACATTGAGTGTTCTAGTAGACAAATATAACAGTAAGTGATATGAAATTGAATAGGCCATTTATTATCAATAAACGACAGGAAAATAAAATATATGTAATAACAATAATGTAACAAAAATAGACTAGAACACAAAAATACCACATTGGAAATGATTATTATGAATTTAAATATACTAATTACCTAAATACATTTTTATTTAAGGATATATTATGGGAGATTAGATAAAGAGTTGGCAGTTCTCACTAAAATAGTTAAAAACTAGATAATGTAAAGGGAATTTGCTGAAAGTTTAGTCAAATTGATCTACTCTGAACCGAGAATTTGGCGATTGAATTTTGGGCTTAGCCTCGATCATCATTTCTAAAATCGGTACCATAAAGAACATAGTCTCGATTATCCATTTTTTAAATTTAATTATCAATGAGCGTTAAACAGCAGATAGGGTTCTAATCCAGTAAGTATCGCAGGCAAGCGATGACATCGAGAGTTGATTATGGTCTGGATATGTTAATTAATGTCTTAGATAACATTTCGGGCCTAAAGAGAGACCTGCAGTAGGCAGTTTTAGCTCTTGCATAATGTATGTTTAAAGAGAGAGAGAGAGATGGGGTTTAACGTCCACTCGACACAAACTAGGTCATTTCGGGACTAACATATGGTTTATTTTTTATTTCAATATTTCGCTTGCGCGTAGGGGTCTTTAGCAATGTGAGGAAACTAATGTATGTTTAATAAAGATGAGGTGTAGTACTATGGGCCCAATCTGTTTCACAGAGAATTACGAGTCTAGTAGTAATATCTCTGTCAAAGATGATTGCCTTAACACGTGCTGTCACAGCACGCGGCGTCAATCATTGGCTGAATGGCGCGTGCATTGTTTACATAAGACGTTACTGCTTCGGAGAGAATGCTGCCTTTTAGTCATTTTAATACCCATTTACACTAAATAGGAAATAATTTTTACCTACAAATTCCGTCGAACGCTTTTATAATATTTTTCCAATACAAGAAAGTCAAAACGTAATTATTTCTATGTCTTTTGCTCAATAGGTTGTCAACTCACAATTATACGATCATAGGTGTCATTCTCACACTTAAAACTCATTTACACACGAAATAATAACACAATTACCCCCCAATTACCTCCCTTGTTTTCTATTCTCCACCATGGAGTAGCTTTTTTCAAACGTTTGAAAATGAAGAGGAAAATGATATTTTTGCCAATTTCTCATCTGGCAATAGTGAATTATAGGATTATTCTTTAACAAGGTAGGACTATTTATGGATACCATCTATTTTCAGGCTTTATTTTAATAAATTTTAAAAATTTGCAATTTCCGCTTTAATTTGTCGCAGGAAAAAAGTTAATATTTCTGGCTCATTAAGTCGCATCGATGTCATCCTTATCAGTGATTGTAGTAGCGGCCTAGCGAAAATTCACTGCTGATCAGTGTGCCATGGGCCTTCTGTCAGACGTGGAGAGCGGGCGTCGCAAAACCGATCGCCACATCCTACGTATGATCCATGCATCTTTTCTTACTACATATATTAGTAGCCTTGTGATCGTTTAAAAATCTGTCTCTAGCTGCCTTTACTTCCCCTTCACGTTGTGTATTTACTTCTTACTGTTTTCTAAAGACGTTTGTCTTCTCAGTAGTTAAAATAATGCAACAGTTCATTTTTACATTTTATATATCATAGCTGCTTACATGTACATAATATGGTACAATGCATTCTCTCTCCCTCTCAAACCTCATCCAGTCAGGCTCGCTCGGCGAGTCTGCTGATAGAAATTGCTACATCTTTAACCTTCTGGAATCAAGCTGCTGTCCAGGAACTCAGATCGTAATGTCTCCGGAATCTAATGAAAATCCGTCTTAAAAGTTTACCATGATCTTTGTTATAGGACTCATGGATATCACGCACAGAATAAGCTACTCATGACCATGAACCTGTACAATTACTGATTATGATTGATTACTTTAGCCAAATGATGTAATTAGTAAATTTCCAAGCACGCGTAATCTCGTATTTTATTGACACATGTTTTGGCGCTATAACACTTTTTATGTGTCAACCCGTCACTTATTCTCTAACTTGATTTAAGTAAAAATATGTGAATCTACTAACTTGCCAGAGATATTAATTAATACAATATAATGCTATCATTACTTATAAGAGCACAAATTCTAGCAATATTAATACAGAAGGCGGATGAAAATAAAAGTTAAAAACAATTGAATTGGTCCTAAACATCAAGGACGACAATCAACAGGAAATTATAATATGAAACACAATCTACAACTCGTGTTATTTACTTACATCAATTATAAACATCAATTACTTAGTTATAAGAACATGACATCTTCGCTGCCATCTTGGAATTGTGATGTCATACCAAAAAAGTCGATCGATTGATGCGCATTTGTCCAAAGAAAAAGCATGCATGTTTGTTGAAACTCGAATAGGCAGAGTCGTCACTTTTTTCTTAAAACTGTTTCCGGCGTGGATCCCCCTTGTCAGTTAAGCTGGACAAAGGGCCTGAAAAGGACAGCTGTCTAGTCGTAAGGATGGGACGAAAAACTGAGGCCCCATGTACACATTGGCGTGCACGTAAAAGATCCCTTGACAGTTGGAATTCGATATAAGAGTAGACCGTAGTGCCGCTGTCCGGGCAAAATTTCCCTCATAGCACACTGTATGGCGTATGCCCGTCTTCATTAGCCCAGTTCGGAGCAAAACAGTAGGACGTTAAACCCATTTCATTTTTTGTTAAAACTGTCGGCACAAGAAGAACCATAATACTAATATTACCAAATGTATACATGTATGTAACCAGATTTATTAGATCAACCCAATTTCAATCAGGTTAGATAACAGAGATTGACAGCCATTGTGGATTGGGCCATCCATCATTTGAAAATATATATATAGAGAGAGAGGGGGTTTAACGTCCACTCGACACAAACTAGGACATTTCGGGACTAACACATGGTTCAATTTTATTTCTATAATTCCCTTGCGCCTAGGGGTCTTTAGTAGTGGGATGACCCGGAAAATAACGAGGTTGGACAGGCGATCCTACTCCTTGTCACGTACAACCGGGGGATCGAAACCACACCAGTTGACTCAATGACAGACCTTATGATACAGCGCGCACGTGCTAACCATTCGGTCACCCAACCGCGCACCCCCCCCCCCCACCCATTTGATAAGAATTAATAATTAACTC